TTAAGGTAAAATGGTCAATAAACTTTCATCCAACTGATAACATTTCCGGTCAGAAAAGGTAACATTTCCAATTGAATCGTGAATCAGCAAAAGCTCATCTTTACTTTCAATGGCAGTTACAATGGTAACTTGAATGGCAAACAGTTAACCTTAATGTTACCCTTAAAAGTACCTGAATGTGAAACATCATGACTTGTTAAGTTTACCTTTTCATTAGGTGAACAAAGAAAAGTCTCCCTTTTTAATTCATTAAAAACAGGTTTAAATTACCATTGGATAACAATCATTATAATGATGGACATTATAACACAAGAGTAACAATAACCTTAACCTGATCACATGAAACACGTCTAATTGACAATTAACCGTGAAGCCATAATCATTATGATTTACAGAATCATCATGATAATGATCAATAGCTGAAGTACAAAAAAAGGCAACTTCCTTGGGTTGTTTTGCCATCTTTTGAGAGTAAAAAATGTTGAAAAGGAAAGGCCAATGGTCAATCAATGGTTCAATTTCAAGTGGCCATTGAAGGAATCTTTTCTTCTCATTCAGTTTAACTTGTTTAGTCTCTTGTCAGCTTCAATGGATGATTATTGTTGCAAGAATTTCTGATTTCTATTTGATTAATCAATTGAAGGTACAATGATTTAATTATATTGTTGTTGGTGGTAATTGTTTTGCTATTTTGATAAATAATGGTTAAAGGATGAAAAGGCAATCATCATTCATTTTCAATTGAATGTGTGATAATTTTTACCACAATTTACTGTTAACTGTGAAGATGAAGGATGAAAATTGTTAAGAAACTGGATCAAAGTTTGCAACAATTTAACTTGGTTCAGTGAATTAAGATTCATCATTAAACTTGACTTCATTTTTGCCCTTCTTTAACCAATCGCCATCGTATCTTCATTGCCTTCAGCCTTCGTGATTCAAGTTTAACAGTTAATTGAAACAATAATGCAATTGATTTTGATTTTTGTTTTTGCTTTCAAATATATTACGATTAACTGTTAATGTCAAGTTAATTATAGCTTTCATGATCAATCAATGAACATTAGAAATTAGATCAAGATTGATAATCATGAGAATAATTTAGTAATTATTCATTTAACGGCGATTTATGATTTACTTTCATGTAAAGGTAAGGTTATTGGTTTAAGTTGGATATTTGTTTAAATTCAAGGTTAACTATTAATAATCAAAATTTACAATCAACTTGATCATCGGTTTGATCATCAACCTTTTTACATTCATTCCTTCATCTTTTAATGGATCAAAATGAATTTGTTTTATCTTCAACTCTATCTTTAATTCAGTTTTCTGAGTTAATCAAAATTGGATCAAATCTTAATCTCTCCTCTCAATTCAATCAAGGTTAAATTGGCTTTGCCCTTTTTTTGTGATAATTTGGTCAAAGCCAAGTAATACCATTTTATCAATATTAATATTAACGAAATCCCTTTTATTGGTAATTATTTGATATAATCAGTGTTCAATTCAATTTGTGTTTTCAAGATTGATAACGATATCAACTTATATTGACATGGTTTAATAAGGTTTGATCAAATAATTGGTGGATCAATAAAAGCACAATGTAATATTAAACCTGGCAAATGGCTGGTTTGAGGTAAAAGTAATGACTATCAATTTCAACCGGCACAGCAATATGGTTGTCAATGTTGTAAATTGTAGGTAAACATTAATCAAGCTAACATAATTGTTGCTTGATAAGTTAACATAATTAGTATAATTAGTGATGGAAGATTGGTACAGAAAGGATTGAAACTGAAAATTAATATCAACACTTAATTAATGGTAACACAATGGTAATAACAGACTGTAAAAAACAAAGAGCCTTTCAATTGAGAAGCAAATTTTGTTCCTTACCAATTAGTAAACACACAATTAATAAAATGTGTAATGATGATACAATTACACATGACATTATTTAATTTGATAAATTAACCTTTCAATTCATTGAAGACAAAAGAGTTTGAACAAAGAGTGCAACAAGTGAAGTATACAAATAAAAACATATGTCAAGCCTTACCTTATGTGCACCTTAAAGACGCTGGTTTCTGGTTTCCAAGGTAAAATCTTGCTGGTTTTATCAAGTTTCTTGGTTGATATTTTGGTGTTGTGATGTTATGATGTTATTAATTGTATCCTTACATTGAACTGATAGGTTGAAACATGGGAATTACTCATACAATAACTTTGGTTTATGGTAACTATCTTATGTTGAGGTAAAGTCACTTTTAACTTGTTGTTTCCTATCTGGTTGATGGTTGTTTGTTAGTTAAACATTTGATGAAGGAAATTAATTACAGGGAATTATAATGAATAGAGTTGATTAAACAAATAAACATGACAATTAAAGATGATGTAAATAACTGGAAGATATTGTTTTTGTGTTGTTTTTAATGAAATCATTACATTGACTTGTTAAACATCAACATTTACTCACAAACATACTGTAAGGCTATTTGTGAACCTCTCATGTCCCATTGAAGAAGCTCACTCAAAACCAGTTTTTTGTTGAACACCATTTAAACCTAAAAGACGAAAGAGATGATAATGAATGGATGAGTATGGAACCAGAAAAATAAGGTCAAAAACACGGTTAAATAAAAGTACTAAAACGCTAAGATATGCGTTGTTTACAGTTTCTTTTATTAACAATTAACCAGTATTAAGTCAACTTTATTATGCTTAAACTATTTTATTTACTCTCACAGGTGCCGGTGTTGAGACGAAAAAATACCAGATTCAATTAGTTACAAATAAAAATCAAAGAGGGCGACAAAATCGGAATCATTTCAATCATTTTGTAATAACAATTTGTAAATAATCTGAAGTTTCATTTTCATGCAGAAGGATGTGAAGAAAGCGTTGCTCTTTTGACAGGCAAGTTCATTAAAATGACCAGTAATTCCCAGCTAATGTTGACTCAACGATGTCCAAATGTCAGCAGTAAAACAATTTAGTTGAACATCATGACTCGAAGCATGATATGATTCATTTTATTATGAGTCTTGAGACAAAAAATATTGACATTTTTAGTTCATGGCCAAGATGTAAAATCTTATTGGATGAAAAATCAGCATTGATTTCCTGACTGAATGAACAATTCAAATCTATCTGAATCTTGTTTGATTTTATACATCGGACAACGCTTGGAACTCCTAGTAAATTTGGCAATAATACTTTGCCCTGGATTCGATTTCAATTTCTGTATTCGATCTAATCATTCTATAAATTGTAACCTCTTGTGAATTTTAAATATTTTTCTGCATACAGGTCATCTTAGGCATCAGGGTTGTTGAATATTCAGTTGTACTTTTAAATAATGTTTCAGCTGGGATCATAGATTGAAAGTTATTGCTAACAGAATCATCCAAATCCAGAAGCTTGACTATACGCTCGAGATAGTCGTCAACATCACGGAAATAATGCAACTGGCGAGTAAGGGTATATATGAGAACGGGTTTGTTGTTTTTCTGTGAGTAATCTAAAATTAACGTTACTATCGATCAAAGATCTGAAAATCGGGGAAGAGAGTAAAAAACATGGATTAGAAAGGATGCATGATTGAAATCCTCCGAAGATAATTACTTATATAAAATGCATTGGTATAAAGTTGGCAATTTGATGATAAAGAACATATTTTTCAATTGTTCTGGAATAGGCATACGCAATCGAAGAGCAAATCTTCGATTTTTGCGCGTCTTCCTCAAAGTTTGTCACCGTTGTGTGCATAATTGGAAATAAGAGGAGTGTGTTTCAATTTGGTAACATCCGAATTAAGCAATAAAACTGGATTATCTGGAGTACAGTTAACTTCAGCTGAATCATGAATTTGCTGCTTGTTCCACAAGAGAAGCGCACTTTTTGCTGGAATGGATACTTTATTTTCTAAATGATGTTTCAAATCGTTCAAGCTTCTAGGACAAATTGAGATTAATTTCAAGTAACAAAAATTAAAACTATTACTATCTCACCCTTCACTTGGATGACGATAGATGACGACATCTTCCATATGATTGATATAAAAATATAAACAACTTTATGAGATAAAACATATGTGACAGATATCAAATGACTACATTTTATGAGAGTCACATTCCAAGATTCCAGCCAGAAGAGGAACAATTAATGCTTGTAACTGTTAAAGCTCTGAATGATAAATAAAAAACAGTTTAGATTGAGATTTTTGATTGAGATACTCAATTGTAATAAAATATAACTTACGGGCTCAGAAGGCAAGTTTGAGGTAGATTCCGACTCCAAACAATTTCACCATTGTCTGTGGGCTGACATCCAGAAACAACACTAGATTAGAGATGGGCGATTACCTCGATTACATCGATACGGATCGATTCTTTTTCAGAAAATGAGCATCGATTAGTTCTTGCGAGAATCGATAAGCTTCACATGAGCTAAAAACGCACGAATTTTGCGATTCCGTGTTTGCAGAAAAAAAGAAAGGGAAATCGGCATAACTTTAGCAACTCAGAATTAAAATACTTGACTCTTCCAGTGATTTTAGTGCTATGCAAAAGACTAATTTGTACTTTATTGATGTAAAGAAGAAGCCTCAAACTTGGAAAAGTTGCTTGAACGCTTCAAGATTTAATATTTTCCTACCTTAATTAAGAATCGATATAATCGATTCCCTTGCGCTAATCGCTAAAAATATCGATTCCTTGATTAATCGAGAATCGCCCATCTCTACACTAGATGCCTTTTCAGTAATAAACCTTTAAACAAAACAAAATAAAGCTAGTGGTTGTTAATTTTCACATGTTGTAGTATTTGCATCTTGTGTTTGAATCTTGCCAAGTTTCGAATGCAGTAAATCGCTTAACAGGGCTGGTCCCTTGAACTATCCCATTCCCCTTGCTGGATTCCTGCTCAGCTGAATACGTCTTCTACATTAGCATTAACCGTAATTAGGATTCACTGTAAGTTGATAAAAAGGTAGCGTACTTTATATTTTAATATTTATTTATTAATCAATTCAATCATTTTGGATAGGTAAAAAAGGCGTCTTAATGTCTCTTATGGTTAATTTACAACTCAGATCCGATCAAGTTAAGTAATTGGAAAGATTGTTTTCAATCCAAATTTTTGAGGTAAGATTGGACAGTGGTTAGCGAATATTTATTTGTCTTTACATTCATTTGTATTTGTTATTCCAGAAGCCGTTTATGGACGTTGGCGGGAACCATAATCATGGATATTAAGGTTGACAGTTTCCAAATTGGGTTACCTTCATTTTAACTTCTCTCCAAGGTGTATTGTCAACAATCACGTCTTTGCATGTCGTAGTTGGCTATTGAAGGAAAGAGATATGATGGTTAATTGTGGTTTCATTCCCGTTGAGAAATGGTTTATTACATACCTTTTTTGCATCAAGTGTGCATTTATCAAGTGGTGTTGATGAATCTTTGAGACAAACTGTGGTTCCAACTTCAAATGTTAGATTGATATATTCATTCAACAAAATGGAAGATTTCTTTATTTTCAGAGGTTTGACCAGATATTTGGTAGCCGAGAGCCGATTGATTTCCGACACAGCGAAGCTGACATCTTTCACGACCATTGGATCGGTAGTCGGTATTGGTTTGTAAGCATCTTTCGATTTCAAAGGATGGATTACAAATGATTCACTTGTTGCGATGAATAGACCAATTGTGATCAAAACGAAACAGTTTAAATGAATGGTTGTCATATTGTAATGTTTTAAAGACTACTGAATCAGTCTGAGTCGACAATTTATTCAAAGAAGGTGAATTGAAAATGAATTGACAACAAAATTAATTGTTGTTGTGTTTTATATAGTAATTATCTAATTTTTATCACAAGAGTTAGATATACATAATTCACGACATAAATTATATTACAAATAATGTGTACCTGAAGCCTTTCTCAACATATCAATCATTTATATCAGGTGATTGTTTCAATTCAATCATTTGATTTTCTTTGTTCAAAATTCAATGTCAGAGCAAGTTATCAATCGCAATCAAGCAATATTTTTGACCAAACTCCCACTTTGATGCAACAATGTTATAAAACTTTGATATTAGTCTTTTTTAATGTCAATTGTAATCTGTTTCAGTTATTGAAGTAATAATACAGAATTGATAAAGGAAAATCTGAATTCAACTCAAAAATAATATTTAATATGCACAGCAATTGGGAAAAAATACGTGCGAAAAACTTTACTACAGTTGATATCAAATGATTACGTATTATTATACAATTTTATCATTCTTTATTCATATCTTGATTTTTGATATTTAATAATCAAAATAAGATTTCCGAGAATTGTTGGGTGAAACTATTTCTGTTGGTGATTGAAAACTTCCGAAGTGTTTAGATATTTTAAACCATCGAGAACTCAATAGTCAAACCAAGAATCATTTTCAGCATAACTTGAATCAGTCTATTCTTTAGCCAGACTTTACTTGTACAGATAAAAACATATGTCAAATCATACCTTAAGCGCACTTTAAAGACGCTGGTTTCTGGCTATCAAGGTAAAAACTTGTTGGTTTTATCGTAAGTTTCTTAGCTGATATTTTCGGTGTTCCATGGTGGCTGATTTTTTGTGTTTTTCAAATTGCGATAGTTTTGATGAGATGCAATCTCTTTTGCAAGATTTCTTTGTTTTTGTTCAGTCATTTCCATATTCACAGGTTCACGATTGTGTCCGACCGTGATACTATCACTTCAGAGTCAAGAACCAGTTTTCCGAGCAATTGGCGGTTGTGCAACGCTAGTTACTTTTTGATCTTTTTGATCGTTTCGCACCTTTGTAAATTTTCTGAGCATTTTTCATTACTGTACTGTACATTCATTCAGTAATGAATCTACCAATAATAATCTTTAGGCCAATCTACTTGTCCTTGAATATTAGAACATAATTTAACAATAATCGTTTGAGTTGTGGCATATAAGTGCTTGATTGATATCATTTTATCTTACATGAAGTCAGTCCTACCGAAGATTGGATGAAAGCAAACTTGGATTTTGGTACGATATTCATTAAGGATATACGAACAAAAGTTTCAGGTTCCGATGACGAATCAATTGGACATGAGAAAATTTTATCGATTGTCGATCGACATTAAGAACAGGTTCATGATCAATTTGCTTTACAGTGATTTCTTTTCCTAAATTTCGAGTAATCCTAGCTCGCTTGTTTGGATAGCCATACAAAGGTCTATCATACAAAATGACAATACCCCCGACTTGAACTTGATTGTTACCAATTTTCATTCCGCTGATAATGGATATGATCTTGTCTCGTAATTCAAGACTACCAGGAATAGTGACCATCACATACAAATGAGAACTATAGTAAACAATCTTTACGCTATAAACGTTTTGGTTTTAAACTCGAACAATGAGACTGCATTAGAACCATTGTCTTCGTTTACATGACTAAATTTCCTTGCTCTTTTTGGTAAAGATGAATCATGTTAACTTGTCATTTCGGTCAATTCTCTTGTAGCTTGATTATTATCCATGGAAATGGTTTTGAGTTAATCCAGATCAACTATATTAGCTTTTAGATTAATCTCGTAAAATGTGAATTTGGAGCTAGCATTAGGAATGTTATCAAGTACACGCACAAGAAAATCTTGATTGATTCGATTTTGCGATATTGAAAATGCTAAAAAGTCAAAAATATTGAAGTTATTACACAGCTTTTTTAGAATTTGATCCCTCGCTTTCATGTCCATAATTACATCTTTGTTGGTTAAGATATCTTAACCAATAAATTTCATAATATTAAGATATCAGGTTTCTCGTTTAAAGCTTTCTTTCAGATTTGTTATGCTTTTTGCATATTTGTTTTGAAAGAATAATTTCTTCATTAACAATCAATAAGCATACAAAAAAGTCGGATATTAATTTGTATCATAAAACGAGATTATGTTGTTTTTTTACAATGTTGGGTTTCCAATTTACTCAGAGTGATACAAAAATGCGTCGACGAACAAGAATGTAGCTTATAATGAACCAAATGTTAACTGCAACTAAAAGACGCAAAAGCATCTGGCCATGACTTGTTTCATCGACTCCAAAATAAAATGGTAAATAACTTTGTAAAATGTAAGATCCAATGTAAAGTAGGATAGGATTCATACCTAAAAAATATGAAAAAGATTAGTGAAATTGATTCAAATTTCAAAAAAAAAGTTTCCAATTTACCTGGGTAAACGAATGGTTTACCGTTTTCCCAAATTTTGATGACATCGATAAGCCAATAGAAAACAGTTAAAACAATCAAAGCCATTGAACCAGTACAGGTAATGAAAGAGAACGACCAAAGATTTTTAATAATTGGAATCCAACCCGTTTGAACACATATCAATGTTATACAAGCTGCAAGAAAAAATATATTCCAGTAAATTTTCGTCATTTAATGCAAAAAAAGCCGAGATCAAAATATTACTTACCAAGTATGAAACCAGATAGAGACCAAATAGCCATTCGTCTCCTTGAGCTTTCAGTTATCAAAATAACTCGGCCTGCAAATGATCCAATAGCCGTTAAAACAATTGAAGTAGTGAAACCCAGTAATCCTTCAGGATCGTGGCGCAAGTCGTTGTGATAAATTTCTTTTGATGTTGCTGTTCGGTAAAGATGATTTTCTCCCAAAATAATCTTGTCGAGTCTATTTGCAGCGCCTCCAGTGCAGTTCCATGTTTTTCCGAGATTGTGTAAACCTCCTGGACCTTGGTAGCCTTTGGGACAAAAAGGGTCGTATTCCCATAAAAATGTGAATCCAAAGTAGAGACATAAACAGATAAAGTAAACTGCTAATTCTGGAAGAAAAATGGCCAAACTTTTGAGTTTACTGAGAGCTACGGGTGGTTCATCGTCGATTGACATTGTTACTCTCGCATGCAGCTTAGCAGAGAGTAATCTACTAATAGCCACAATTAGATAACTAACACCAAACCGTTGTAATACTCCTGGAATACGGAGTGATGTTAAAAAGGCTGTAAGAAAGGAAAGAAATAAAGTTAAAATAATGCCTTAAAATCATGGAATTGAATGGCGCCTTACTGTTTTTTGAGTTTATGCAAAGTCCTAATAGAAATAATTTTATTGCTCGAATCGATATTTTGGTCAAAATTTCAGCCACTGTTTGATTGCCTCTTTTTACTTGAGATTCAATACTGAAAAGATATGAAAATAAATTAAATTAGAGATATATCTTAAGCATGTATACATATGTAACTAGCATTAAAGTGCATTAGTTAGTACGCATATTAAAAGTATCGCTAGAAAAATAGCAACTCGTAAATAATTTATAAACACGATTTCTTCAGTATTCGCGCAAAAAGGGTTAATCTAAATCTATCCATAAATACCTAAGAGTAAGGCTTACACCCATAATGAATATGAACCAGGGAAATATAACATCGGCAATCGTCAGTCCGAACCAAGGAGCGTGGTCTAAAAAGGCATATCCAGCTGAACCATAGTTGACAAAAATCATCATAATCATTGTCAGACTGTGGAAGTAGATAAAGGAATTGAATTAATTGCTATATCATGATAATAAATATGAAAAGTGATAGAAATAAATAAATCTGTGATCAATGGAATTAGAAAGATAGTAAGATTAATAGATTAATAGTAAGGAATTTTACAGACAAAATTAATGAAAACGACTAAATTAACGACATGATCTTTTCCATTATGATGATGCTTATTTTTAAAGAAGATTTTTACAAAAATTATAAAAATAAGTCATTATATGCCAATTCATGCATTTCATTATCACAGATTATTGAATGTAGATCAAACAAAACTCACCCTCTGAAGGCATCGAGTGACTTGAGACGTTGTCGTGAAGTTTGCTCTGTTGTGTCAACTCTACGGGTTGAAAATTTACGTCGATAAATGAACCAACCAACAGATAAAAGTACATAAAATGCAATTGCTAAATATATTGGAATTAAATTGTTACGTCCTGATTTAAGAGTGGAAATTTTACAATCAGACTCAACACCATCCGAAGTAAAGTTAAGTTGATAAACAGCATGATCAGTGAACCAACGGAAGGGAATTTTACAAAAAGTTGTTGAATTGGGTGAGCCGTTAACATCTCGAACTTCTAGAGTAACTTTATATTTGGTGTCAACAATTATGCTTTTAGACGAACTTGGGTTAATTGTTGTTTGATAGATAAGGGCACAATTTTCACATTCTTCAACTTGACTCCAAATTGAAACAGCCAGGGAAGAATCCAGATTTTGAGCTGTAACAAGAGCTTGGTCCAAACGAAGATCCATTTTACAGTATTTTGTTAATTGGTAAAAGTATTGTGGATCTAATAGAAAGTATAAAATGAGATGAGTTAGAATAAACGAATAAATAAAATTAACAAAATTAAGCAAATTAGTCACCTCACATTGAGTAGGTTCAAATCTGAGGACTTTGTTAGATTTGGCAACTTATCATCATTGATAGATAAATTGTCACTATTAAAGTATCAAATAGCAATTTAGAGTTTTGACATCATTTACATCAACACTAGAGCTTGAAGATTCCAATTTTTGTGATTTCTATTATTTATTTTCATGGTATTCCGCTGAATATAATCTAAGAAAGTCTAAATCAATGTGAACAAAACTTCTGGATGTGTCAAGTACCACAGGCATAAAAATACCAATTTAAACAGTTGACAGTTTTGTTTATTTTTATCGTTTGACAAAGCTAATTGATTTTTGATTGAAAATCTATAAATTAGACATTAAATGATATCAACTCTTGATTTGATTGCATTCTGTCTCTTCTACATCAAGCATCAGTTGAGTTTTGGAATTTTTCCTGAATAAAAACTGAAAATTATATTTAAATCCTCCTACATGACTATTACGCCCTACATGATTCAATATGCATTACCTGGTTGATACATTTCATCAGGAATCAATGTGATCGCATATTTGACATATTTAAACCAGGCTTGGTTAAAAAACCTTGTTATGAGGGTCAAATCAATTATTATATTCAATTTTTATAATCATTATTTGAAGATCACAATTGATTCAAGTGTCATGAATATAAATTTTGATATTTCTGATATTCCTGATAGATGCTAATACTGAAAACATTTGTTGTTACCCTGACACTGATGTTAAACAGATAACTCATTATTAAATTGTTTATGTTATTTCGATCTAGAAATTATTGTTAAAAAGATCAATTGTTGTGGATTAAGATGGCGCAAAGTTAAAATTTCAAATCTTACTTCAAAATAATTTGCAAAAGTTTCCAACTGTTTTGATATTGTCCTCGTTGATGTTGATGTCAAGTGATGATTGTTGTACGATTACCTCTTGATTGCAGACTTTACATTGATTCAGGTTTTTAAGTTCAAGTTGAGCTGATGTAATGAACTGGGCAATTATTTCATAATAAAGAAATGAAATTAGACTTGTACAGGAATTAAGCGAGTAACTTATTGTTAACAATTTATCCTCTTAGTTGATTAAGGCACGAGGTATAATACTGGTTAATAAAAAATTCACTAATATTGTCCATCAAGTAAACATAACAGCTAAATTAAAGGCATCGGTAACACAAATGTAAGTGTTTTAATGCAAAAAGACACCAACATTACGACCTGAAACCCATATGTTTGTTTCTTCCCACTGAATTTGCTCATTCTAATAAACCAGTTTTGTTCACTGTTTTCATCTGAAAAAAAGAGAAATTGATTAATGTAAATGGGATTTAATAACATTTAGATAAAGGTGAATGTGTTACTAAGTGCTTGTTTTTTTCATGTCATCAAAAAAAACAATTCAAATATTCTCCAATAAAATTGCATGAATCAGGATAATTGATCAATGTAAACACTGTTCATGAAGATTTGGTTGAATCAACGCCTTCATAGTATCGCAGATTATGATGATTTATCATTTTTCATGATAGAAGGAAAGTTTAAGCTATCTTTTTATCATATCACAATGATTAGCAGAGTATTGAGATATTTATATGTTTATTTACAAAGATTGTAATCTTGGAGGCCCTTTACTATAAAAGATTAAGGTCAGTAGCCATTTACTCAATGGTCGATCGGTTGAAAATTTATCGAATGATAATTATTGAACAAATTCTGGTATGAAGCGAAAAAATTAGTATCAAAGTAGCTGTGCTAAAGGTCAAAGAAATATTCTGAGCCAACTGAATGAAAGCAGTCTAGGAACAAAAAATAGATGTAATTCAAATCCAACTAGTGTAAAGAGTTTGCTAACATAAATGTATGTTTAGGTTTTAATCTGTTGATTTCAAAAATATTGATTATAGTTGTATCTGGTAAAACTATTAAGATTGTTTTTAAGCATTAAACAGAAGAAAAGGATTTGTAAATACTTACTGTTTTCTGAGTGAGTCTCTGAATCCTATCCGAGCATTGATAATTGATTAATCTGTATGTTAAAAGTATTTAAATTAGTTGATTAATATGAAACTTACAAAATAATAATTTCTCTTGACAATGTTTTGAAAAGTGTAAACAATTTAAGTCACTCCTTTTTTAGTAACCAGTAACTATTGACTCACCAACATCTGGTAACTCAGTTACCGTAACTGTTTAGATATCGATAAGTATCAGGATTTTATTATCAGTATCAGTTGGTTGTTACATCTGAACATTCTGAACAGATTTGACCTCTGTTTTTATTCAACCTCAAAGTGGTTAATTTAGTTGAGTAGTGAATTAAATTATTCAGGATGAATCGTTGCTTATTTAGTGCGATATCTAAAAATTATCAACGACTTAGTTCGAGACGGTTGAACTCCGTTGCTCAGGAGCCTTTCCTAAATGGCTCATCTTCAGTCTATGTGGAAGAAATGTTTAAAGCTTGGAAAGCTGACCCGGCTTCAGTTCATCCTTCATGGAATATATTTTTCAAAAGTGTTGCCGCTGGATTAAAACCTGGACAAGCATATGCTAGTCCAGCATCAGCTTTCAACTCAGCTGCTTTATCCAATGCTTTAGGCTCAATTAGCTCCCAATCTGTTGCTCCTGTTGATGCAACCTCAATTGATGACCATCTTTCTGTTCAAGCGATTATTCGATCGTACCAAGTTAGAGGCCACTTAGCGGCTCAACTAGATCCTTTAGATATCACTTCTGCCAATATCTATTTACAACAATCAGAAGGTGCTCCAAGTTCACCGGAAACCGTTTTAAGACATCACAGATTAGATGAACGGGACATGGATCGTGAATTTAAATTACCAAAAAATACTTATATTGGTGGTGAAGATCAAGTTTTGACTCTTCGAGAAATTTTAAGACGATTAGAAAATGTTTATTGTAAACATATTGGTGTTGAATATATGTTCATCAATAATTTAGAACAGTGTAACTGGCTTAGGAGTAAATTTGAAACTCCTAACATCATGGATCTGAATCGCGAACAGAAAAGACTTCTGTTAGCTAGATTAACTCGATCTACCAAATTTGAAGAATTTCTTGCGAAAAAATGGGTATCTGAGAAACGATTTGGTCTTGAAGGTATCGAAGTTCTTATTCCAGCCATGAAGACTATTATTGATAAATCTAGTGAACTCGGTGTGGAAAGTTTTATCATGGGAATGCCCCACCGAGGCCGATTGAATGTCTTGGCTAATGTTTGTAGAAAGCCATTGGAGCAAATCTTCGCCCAATTCAGTGCTCTGGAACCTGATGATGAGGTTTGTTCATTTTTATTCAACTTGAGACCTTTTATTTATGTTTTTATTTTTATTATCTAGGGCTCAGGTGATGTTAAATATCATCTTGGTATGTGTCATGAACGATTAAATCGTATGACAAACAAAATGATCAAATTAGCAGTCGTTGCTAATCCTTCTCATCTAGAGGCTTGTGATCCAATTGTTCAAGGCAAAGTTAGAGCTGAACAGTTTTATCGCGCTGATAGTCAAGGGAAAAAGGTTATGTCCATATTGTTACACGGAGATGCTGCTTTCGCTGGCCAAGGTGTTGTTTATGAAACTTTCCATCTTTCTGATCTTCCTGATTACTCAACTCATGGTACCATTCATATTGTTGTCAATAATCAAATTGGTTTTACCACTGACCCTCGTGTTGCCCGATCTTCGCCTTATTGTACCGATGTTGCTCGTGTTGTCAATGCTCCAATTTTCCACGTAAACGCTGATGATCCTGAAGCCGTTGTTCATGTCTGTAATGTTGCTGCTGAATGGAGAGACAAATTTGGTAAAGATGTTGTCATTGATATTGTTGGTTACAGAAGAAATGGTCACAATGAAGTTGATGAGCCAATGTTTACCCAACCATTGATGTACACTCGAATCAGGAAACAGGTTCCTGTGGTTGATCTTTACAGTAAAAAGCTTGTTGATGAAGGAGTTTGCTCATCCGATGAAATTGAAGAAGTTAAAAACAAGTATGAAAAAATCTTGCAGGAATCCTTCAAAAATTGTGATACAATGAGTAAAATTCACAATAAAGATTGGCTTGATTCCCCTTGGCACGGTTTCTTTGGAACCCGTCACCCTTATAAATCTGATCCAACCGGTGTTTCTGAAGAAGTATTGAATCACATTGGTACAGTTTTTGGTTCTGAGCCTCCTGGTAACTTTAAAATTCATCCCGGTCTCAAAAGAGTTTTAAAGTCACGACTTGAGATGGTGCAAAAGCGTGAAGCTGACTGGGCCTTGGCTGAGGCAATGGCTTTTGGTTCTCTTCTTAAAGAAGGAATCCATGTTCGTCTCAGTGGTCAGGATGTAGAAAGAGGTACTTTCTCTCATCGTCACCACGTCCTTCATCACCAAACTGTTGACAAGACAACCTATCGACCACTTTGTCATCTTTATTCAGACCAAGCGCCTTATACGGTCTGTAACAGTTCTCTTTCTGAGTATGGTGTTCTTGGCTTTGAAATTGGGTTTTCAATGACCAATCCAAATGCTTTGGTTATTTGGGAAGCTCAATTCGGAGACTTCAACAATACAGCTCAATGTGTTATTGATCAGTTCATTAGTAGTGGACAAGCCAAATGGGTTCGACAAAGTGGAATTGTTTTGCTTTTACCTCATGGTATGGAAGGTATGGGTCCTGAACATTCATCTGCTCGCCCTGAAAGATTCTTACAATTATGTAACTCTGACGCTAACGAATATCCTGTAAGTTTTATTTTCTATTATTTTTCTATTCAAATTTCTTATAAATATCTCATTTTTAATGACTTTTCTTTATTTTTTTTTCTCTTAGCATGATGATTATATTAACGATGTTGACTTTGTCAACCGTCAACTTCACGATTTAAACATGATTGTAGTCAATTGCAGTACCCCAGCTAACATTTTCCACGCTTTAAGACGACAGATTTCTCTTCCCTTCCGTAAACCGCTCATTGTCTTCTCACCTAAATCGCTTTTAAGACACCCAGATGCTCGATCCAGTTTCGATGAGATGGTCGAAGGAACTGAGTTCCGCCGAATCATACCCGACAGTGGACCCGTTTCTGAAAACCCCGATTCAGCCAAAGCACTTGTTTTCTGTACTGGCAAAGTTTATTATGAATTAATGAAAGAACGAACCTCTCGTGGGCTAGATAAAGATGTTGCTATTACTCGAGTTGAACAATTGTGTCCTTTCCCTTGGGATTTGATGAGTGAAGAGATCAGTAAATATCCCAATGCTCGAATTATTTGGTCACAAGAAGAACATAAAAACCAAGGTTTCTGGCCTCATATGGAACCTCATATTCACACGGTTCTTAAACACCTCGGACAACAAAATAGAGAATTAAGGTAAAATTTTTTCTATTGACTATCAACTTTTCACAATTATATTTTATTGTTACCTTGATTTGACTAACGATTTATTTTTATTATCGCTTAGATACGCTGGGCGTCCTGTTTCAGCTACAACAGCTACTGGAAGTAAATTTATTCATAAAAAGGAATGGTTAAATCATATGGAGCAAACATTTTCAGGCTATTAGTTATTAATTCATCGTTATTTAATTAAATTGATTGATAAAGTTGGGCTAAACGACCGTTCCAAGAAAACTGCAAAACTAATCCTGTGATAAAAGATTATCTTATCAGTTACCCATTCATGATTTCTCAATTTATGGAGCAATTTAAACCACCAAGAACAAGGAGGATAAGACATAAATCAAAATGGAATATTTGTTTTTGTTTTTCTTATTTAGCGCAGTTTATTTCATTTATAGTGTTATAATTAATTCACTCAATCCTTTTACGAGGACGATTGTTTCTTTTGAAAAAAATAGGAAATTGTTTTTAGATCTAAATTGTTGATTCATCACCTCAATCGTTCATTTTTGTTGTAGTCTAAATAATCGAGTAGGTTAATAGCATCAACAAAAGGAACGTTAATTGTTTTAATTTACTGAAAATCTGATTCGCATCTCAACTAAAATCTCATTTAATTAACATTCTCAATTCTTCCCATCCGCCACAAGCTATCTCAATTGTTCACCGAAAAATAAGAAACCAAAAAGTTGAAAATCAATATTTATATTTATTCTAGATAATTTATCATGTCAATTAAAAACCAGAATATTATGAGCCTTTGATTTGAAATTTCATTTCTGACGATTACTGTATCTATGAAAAAGATTAAATGACTCAACAAATTTCACACATGGAATGAAATTACATGAATGAATTGAATGTCAAGGATAAATGATTTCTCATAAGTACGACAAATGCTAAGCTCATCAATAAACTGTTATTTATAAATTAATTGCGTTTTTCTTTTTCCTTTTCAGAAATGAATAGATTCTAATGATGATAGAAATAAATGGACAATAAAATCTAATTCTCTGGTAGTAACTTGGGCTTTAATAAAACATGAAATCAACAATAAAAATCTGGCGTGATTCAATCAACTAATTATTGGTACATTAACAAGGATTCAATAGATTCATTGACACAATTAATTACCGAGAAAAGTGGCAAAGATTTTAGCAATCAAGCTCGGTGATTTGTTTCCACGAGGAACTTGACCAGTTTTGGGTAAAATATTGACACAAAGGTCACTTTTAGCATCAAAAGAGGTGCAAATGGCTTCAGGAATCCTTGATGTTACAATTGTCATTACTTTTCGTCCTAAATCAACAACTTGTGAGCCACAGCGACTTTTAACAATTGAAAAGGTACAATTTTGGAAACGATTGAAGGCACAGCAACCAACTGACAATCGATTTTGTTGATCGACCGAAACCACTTCTTCAATGGCCACTTGTAAATCTTTAAGGCAGGAATTGGCTTCTCGCCTAGCCTCGGCTAAACAATCAATATTAGCAATGTAGTTGTTTCGAAGCTGACTGCCGCTTGTACAAAACTCCTTGACAGTGTTTATACCTCCAGACCCGAAAAATTCAATCAATTCTTGTTGTAATGAAGTCGCACATTTGCTAGTGAAATTAGCTACACATTCCTGTGCATTGTTTAACACTTCACAATAATGGTCAATGTCTGCCTCTGTTTTTGGTGTTTCTGGAAAGATCAATGGTTAAGGTTAATTTTTTGAACAAAAGGATCGAATAATGGGATTTGAACTATTTTAAAGTCTTACCTTGATTCTGGAGAAGCATAACAACCGAAGCTTGGCAAAAGTCCAATTCCTTGAGGTGGCATTTTGAAAAAGCGAAATCAACTGAACAGGTTGATAGAGTTAAAAAAATCAATAAGATTGAAAATGAATTCATGATTAAAAACTGTTGATTGGATTTTGATGGTTGCAAAAACACAAAGTCAATGAGCAACTGATCAAATTATTTTTGACTTTATAAACCAGAAGACAACTTGTAAAAAAAGTGTGGAAAATTACAGCAAATTTAATTGATTAGTGATTGGTTGACAATCAACGCAATGACTACTCATTTAACCAGTAAAACCAGGACTAAATATCGATTTGCCAACAAAAACCAAGATCATATGATTTGAAAATGTAAATCAAAACAAAAAGAGCAACCGTTTGACTTATCTCAATGTGTTTAAGTTCAATTCAAACGTCCTGTTACTAATCAGCTATTAAATACCCATTTTTGCCTTTTCTTGAATTTTCTGATCAGAATTTCAATTCTTGAACGATCAAAATGAGATCTTCTTGAAAACAAATTATCACAAATACTTTTGCAAGTGTCAGTTTCTAACCCATGATATTCAATCATTACTTTTATCCAATTATTTCAAAAAAGGTTGTCATGAATACAACATGTTCATTTCAAAGTTGACAGTTGACTGAATAGTTCATCCTTTGACAGTGAATAGAGCATCCAAAATGATTCTAATTCACCAAATTTACCTAGAAAAAAGTACAAAATATATTTACCATTTGTGAAGTAAATGGTGAACATTAATTCATCAGAATGTGAACATCAGAACATGTTCAGTTGAAATTAACCTTTCAAGTCAATGAACCTTTTCTGTATGAAAATAACTTGCACCAACATTTGCATGGTTTGAGATTGTTTTTGTTAACATTATTATATTATTATAAGCATTGTTATTTCATCTAACAATGGGAAAATATATTAATGAAAGCCTTATTCATTTGCCTTTTGGGTTCATCTTCAATTAAGATGGCAAACTTGGTTTAATACAATAATTCAATAAGAAATATATTAAGAAAACGTAATAATTGTGAAAAGGGAAGATAATTAATGGCCATTTTGACGTGATTAATGGTCCAATACATAAAAAGTGAATCTTGAAATTTTCATCCTCAAAACTCGGTGTCCATTGGGTTTTCATATTCATATAATGTAGTTTATGAAGGTGTAAAAATGAGATTAACTCAGCAAGTAAACAAATCATTTCAGGTGTAATCAGAAATGGATGAATCAAATTAAACCCTATGGAGTTGGCTGATCACAATTTAACTGGTTATTAATGGTTAACTGGCTTTTCAGCCTTTTTTGGTACATTGAACCAAACTCTAAATTTGTTCTTAATGTATTATTATAATCAAATTTACAGTATAAATTTACAGCAAAATGTACAATAAAATGCATTATCAATGAAATGTAAATTGAAAAGCGTGAAAATATGAACCTGAATAAAATTCCGAGGCAAAAATATTGGAAAGAAAATATTTCTTCAATTGATATGGGAATGTGATAAAATATTTTATTACATATGAGAATTGAATTGTAAATCAGTTTCTAATATGATTCCAATCCCTGGATTGCTGAACAAAATAGTCAAATCGATTTGAGAAATGCAACAAACAAAATATCGATGAAAAGCTGATGAAAAAACTGAGTCTAAAATTAGTTCAAAATTACTATTTCCTCTGTTATAACCTGAAGGCCAATTTTCAGAAGTACATCTCAATAAGGTTATCGTTCAAGCTTGTGGCTTTTTGTGTAACATTTTCAATTTTTTTACGCATTCCATTTCAAAGTTGTTCATTTCAAAATCATTCAACCTCAAGGAACACAAACAGAAATCAATTTTAATCGATAAAAGGATCACTTTACATCTAACTTGAAGACTGATTGTTGAAGATACATTTTACCCAAAAAAACTTGCACTGATTTATTTTCATCAAATGCTGATCAATGATCAACCAGTTTTATAGCAAGAAATTTACTAAACCTCAATCTTTCGAAGAGCAGCTAACAATTTAGTAGCTGAAACATTCACTTGTTATACTGTATAATATGAAGATAATCAAAGCTAATTCATCGCTATAAATGAGATTTTCATTTTGAAATAATCAATATCAATCACAAAAACACTCAAAAGCTTATAATTATGAAAAAGATTCTCGAAAAATGATCTTTGGTCAGTGAAAGTCTCCTTTTTTAAGAAGATAAAAGCTATTCTAAGCAAAAAATGTTTAGCTATTAAATTTTGTACAAAGTATACAAAAAACGATTCATAAAACGCTTTTTTAATTTCAAGTTGTAATCCAAATTTATTTTGTGTATTCACAAATATTCAGTATTAACATTTACTGTATGCAAACTTGAAAGCTTTCAACAGTTAACTAACTATTAACTACTAATAAGTTGATATAAAAATTAGTCAATTATTTGACTGAGAAAGGTTGATATAATGGTTCAATTGGTGCAACCGAAAACCTTAAATCCATTTACCACGAAAATGAAATTTGCTTGTTCATCCAACCGGGTAACCTTTACATTGTAACCTTGATAAATACATTAAAACCTAAATGGGCTCATCTTTAGTCCGATAATAATTACACAGGTAAACCAGTTACCTTTCCACATCAACAACAACAAAATTTTGGGCAAACTGAAAAGCTGTCTTTAAAACCATGAGTCAATGTTTAATGTAAAATTGAATGGGAAACAGGCATTAAGCTTTTTCCTGTATCGATCACTATTTTCATCATTCCTATCAATATTATTTTAATTAACTGGTTTACCTGGTTTCTTTAGTTACTCTCTCTCTCTCTACCTGGGCGGGTAAAGTAACCTTGGATCAGGAGTTGAGTCAATCCTTACCTAAACTCCAACAATGCCTTTTCACTCCCAACACAGTTTTGGCCTTTTTGGGTTTGCTGTCAACTTTTAATAGGGAAACATGTTCTTTGCCCGTAAATAACATTTAAATTATGAACCTTCAACTGTCAACCTTAACAGTCAACATTAACTGTCAACTTCAACTGTTAACATGAAAATGTCAACAATCATTTGTGTCAATAATGAATAGGAATTGCATTCCAACTCCGAAACCAAAAAATGGTGAGTTTCATCTTTCATCTAAAATCTTTGCTTGTCTTTTCATTGCTGATTCAAACTAATTGTAAACTTGTGCCTTTGATTGTCTCAATATCATATTCCATATTTACAATTGAACAAAATCATGTTCAAGCCTTGAGCATAATCTTGTTGAGTGGTTCTGTAAATTTAATCATGAAAAGGTTGAGAATTTATTTGCTTCTCTTTTGTTTCCATCACTTATTTATACTGAATCTTCCCTCAGGTAAATACCGATAATCATTTGAACTGATTCCTAGCAAAACTCAAAGTAATATCTGACAAAATTGGGTAAACATTGAATAATCTGATAACTTTTTTGCGTAAATCTTCGATAATTGAATCATCACAGTTTCATCAATGATTGGGTGAAAAGTGATTATCAAAAGTGTTGTTTCTTGTGTTCAGGCCAATTCAATTGGTTTCATCAAGTAAATGAAAATAGAAACAAATTATCCGTCAAAATTAGGATTCAATTATTGATCATTATTTATGGCACCTTAGACGATAATTTAGCTCATTCAAGAATCAAGAAGCTTTCTGACCATCAATGAACTTTTCAAATATCGATTTTCAATCTTTTCCTTTACTTTTCAACTTTCATTTTCTGATAGAATCCAGAAAATCTTATTCAGATTGATTCACGAATCTTTGATCAAATCATTTCAGGCAACATTTCACTTTCACTTGAAATCTTTTCACTTATCAAAATTATCAGCCTTTCCCATGACTTGTTACAGAGTTTTCATTGAAAATATTCAACATTTAAAAAGATTCCAAAGATTTGAAACATGATTTCAAATTCGCTTCTTAACCTTTTCTAATCATTTTCATGTTGATTTTTTTGACCAGATAAATGTTTTCGTTTTTTGCTTTTCCATTAAATTAATATTGAATCATGAATTTTTCATTGAATTAAACATGGTTAATCTATTAAAGGTTACAGAAACATATTTTCCTCTTTTCCTAACCTTTAACTGTTATTACAGGTAAATGTTGTTTGTTTGTTATTATTTGCTTTCATCAAGTTCAAGTTTCCAGTGAATAACCAAGAAAAGGGAAATATCGATCAGGAAAAGTTCTGAGATAAGCTGCTCAGGAAGATAAAAGGGAAATCCTGTTTCTTAATATCATCTCATTTTACCTATTAAATCACGTTTATCCAATGTTTACTTGAGTTCTGCGCCTTCCCAGTATTTGCTCATCAATCCCACTTTATAATGTTATTGATTTTTTTGTTTCTTGGCTAACAGTTGGACTTTAATCTGATTGATGTTAAAGCAAGTGAAAACAATTGAATTATTTTTGAGAAATTAAATTTAACCATTTGACTTGCACTTGATTATTCAGTAAAATGAAAAGCTAAAAAATCACTCTTCAGTTTTGATCAATTTTTTTGATAAATCAAATTTTCTCAAATGATTGAAATAGCAAAAAATATTTATGAAAACAAATTCAAAAGACATCAAAGCATTTGAAGGATTAATCGCAAGTCTAATTTTAACTCTACAGATTTGATCCATTGAAGACTAAACCTGGGATTGAGATGTTAATTTAGGCTGATTATTGGGCAAATTGATGGCAAATCAGATATTTCATTGCATTGGATTTGCTATAAGATTGTAATAATAATGACAACAAACGGTGTGAAAGTGAAAGCAACAACTTATACGATATCAAACTCATCATCTTCATCATTATTATTGTTATCAACTCCTCATTGCCAAACCATTCAACCCGAACCTCACATATCATCACCATGGAAACTTTATCATCATCATCATGATGAAGAAGAAGAAGAAGAAAAAGAAAAGGAAAAATGTTCTCGGTTGAAACTCATCTCAGGTATACCTGCGCCTTCGATAAAGTATAGAGTGAAAAGAGGAATGAAACAAGAAAAGGATGAAAGGGAGGCAAAAATATCTTCATGTTTATCATCTCATTCTGGAGCCGGACATGTTGTTTCCAGTTTATCCAAGACTGTTCATGGAACAGGTAATAACTGTTTACCTCGTGTTAAAAATAAAACCAAACCAATTGTCAATTTTAACTTGAAAATGAGTAAAGATCAAAGTGATTCTGGTTCGACTGTTAAACCAACAGCAACCGTTAAAGGTACATCAACCTCTTCACCAACCAAACCATCAAATGAATTAAAATCAACAGTTAAAATGAATGGGCAACCACCAACATCACCTTCAACCTCCAACAATTTACATCAACCAAGTATTGCCAAGGTTTCACCCATTTTACAGTCAAAACGAAGTGATAATGTAAACACAGATTCTAATGAGATTCTGAATGATTCGGATAAAAGAGTTAATCTTGATTGTAATAATGATTGTGTTAAAAGTGATGAGGACAATGTTAATGTAAACTGTAGCAATGAAGATGGCAATGAAAATTGTGAAGATAAATGTAATGTTTCCTTTGGAGTTAAACCTTTGGGTCCATTGAAAATCCATGAAACTGGTAACTATGGGTTAAACGATTTCTATTGTACGCAACCAAATTGTACCGATAAACGAAACCGAGTCCGGTCAGATTGTGGTCGAGCAGGCTGTCGTTTATCTTCCAGGTCATCGTCAATTGGTAATCATCATCGTTCACGAGAAGATTCTTCATCTAGATCACCTTGTTACAGACGATCATCTGGTGGCTCACCTAGAAAATGCAGACGAAGATGTGATAATAGCAATTATATCATTGAAAATGCAAATTCAATTGAAGACAGGTGAGTACACTTAAAACAATTCAATTAAATGAAAGAAAGTCAAGATTAAACCTTAATACTATTAGTTGTAAATTAAAATAACAGGGAAAATTAAAAACTAAATGAGTTTACAAAACCATTCAATATTTACATTTGCAAATGTTTGCTTCATTTGAATTTGATTAAAATTTCAATATTTATTGCATTATAATAGATGGCGGCACTATTACGAATTAATTTTCATCTCTTTTAGATACTTTTTGTTCAAATGTTTATTGAACTATTGATTAAATGATTGTAATTTATGTGTATTATTATTACTAATAGTTTCAATGGCTAACTCTTCCGTTTGCTTGTTAAATGTCAATCTTGCCTTCAATTGTTGTGAAAGATAATTTCAATGGATTGAACCTTTTCTTTGTCCCCCTAACAATCTTTGTATTTTGTTACATTGATGAAAGTTTAATGAATGTGTATATTGTGATATTGTATAACTTGAACAGTGACATTGAAGATAATTGCGTGTTCAGAATTTTTGATGATTACACTTAATGATGAAGAATACATTTCTGAGCATCTTCGTCGTACATTTTTCTTGATTCTTGATAACTAGGCAAAGAATGATGTTGAAAATGATTTATCAAGGGATGATGAAGACTAAGAAAAGGAAAAAAAAGGAGTAAAAGACTGGAGAAAGAAAAAATTTATACCAGAAAGGAAAAGATGATTACGTTAAAAGTTATGATGTTCATGGAAACAGAATGATGAACAAAGTAAACTCAACTTTTTTTCATCTAAATTACCATTTTTTATCATGCTTTACTGAACCTATGCTACCTAGTTTTTCATTCAACATTGTCATTCATATGTAACATCTATGTTTACCTTTCATATTTTGTTTCACTGTTTATCATCAAGGCAAAAAAGATTCATTACAATGAACCTTTGTTCATTAAATCTTCAAATTCCCGGTTAATAGCAGAATAACTCATTACAAATGTTATTCATTGTTATATAATGTTCCCAAGATATTATCACTTTCAATGGTCTTGTCCAAATTTGTCCAGTTCAATCCATTTCCATTATCTTGGCCAATGTTCAGTCCAGCTTTAGTTACAATTAAATCAAAAATATTTCATTGAATGGTTCGCTGCTTAAGCTCAACGAATGAAAGTTAATTGTTTTATCCTTTTGATTTTAGTTTCATTTACCTTCTCAATTGCTACCAATTTGATATTTTTATATTCAATAAGCAACCAAATTGATTTTCACGCAAATGATAGATAGTCATGCAATCAAATATAACTCCAGTATTGAGAAAACTCTTAGAAACATTCTTATTGTAATTTTTTCCTGAACAATTCAAAATAATTAGCTCTAAATATTCAATCACTTGAGCTTGAAATGAGATAATTGTTGATCTCATTGTTATAAATTTTCATTTTAAACCAATCTTTTATGCTTTTGTTTGATACTCAGTTGAGACTTTGTCATGAAAAGAGATTGTGGAAATTTTAATTGAAAAATTGATGAATACCAACATAATTGAAAAACCGCTCACATTGAATTGTAAATTCAAAACTAAATTTATATTTAAATTAAGGCTCAACTAAAAGTATAAATATTGCAAGAGTTTGCTTTTATTTTGATCACAACTTTCATTAAGATAAATGTTCAACTCAGTATCTAAACCAATTTATTAATTTAATTGTATAACCAATGAAAGTTCAATGTAACTGAAAGCTGGAAATAGCCAGTTGAGTTGGTCAGTTGAGTTGAACTCGTAAATATCAAATGTTGGAGATAATTAGATTAACCTTTAGTTTGATTAAAAAATGGATAAATCTTCAATTGTTGTTGGATGTGCGGCTTTTTAATGGTAACTATCAACATTAATGAGCCAATTTAAAGCCCAAACAATGTTAAAAGATGCTTAATAATTGAGATTAAGACTCAAGATTACAGCATTAAGACGATTAAACCAGCTTTTTTAATCCTGACTGAGCAAGAAAAATGAAACAAAATTACAAACCATTTTTCATCAGTTCAGTCTTTCACTGATCAATCCTAGCAAATTTCAACCACCAATCAATAAACAGATCAATTGAATATGAAGCCAAAAAAATTTAGTTTCAAATGAAAATCAAAATATTCAGCTTTTAAATCTTGTAATTTTATCATTTGAAAAGCACTTCCAATTACATTGACCTTACCGCGATATTGAAATATATTTTTATCAAGCTAACTTTCCTTATGATAATCGAGTGAATTTATAATGACATTAGCTGTCTTTTTGTATTTTTATATTTTCCTCATCCAATTGTCAAGCTGAAATAAATGCCTTTTTGGTAGTTTGAAGCTAAAATATTCAACAGTTATATTGAAACAGTAATGTTGAGCTGTTGATTTAGTCCATTTTATGGGCCAAGGGAGGACTTAATGGGTGCAACAAGAAGCAAGGAGCAAGGAGAGGATGAAGATGAGGAAGATTATAAACATTGGATCGATATCGATGCTACAATTCCGTTGGCTTTATCCTCTTCATTTTGCTCTGCTTCAATTGAATAACAATAAAGTCCTTCCAGGAGGGAAAGAAGATGAAGAAAAAAAGTAGATTGGGAATGATAGAGAACAGGGGAAAGAGAAGATAAAAAAGAGCTGGGAGTTGAAGAGAAAGGGAAAGTGAGGGAGAAAGAAAGAAGATGAGGAGGAAAAGAAAGAAGAAGAGAAAAGGCTGAAGCAAATGTGATTTATAAAAATGCATCTTTGGGTTGTCACTTGAAATCGCAATATGCTTTACTTACTGTTAGACTTTTGTGTTTACTTTGATTGCTTTTCCTTGTCTCTCTTTTCATCTTAATTGTGTTTAATTACCATTAAAGTGTCTCCCAATCAATCTACCAATTGTGAAGTTAAATAGTGACTTTATTTATTAATAATATTGATTAAATGTGGACAAACTCGTAAAGCCTGATATAACATAGAAAGCATAGCCATTAGAGAAACCATAACAACGGAAAACATCAACAGTCTCATTTTTAATGTGAAGTAAACAATTTATGTTGATACACCGATTGTTTAATAATTAATAATGTAAACTTATTTGGTTTAATTTGAGTGATCATTTGATTTATTTGAAAATGACAGTTGTAGTGATTAATATTTATTTGAATGTGCTTACAGTTTTGATGATACATCCTCATTGTCATCGGAAAGTGCAACAACAGCTACAACAACAAGCTCGTCTATGAGTTCATCGACTTATGGTGACATCCCAGGAATCTTGAATCATCAATTGATTAAAACTTCTTCTGACTCCAATGCTAAATTAAGTGTCAATCATCAATTTCAAACATCAGCATCTAATCAGCACCAATACATTTCCAATAACCAACAACAATACAATCAAAAAGCCCATCAACAAACTCCACATAAATCCTCTAAGCATTACCGTAATGGTAATTCTAATCATTCAATGTCTAATGATTTAAATCGATCAACTAATCCAACATGTTCACCGGCACCACCGGCAACACCAACTCATTGTCCAGTGATTAGATCACCACGGAAATCGTCTAATGTTAAAAAAGCCGATTCTTCAATCCAAACAGAATCATCGGCATTGTCTGGTCGATCAGTTGACTCTATTCACCACAACAGTAAACATTCAATTCCCAGTTCATTACCGGTCTGGAAAAAGTATATTCATGAGCAGCATATTGTCATGAAGCCGAATACCATTTCAGCTTCTTCCAATCAAACAAATATTCAACCAGGTAAAGGGGCAATGGGTTCATCTGGAGGATCATCGTCTGGTAACAAAATGTCGTCAGATTTTTCAATGTCCAATGATTCACTTAGACACCTGAAATATACTGGAAGCAAAGGATGCACTTCATTGGGTTTTATTGGAAATGGTTTGAGTGGATCGAGTACAATTGGGTCTCCTTATCACCCTAATAATTCAGATAGTAAGGCAATTGCTGTTATTAGAGCGACTTCAGCAACAACAGGAAGAATACCTAACCATTCTAAATCATATGCTGGGTCTGGCAGATTAAAAGGGACCGGTAAAGGTGTTAGCCAAACAACAGGATCATCATCACCGTACTCTTACTCGGATGGAGTTTACTCTGACACAGAATATATGATGTCAAAGCGATCCTCTTCATCGGCATCAAATTATTACAACAACAAATACTCTTATTTAACATCTCCAGTTCGTATCCGAGGTAACCAGAGTAATTCTCGAACGACTGGAAACACTAATGGAGGTAATTCAGGTCCCTCAAGTTTGCCTTACAGCTCTTCTGAAATGTCATCTGATTGGTTATCTCGAGACTCAAGTGGTTACGGTCAAATATTGAGTCCATGGTTACAACGAAATGGATTTGGACTTCAACGTAACGCTCTTACAGAGGCAGAAAGCATGGAAAGTTTGAATGATAATGGGAAAGGTTTTCAAGGAAACGGTGTTCCTGGTAGTAGATTACATGGTACAAATGGTGATGGTTTGGGTCACTCACGTCGACCCAGTTCAGTTACTTCCAAACTAAATTCAAATCAAGGTGATCATTCATCAACTCCTAGTCGTTTGCCAATGACTCCCAACCGAAGTAGACTTAGGGCTTCAAATGGATCAATTTTAGCTAGTCCAAGCCTTGGAAGTGATTTAACCAGAAAAACAATGGATAAAGACAGTGATCTCTACTCTTCTGCTTTATCTTTAGTTTCAAATTCAACAGTGTTCACAGTAAGTGCCGCTTAACAGTTTGTTACAGAGTGTAATTACTGATCAAAATTCTTGTATCTTCTTTTAATGAGGAAGACTCTCTTGATTATATTAGCTCTTTAAACATGAAATGATCATTTAATCTGTTTTCCAATTTTTGTTTACAGCAAGTTGAAGATAAACACAATTTGGAAGTTCGTAAACTTAAGCGTGATCTAGAGCAAGCAAATGAAAAGGTTATTACCCTTACATCACAACTAAACACAAATGTGAGTAACAATTTGAGTATCAAAGATGATAGCCAGATTTAGCTATTTATCCAATGATTAAATTAGTAATACAGTTTGTAGTTTTTACTAACAAATATTTTTATTTTCTTAACCAGGCTCATATGGTAACCGCATTTGAACAATCTTTATCAGTAATGAATTCTCGTCTTCAACAATTGACATCAATGTCTGAACGGAAGGATGTTGAGCTGACTCGTTTAAGAAACATGATTGATGAGATTACTTGTCATAAAAAACGAGACCCAAATGATTCAATCGAGAGTTCACCTGTTAAAAAAGGAGATAAAAAAAGTAAAGAGAATAAGTCACTTCTCATAAGAAGGCATACTTTTGCTTCAGTTAATTCTGATGGTAAGATTGATCATGTTAAATCAATGAACTTCTTTATTTTTAAATCTTTTTTTTCTCGACAGCCTCCCATAGAGTCTAATTAAATCTCTTGAGGAATAAATTAATAAATTAAAATATATTTATTTTCTGTATTTTTTGTTGATTATATAGATCTCAAATCTAACTTGCCTCGTCATCGATCAAAAGATTCAGTTTCCAGTTCACCTGAACGCGATGTTAAACAATCTGGGAACAAAAATCGTAAAAAAGATCGCAAATACTCAGCCGATACGATTGACTCTCAAGGATCTATTCCTGTTCAAAGCTCCAAAGGCTGGTTGAGAAGCTCATTGACCAAAGCTTTTCGCAAATCAAAGAATGGCTCAAAGTGTCATGGATCAATATCTGATGCAGAGATATTGTCATCAATGGGTGGTAATGTTGTCCGAAGGAATGGTTGTGCTCTTATGGATTCCTGTTCAGTTCCTAGTTCACCAATGATGACACTTAAATCATATAGAGATTTGCCAACAGGAGCAGATAGATTGGAAGATGAAATGGTTGATGGATTGAAACAGCAACTCAGAGAAAAAGAAAAGGCATTAACTGATCTGAGATTAGAATCATTGACAGCAGCTCATCAATTGGACAACTTTAAAGAAATGGTTAACAAAATGAGAGCTGAAATGATGTCATTAAAACAAGATAATGATAGATTACAAAGGATGGTAATAACTAAATCACTGGCTTCTTCAAAAAGTTCAGTCCTAAGTGGCTCAGGTAGTGGAGGCGCGAATGGGACAAACGGTTTATCTCCAAACGGTGAAGCTCATCAGCATTCCAAAAACTCATCTATTCAATTGACTGACCTCGACGATACCTTGCTTGAGGGAGGACGAAAGGTATCACTTCTTTTGGGTTCACTCACTCCCAATGGTAATAATGGAACCGGTAATGGACTGTTGATTGGAACGGTTATTGTTTCACCAGAAACTACATGGGGAATCCTTGATGCTTTGGTCAGAAAAACTGTTCAAGACTATCTTGACAGAATTGACTCGGATCGTAATTTAGGTCTTTCCCTTGAATCGATAGCTTTTTATGAAGTTGGTTCTGAGCGACAACTTCGTAATTTAAGATCCTCATCCTCATCTTCGTCTGGAAATGAATCATCACCTGAGCTATTACCATTCGGATACATTGTTAATGAATCAATAATTAAACTGGGTTGTCGGTCGTTCTTAGAATCTTTCGTTTTTGAAACATTAATTCCTAAAAATATTATCCAACGGTTTGTTAGTCTTCTTCATGACCATAAAAGACTCATACTTTATGGTCCATCTGGAACTGGTAAAACATATTTAGCCTCTAAGCTGGCTGAATATTTGGTGGTTAAAATTCAGCGAGGTGATCGAACGAGTAAAGAAAGTTATGATTCCGGTGATGGAGATAATTTGGGTGAAATGATTCCTCCAGGATCCATCGCTACATTCAATATTGATCATAAATCGGCAAATGAGCTCAAATCATACTTAACCACTCTTGGAGAGCAACTAGAATCTTCCGATGAAACATGCAAAGATTTGCCAACAGTCATTATTCTTGACAATTTACACCATGTTACATCAATTGATGATCTATTCACCGGTAACACCATTTTTCATAAAAATAAATTGTGAGTACATATTTTTCAACTGCAATTATCAAGCTCTTTATGGCTAGTGTGTAAAAGTTTAGTAATATCACTGTCTGTAGTAATCACAATGCTAATTGTTTTTTATTATTCTTAAAGTCCTTTCATTATAGCAACAATGTGCCAAAGTAATTCTTGTACACCAAATTTACAACTAAATCATAATTTCCGTTGGCTGTTATGTGCCAATCACATGGAACCTGTTCGTGGTTTCCTTTCTCGTTACTTAAAGCGTAAACTAGTTACCTCTGAGATTGACGCGGGTTCAATTGATTTAACCATCCCAACCAATATGATCACTATTGTAGACTGGATACCTAAAGTTTGGAATCATATTAATCATTTTCTGGAAGTTCATCATTCATCTGACGTTACTTTGGGTAAGTTTCAAAATGTAATCGAGTTTAAACATTATACTAATAATTTAATTATTTTTGCAGGGCCAAGTTTATTCATCACTTGTCCAATTGACTTGGAATCTTCTCGAGCCTGGTTTAATGACCTTTGGAACTATTCAATACATCCTTATTTGATTCAAGCAGCAAGAGAAGGCCTACAAAAGAATGGCTTAAGAAGTCCATTTGAAGACCCGACAAGCTGGATAATTAAAACTTATCCTTGGAAACAGTCATTAATTGAAGACTCAGTCACAACAAATGATGAGAATGGCTCAGAAAACTCGACAATTAATATCAACCCAATAAAACTCGATGATATTCAACCTTATCCTGGTCTAACAATTTCATCGCCAATCTCAGATCCACTTTCAGATATGTTACTTCGGCTTCAAGTGGCCACAAGTGCAAACGAAGATTCAGATGGAAGTGGATTAGGCCCCCAAAGTCAAAATAAAGACAACTCAATTTGAAAGCTGAAAGAAGACAAAGTGAAATATTAAATTTCCAGACTGAACAAATAATTTCAGAAAAACAAATTTCCATGTTACCAAAAAATATCCAAAAAATACTCTAAGTCATCAATAAATTTTTAATACACTTCTATTATATTATGAATGGTTGATAAACTAGCTCATTAAAAAAGAAAACTTTCATAAGTAATAAATCAGTCACAATTAAATCGTTTGTAATTCTCTGTTAAAGTTTTTGTACTTAATCATGAAAATTCCATTTCTAAAGATTTTTAAGCTTGTAATCAAGTTCCCGATTTGCTTTCTAATAAATCAATTTGCCTAAATCTTTTCAATTTTGACTTCATTCATTTTATTCAAGATCGTTGTATTTGATAACTTTATTTTAAATCAGACTTATCGAGTTATCGTCTTTAACATCCAATGGCGGACGTAAAATATTCAATTTATAATTAAAGTAGTTCAGAAACAATGACTTATTGTAGAAGTCGATTATCAAAGTGACATTAGTGACAGCAATTAAGTATTCAAATGAAACAAAGCAAACTGAAAATAAAGTAACAATGAAAAATTGTAGTTAAAAGGAAAACATTTGTTTAACTGAAAAGAAATAGATGGTTATTAATGAAGTTATTTAATAATGATCATGAAATATAATGAACTTATTAAGAAATTTGAAAATAAAACATTAAACATTAGATCTGAAAATTAAATTGTATTACACTGATTCTGATCTTTTTGGATTGAAATTTTTGATGATTGAAAATGACTTTTTGTTAGTTAGTCCAGTTGTAACCAATCTTTGTGAGCTGATTAGTTTTATAATGATGCAAAATTAAGCAAAGCAGTAACGAGAAACTAATTAATAGCTAATCTAGATAGCAAAAAAAAATGACTTGCTTCGCTAGTTTCAAGGCCTATTCTTAATCGAGAGGCGACCTGAAGATGTGTAAATAACCAGATCTTGAGGGTTTAAACTAAAGAATCGATAATAATGTTTAAATAAATAGACAGGCATGATGAATATTTGTTTTAATCATCGTAAACGATTACTCAAAATGATAGTGAAAAGTCTGAACATCATGTTCATCATTATTTTTGTTAATTGCAGGAACAATTTTGTTGGCAACATCTTCCTCTGTAGGATAACTACCATCAAGACCAGGAATGGAGTCAATTTTCTTATTAGTCTCAATTGTTTTAGACGCAATAGTAAACGCTGCTTCGGCTGCTTTCCTTTGTTCTTCTAATTGCCTATTATAGTCCTCGATTTTTTTATTGTACGCATCTTGGAGTAATTTTTTCTCATCTTCAGAGGTCTCTTTTGAAATTGTGTCCTTAATAATTTCCTCCATATCCATTGGATTTGAAGCTTTAGATAATTGTTCCAGTAATTGAGATATCTTTTGATGATTTGCTGTTGTTGCAGCTTGTTCAATGCTTGTTTCTAATGCTGTTGATGGTATTGTTACTGGTGTTGTTGATGGCGCCGATGTTGATGGAATGTTGAGAATGTCATTTTCTTCGGGGTCGTAAGGCTCATCTTCATCAACTTTTTTCTCTGATTCTTCTTGCGGTTCGTCTCTCGGGGGAGGTGTTAAACTTGTACCAGGATCATATGGTTCTTCATTTGTAGCTTCCTCAACTTTTGGAAATGCGCCTGTGCAAATTGACAAAGAAAGGGATTGAAAATAGAAAGTAGAAATTAGAAAAAGGGAAAATAAGTAAAGACAAAGTAAGACAGCTAGAAAGACTAAACTACACCATGTTTTTATTTGCGAACGTACCGGGCTTACCTTGAGGTGGTGGTGTATAAGATCTATCAGGTTGCTCTCTATTAAATGAAATGGCGCTTTCAGTTATCTTTTTATTTTCACTAGCAATTTTCTCTTTAACAATAGATTTAGAAGGATGTTTTCTATTTTTTACTAGAATTCCTAACAAAAGATTAGGTCTATTAGAGGGTATACCGGGTCCATCAAAAGGTAACAGTACTTCGGGAGGATCTGCATCTTTTGGCAACGGAAGAATATAAAAGTCTTTAATTGATTTCCCTGCTCCAACAACGCCATATCTTTTCCTTGTGTTTAAATATTCGAAAAATTTTTCGTACTGAGTTCTCTCTTCATGATGGGCTGGTTCAAATTGTATAACTGCTATATCTGTACGAGTTGACTTTAATTTCTTAAGATAATCCAATACTTGCTCAGGAGCAATACGCCCACGTACAGTAATGGAATCGGGTACATCCTAAATGAAAAATAACAATTTTTTAGAAAATTAGAAACAAAATGATAATTAAATGGTTTTTGTGTATTTACCTTCAATCGATTGTCGGAGATTCCGCTGATTCTATAAGCTGTTGCAAAGAATTTGGCAACATCAACCATATAAATAAAACCTTTCCAACAAGAAGGAATTAAATTGCTTTTTGCTTCGGGCGGTGGAGAGACAGTTGATGAAGCTACAAGATCTTCACTAGATTCGTGAATACTTGATTCATTAGTTGAAAATGATACAGGTTTAGTTGATTTAGAAGCTTTGACAGCTTCTTCAATAATTCTTGTAGTTGGTGCTTCAAATTCAACTCTGACTCTCTTCGGTTTTGGTGTTTTACTCTCGATTACTGATCTTGGGGGTGATACTGGTTTTTTAGACTTTAAATGAGACAAACTAAGATCGGATTTGGTTTTTTTTGTACATATTTTACAATGAGCGTCAAATAAGTGTTGCCCGTGTTTGTCTGTAGTATCTTCTTCTTTTTGTTTATCTAGTGAGCTATCTCTCAGTAGATCTAAAGCAGATAAAGCATTGCTAGTGATTTTTTCTTTAGAAGGAGTTTCCTGAGTTACTATTGTTGTTGACACCACTTCTGCAGCTTTGGGTACTTCTTCTTCTTTGGTTGGATCAATGGTCTCAATTGATGCCTTAGTTTCGATAACTTCTTCTCCTTTATGGGTTTTTTTCACAATTACTTGTTGAATCATTGCTTCAGATTCTCTCTTGATCATTTCTAATGCGTGTTTATTCTCTCTTTCTCTCCATTTGGCCAATTCTGATGAGGCCAGCTCATCATGAGACATGCGAACCAGCCTATCGGGTGTTATACTTCCGGTCAAAACTTTACGAAATAGACCTTGATTTTTAGGATCTTTCAAATTAAAAACCAAACTTCGATATCGTGTTTTGTACTTGTTACTAGTTTCTTTGTTAAAATGGTTAAAAAGTTCCTCTTCGATCTTGAAGGCTATTTTTTTAATATCTTCGCCGAGCAATTTATTGTCAGCTTCTTGACACCTGGTTTGTAAAGTTTCCTTCAAAACCTTTTTGACATTATGACGTATAGTTTCGACTGAATTATCATCCCTTCTAGAATCGGTTTTGGCGGTAATCTCACTTGGTTTTTGTTTGGCATTGCCATCTTCTTTTTTCTTGGTCAAAGATCCTTTAATTTGAGGTGTTGTTGCTTTAGGTGCATCTTTCTTCTTTTCATGATCGCTGGATTGACTACTTTGACGACGGACAAGGTTAGGTTTCAAAACTTCAAACGTAGGATTCAGTTTAACATATTCTAAGACCTTGTCTTCAGTTGGTGCACTTGCTCCCGAAATGAGACGACCAGTTGACTTTTCCACAAGATTTACACGAAGTTTCTCAGCTTTATTGCCATTTGCATTTGAGCTGTGAGCACGAAATTGTTTGATGACATCAAGTGAGTCTTTAACGTGTTTTTCCAAACATGCTTCTGTACAGTAAATGCTGAACTCTTTACCCTTGATGGCACCTTTAGAAATTGTTTTTCCACAAGAGACACAATTTTGTTCACTTAATGATAATGACTTTTTCCGGTAACTTTCCCCTCCAATCGAGGGCCTTTTAGAGTTGGGCGTTAATGAACTCGGTGTGTTGGGTGTTGATGGAGCAGATTGGCCTAACTTTTTGGGCATCATGATAGGTTCTGCTTTGAAAAGATCATTAAAACTTGGGTCAATTGGATTCATCTTTAGTTTTTTCTTCTTATCTTCTTGTTTCCTTATCAAAGGAACGACTTTACTGATAGGTTCCCATCTATTACTGTCCTTCTCTTTCTCTTTATTTTTATCTGTCTCCTTTTCCTTGTTACTCTCTTTATCCTGATCTTTTCCTAGTTCAGGACTCGATTTAGGTTTAGTTTTTTCCACTTTGGTAATTTTCTTTGTCAATTCCATTTTAGATGATTTAATTAACTTTCTCAATCGTTTTTTTTCTTTTTTCTCAATCGAAGAAATATTCCCTCCAGCAGCTTTGAGTTTACGCTGTTTCAAAACGTCTCCAATAGAAATCAAATTTTCATTTTTTACAACTTTTTTACTCAATATTTCTTTTCCTTCGCTACTCTTTGCTTTAATAGGCTTTTTAGGGGTTGTTTGAATGTTCACAGGATTAGTGGGCGGGGAAGTGGATTTGGCTGGTGCTTCAGTCACTGTGGAAGAAACTGGTGCTGGTGTAGTAGCGACTGTTGGCTCTGTTGGAACTGGAGAAAGAGATGCTGGTGCCGGCGTCGGCGTCGGCGTCGGTGTTGTTGGCTGTAGAGTGGTTTCAATAGTAGCCAGCATCAATGAAGTATCAGATGGAGATTTTATTGGCTGCGATAATGATGGTTCTTGCTTCACTACAACTTTTGGGGTTTTAGTTTCAGCGGGTTTCGCAGTTCTACATTTTGAGCAGTACCACTTTTTGCCCTCCTTTTCAAACATAGTACCTTTCGCTCGAGTGACTCCAACACATGTTCCGTGGAACCATTCTGAACATCCATCACATTCAATCATAAACCTATTATTATGCGGTTGCCTACAAGTACACCATAGCTTATCTGGATCATCTTCGTCCTCATCATCCTCGTTCTCCTCGTCACTTGACACTGTTTTATCTTTGACTTCGGGCTCTTGACGAACACAAATTTTCTTTGCAGATGATGGTGTTGATTCAGAAGCAAGTTCTGAAGCAGTACCAGAAAAATCGACCTCGACCTCGTCGTCATCCCATCTTTTTGGCTTCCTCCTCTGTCTCTGGGATCTCTGACCAGTACTTTTAGTTATTTCTTTAGATTCAACATTTTCTTTTGCAGTTTCCAATTTACTTATAGTTTCTTCAGTTTTCACTTTAACGGTGTTTTCTGGAGCCTTCTTTTTGCGTTTTGGACCAGTTGCTACTCCGGGAGTCGATCCACGCTTTCTTTGAACTTTCTTCTTTTCTTGTTGATCGAAGTCGATTATTAAACCGTCTTCAACTTTGTCATCATCTTCGACATCTTCCTTTTTAACAGTAATTGCTTCAGGAAGATCATTGTCCGGCTTACGGGCTATTATGCTTTCTGCAGGTTTAGGTAATTTGGCTGCTTCCATTTCTTCCTTTTCCCTTTTCAACATTTCAGCGTTCTCTGCTTTTATCTTCTCCAAAACTGACTTCTCTATACGTTCGATTTGTCTCTGAGATCTCCTTTGAGGTGTAGATGGTGGAGAAAAGGAAGATGAACTAGCAGTATTGTAAGAGAAAGTAGGCTCTGTTTCTCTAGTCTGATTACTGATGGGTAAACTTGGGACAGAATCAACAACAGAGTCAACAACAGGAGCAACAACAGGAGCGATTGGAGCAGTTGATGGTGGTTGTTCCGTTGTGACAATCTCATTGTTGACTTGGGGAATTCTTTGACGCACAGGTTGACAAGCATAAGGATGATCAAGTTGAATGGTATCGATAAAGTGAAATGTAGGGATAGCAGCAACCGAATGGCCAGTTGATTGACCATTGTTATTTGTAGATACTAGATGAGAATGAGGACCAGAGGAAGATCCAATTTCCAGATTACCTCCGAGTAAATCTACCTCAGGTTGATTTTGATGTGGATGATCTCGAGTTAATTGATTCACCAAGGAATCCAAAGCATCAACAAAGTCCAGGCCATCTTGGTCTGTGGCAACATGTCCTGAAGCAACAGTAGCGGTTGATGGATTAACAGTTGAAGATGATGATAAATTAGAACCAGAGACAGTTCCGTGGGCAGACCCATGATTATCCAATATGGTTGCTGCTAAATGTTCAAAGCTCTTTGAATCTGACAAAATTTGCTTCACTGAATCACTCGACAACACTTCATCCAATTTATGTACTTCATCATTGGTAAAATCAAATGGACTGTTGTTCAATTGACCACCAGTGGAAGAAGTCCTATGATCCATTGTAGCCATTTGCTTCATTAAAATAAACTCAAACTAAACAATTGTCTTCTGTAGTTCATAATCATAATTAATAGAATTAAATTAAGAAATAATTATTTAAAACAAAAACAAAAACATTCACGGTTCTATCTCACAAAAAAGAGATGGCATTATAACAACAAATAGACAGATAAAAAATGAAAGGAAAATCAAATAAGAAAGGGAAAAAAGGGAAAAGAAAGAAAAAAAGAAAGAGAAGAAAGAGAAATGGAATGAAATGAAATGGCGCTTAGGCAGACATTTTTTCAGTTCTGATTGTTGAGGAAAAGATCAGTAGATGGCTCTTCCACTACAGCTAAAGAACGGAATTCACTGCTTTTCGTATCGTTACGTAAATCGCGCAAAGTATGAAAATAAATTAACTTCTTTACCAAACTTTTCCTTTCAATTTAGTTTAACCTTCAAGAAATAAAAATGACAAAATTATGAAAATTTGTTGACTATCTTGGCAATTTAGTCCGATTTATCTGTTGTTTCTAATAAGTTCATATTTATTTGCTACTAATGAATGATTGATTGGATCGATTAATCAAAAAATCATTATAAGCGTCAATCTAACCAACGCTACATCAACGCCTCTTGCTTTATTTCATAGATAATTTGTTGACTTATTAAAGTTGACATTGTTATTACAAGATAATTCCTGTTAAATCTTGTTATGTTGATTTTTCCTTCAAATTATTTATTTTTAATCAGTTAATTTCAATTATTGTGCATCCGGTATTTACCAACAAATAGAAAATAGTTTACTTTCGTTTTAATATAGTTTTGGTGAAATTCTCAACCTAACCATGGGCCTTCTATATGCAACTCAATATGGTGTTTATGGAGTAACCTTATTCGTCATAATATGCTTTTCTCTATATTACATGTTGACCGGAAGAGGGTCTCGTATGGGGGACATTCAATGGTTACTTGAAGGTACAATGTTTTTATTATATCTCAATTTGCCAAGTCGGCCTCATTTATCTGGGTTATTTGTAACATACTGTTTATCATGCACATCTAACGATCATGTTTATTGTTGAACTAACCTGTGCTTTTTTCTATACCAGGTATTTCTCCTTACTATTGGTGTGCCATGGGTATCGGCCTATCTATATCACTGAGTGTTGTTGGAGCCGCTGCCGGTATATTTGCTACTGGAGTATCAATTGTAGGTGGTGGTGTTAGAGCACCCAGAATTAAGACAAAAAATCTAGTCTCTATTATTTTTTGTGAAGCTGTAGCAATTTATGGTATCATCATGTCAATTGTAATGCTTAGTAATTTCGAGGCATATAATCCTACATTGGCGGAAGAAAATTTCGAAATCAAAGCCAAAAATTATTTTTCTGGTTATATCATGTTTGCTGCAGGCCTCACTGTTGGATTGAGTAATTTAGCTTGCGGTTTATCCGTTGGTATTGTTGGTAGCGGTGCTGCTCTTGCAGATGCCGCTAATTCAACTCTTTTCATCAAAATTCTTGTTATTGAAATCTTTGCCTCTGCTATCGGACTTTTTGGCCTTATTGTGGCAATCCTCATGACCAGTCATATTTCCATGGGACCAAAATGATTCAAAGCTCAGGGTAATATTACTTAAATCAAAATGAAGATAACATTTTTTGTCTATAATAATTTTCTATGAGGTGCTTAATCAAGAGACTTTCCAACAACGCAAAATGGACATTTAATTAGCCATCTATTCAGCGTTGAATACATTAGAAAGTAAAACGTTTATAGCATGATTTATTTTGGCTATTGTGCTTATGAATGGCAAGGACCAACACTTTTTGACCAATTTGTATAATCGGAAAATATGTACATAAAAGTTGAACCATTAAATTTTATTGGTTCTGTTTTAACCAATAATCGGAAAGATAAAACATTTTTCTTGGTCTCCAATTTAAGTAAAAGATTTGCGTAAAGCTTCAAATTTTAAAATGTATTTTCCACTTCCAATGTATTTAATGAACATTGCTTCTGGCGCTATTATAGTTTTTAGGGACCCATTCTTTGTAACAACTACATTCCTTGCTTCGCAACTAATCAATCTTTGCATAAATTAGTAGAGATAATCACAATTTTCGTGAGTTTGTGAAGACTTCGTTTTTAAAAAAATTGTTATAACTGATTTTAATACAAAATAAGTGTCAAATTTACAAAAATCTCCTTAAGCTAAGACTTAAAATAAAAAATAATCCCCAGATTTGGTCATGATTTACATTAGATTAATACAAAATTCATTTGAAGATCATTTGCAAATGCTAAATGAAGTTAAGCTTTACAACAATAAACCAATTTATCAAAGTAGGATCATTTCTGGGCGCAAAGAAATAAACGTGAGAAATTAACAGAAAAGCTGTTGACCAGATTTAGATAATTTATTCATAAAATTGATCAATTTCAAAATTTTGAGGCTTGAAACTTAACCAAATTTAATACTCTTTCATGCAAATCAATGAGTAATCTTGCATTTTTTATGAGATTATTACAAATGCTATTTAGTAAGTATAGAAATTTCTGATCGATCCTTGATTGCTGATCGTAAGACAGATGTGTTAAAATCAAATTTAGTCAAATATTCCCCATCGAATTTGGCGAAATTTTATTAATATATACATAAATGTGAATTAAATGTTTGTGAATAATCAGATATATTAGCTTAAGCGATTTGCGGTATCATACCTGCATATTTAGGCAATCGCGCTCGTAATTCTTCAAGTGAAATATCTTCTTCGGGATGAATTATTCTAGATGTTGCACCTGTTGAGGCAACTGACGCTGGTTTGGAAATTACAGAGCTAGATGAAGGTGGATTGGTTGTACTTGTCGAGTTACTAAGTATAGGCTTAAAATCAGCTCCAACAACAGTGGTCGAAGATGAATTATCAGCGCCTGTGTTTGATACACAGGGGAAAAGTGGCTTACTAGGTACATTTGTTAATGTGCCAGTTGGAATCACCGAATTAACCAATGGTTGCGGTGGAATTAAAGGTGACTGAAGGGGTAATGTAGAAACATATGGGGTTGAAGGAGCACCGATGGTTGCATAAACATTAGGATTTGTTTGAGGTTGTACAGGAACCGGTGGTGCTGTGTATGGAGCTGAAAGAAATGTTATAAAATAAATACATTAGTTACAATTCAAGCTAAATCATGTTTTGACATACCGGGTGGTAGGTAACCAGGCATCATGTATGGCGTTGATGGAGGAGGAATATTCAACCCTACCACTTGAGGTGGTATCATACCAGAAGCTGCAGCGACCATTGCAGCTGGACTTGTTAGTGGCGGCGGCATTTTTGGCATTTGAGGCATCCCAGAAGATGGTTGGCTCATTATTGGAACATCATTAGATGGATTTCCTTTTTGTCGTTCATGTTCTCTTAGATCGGCCTCTGGAATACCTTCCATTCCATAAATTTCGATATCCACACTGTTACGGTTAGGTAGAGCATTTGGTATCTTGTCAATAGTTTCTTTATGTACCTGAATACAATGAATAGCCATACCTGGTCCCGTGTAAAGTTTTTTATGACATGTAGGGCATTTAAAATGCTTTGCTTTTTGGTGCTGTATCAGAATTTTTTCATCATCAAATTCTCTATTACAATACCTGCAAGACAAGAAAAAAGAAGAATGATAAGTAAATTAGAGATTCAATAAAATTAAACTTACCAACACCAAGGTTTAACTGGCTTTTTTTTCTTTCTTCCCATTCTGTATTAGCTAAGATTACTAAAAGGGTGGGATTTGGAAGTAAATTTTAAGACCTATTGATCAATAATATTGATGAACTGAAATCGTGTTAATGCTCCAAATTATGAATGAAAGTTGCTTGAACAAATGAATCAATCAAAAATTAAATGACCATTTTTGAAAAAAAAACAAAACACAATACAATTTCTAGTAAGTTGAGCCATGAATGAGCCAGCCGCGTGTTCAACTTTGCTTCCATTTAGCGCCATTTTTAATTTACAGAAGTTTTTCAAATATTGATTAGATATTTGATTATCAATTAAATATTTTAAATTTTTCGTCACATAACAGGTTTAATCTCATTGATCTATCCATATAATCATTAGAAGTGTGAACAGCCACAGTTTCAAGCTTTCATAAGAGCATTTTTACATCTATAACTGTAATGATTTTATTGTTGTTTTCATAATGAAATATTTCATCAAAATAATTGTCTTTTTATTGAATAACGAGATTAAAAAATTTCCGTTTGTCAATTTACGAAGATTATTGCGATTTTTATGGTTCCAACTCGTCATTTGATAATGTTTTCAATATAATGATTTTAAATAGTATTTAACAAGATAATGAATCGATATCTTTTGCTACATCAAAAGATATCATTTTGTAGTCAGATGTCAATTTCAAAAAGTTCAATAAATACATGAGCAATTTCACATTGAATGTAATAGATTTATAATTTATTTTATAGCAATTGGAATGGCAAGATAAAATGATGCATGACAAAATATGGTGAATGAAAATGAGTAAATACATAATACAATTTTTAGAGTTTATAATAATTGAATTTGAATTTTGTTTAATAGAGCGATTTCACTTGAATTTTCACAATTATAAGCAACATTATTATCATATAGCATATAATGTTGATTAGTAATAAAAAAATTCAAATGAAATCACTGTATTCATTGAATTGTCAAAACTTCATAAGCCATATGTTTATAAAGTTGCAGATATTGTAGTGCTAATGGCAATATCCCCAACACCATTAACATTATCACTTAAATTATTAACATTACTAGCATTACTATTTAAATTATTAACATTATTAGAACTAATATTGCTATCATTACTGTTATTAATTGTAATTTCCGAGAATGTTTCAGGTGGATTCGAGTTATGGTCCTCAGCCGAAGCAGGGTTTAAAGTTGTTTCTGGTTCAGAATTTACTTTAGTATTTGTTTTATCTTCTTCAGGTGATTTATCCATTGCCTCATTGATGGGCCCTTCAGAAGAGCTTGAGACTGTCATGGTAGGAGATTCATTGTTATGGTCTAAATCTGATTCAACAATCATATCAGAATCACCATTCTTATGTTCAGCTCGTAACTCTGAATCTTCAACCCAATGACGAGTTGTTAAATAATTGTCTTCTAAGCCAACTGTTGTAGTTTCACCGGACATTTCATTAGATACAGTTGTAGCCACCGGGTCTGAATTATCTCCATTACTTTGATTATTTTCTTCCTCTGTTTTGCTCTCTCCACTTGAATCTGTATTGCTATCACTTTCAGAATTATTGACAGCCTTAGACTCTTCAGATTCCTCAGATTTTGTATCTACTTTAGTTGCGGGTTCATTTTCTTCAGAGCTGGTTGGTTCGTTAGAAATGGTTGTTGCCTCAACCTTGTTTTCAATTGATGGTGTCCCGGGATCGGATTCTGGTTCAGATGAGGTGATACTTGGAGTGGTGAAAGTATCTTCTGGAGATGCCTTCTCAACTGTGTCAGTTGATTCAGATGTTACCACAGATTCAACAGATTCAACAGATTTTTCAGAGGTTGATGAAGATTCCGGCAATAAGCTTGACAAGGTTGTAGTTTCGTTTGGAGTTGCTTCATCAGAAGGCTTTTCATCGCTAGATTCAGCTTTTTCAGTAGTTACTGATGCAACAGATATTGGCATTAGTGATTCAGATTTATCATCAATTGAAACTGGATTGGTTGCTAGAGTTGAAGGTGAATTGGTTGAACTTGTCACCGTATTTTCATCAGAAGTGGATGTTTTTGAAACAGATGAAGTATCGGATGTTTCATCTTCAAGTTTATTTGTTGTAGCCTCCATCATTATAGATGAAACTGTTGTCGATGATGATGTTGATAATGGCGCCTCTGAAGTCGAGCTCATTGAAGAAGTTGCTGTTGTTTTATCTTCATATTGAGTGGATATTGAAACAGGTTCGTCCTTTGATAAAGTGCTAGACCTAAAAAGTAAATGAAAAAAAAACAATTAATTATTGAACTTTTCAAGATCAGGTTTAATATTTCAAGCAAAGAAAAATCAATCAATTTCTAGCCAGCCTCATGATTGATTGAAGAAAATTATTCATGCAAAATTAAAGTGATTAAAATGAATTAGATTTGAAATGCAAGAAAAAAGCCAAAATGTTCCAGATAAAATTGATTCAATTGTTAAGACTGGTTGGCCAAAAAATTAACCTTGACCAATGTTACGAGTAATCAACAGAAAAATATGTAATTGAATGGAACAATGCAACTTAATTAGACAGCAATTAAAGTTGATTTGATAAATGATACCCCAATCATTATAAGGATAATTACTCAATTATAAAGTTCAAATTTTGTATGATAGACAATTTGAAAGTGAAATTATCAAGGATTAATCAGAACAAAGCTGAACCAACTTGACAGTAAATGAATGAAAATACAGTAAAGTTTATCAGAAAATGTTATATTTGATGCAAAAGTTCCGGTAAAATTGAATTGAATTAAGTTTAGTCTGGAAATAATGAAATACTCTTAATTTGGTGTCCTAATGGCTTTCTTATCAAACCTAACCCCTTAGGCCTCAAGTTTTAGCTTCATTATGATATTTAATACAAGGTCGAGGAAGTGAAATATTACTTGAGGCAATCATGAAAAGAGCCAATAATTACAAAGAAAAATGAATTACATGGATCATGTAAATTGTTCAACAGTTCATGATAATTATTGAATTTCAATAATGACAATTGCTTGTGTTTTACATAAACCACTAGCAATGACAATCTTAATGCCGCAAGATCAATGTTGACCTTTTCATTTATCATAAAAGGTAATGATGAAAATTATGATATAAATGATTCTCCAAATGATGATATAAATGATGAACCTGAAGATGGTAATGATAATAGTAATGTTACAACTGGTACTCATTTGATTTCCGCTATACTAGGTTAACCCTTTGCTCATGCAAATGTTATTTAACTATAATTAATCGTATTTCAAATTATTTTTCATTGTAACCGAACCAGATGGGAATGCGTTTTGTAAGGTTTACAGTTGAACATTTACAATTAATGAAACAAGCGGAGGAAAATGGTTCAAATAAAACATGTTAATGGTCAACAATCAAATTATTCAAAGATATTTTCAGGAAGTTTAACAGTTTGCATATTGAGACGACATCGCTGAAACAATTAAGCATTTCATGATGAAATAGCATTTTCAACTGAAGGATGATTTAGTTTAAAACAAGGATTTCTATGTTTCATCAGATTGACTGTTAACCATGTAAACTCGTTATTTTGATAGTAAAATCAGTGGATTGGTAATTCCGTAATGAAATGATAGTTGAACAATTTGATGAGAAAGTTCTCCATCAACAAGAAATAAGTTCAATAGACTCAGGGTGAAATGAAAAGTTGTTATATCGCAAAGCTGATGATGCCAAGAAAAAAAGGAAATTAGCTGTTAAGATAATGTAATTGAACATATTAAATGTGTGATTTTTTTAATAGCAAATATTGCTTATTGTAAATGAACTATTCTTGAACAGTTTAACTGTTATTTTGAAAGATACAGAAGGGAAAATGGCATTGAATTTATACTCATTCAGATGAAAAGATTCCCTATTTATAATATTTTTTTCCCATTCTGTAAATTACAATCAGTTTTAACTGTTTCTTTCCTTCAATGATGGATTTGTTTTTTTTCAATGAGAAAATATCAAATGATGATGATGATGATGATATTTGCACAGAATGAAAAAGTAAAAATGAAAATCTCGGAGTATTGAATTTTCAGGTAAAAGCTAAATTCCAGTCTTTGATTGTGAATCTATTAGTCTGATATAAATATAAAAAAAAGGAAAGGTAGCCGTAAGAAATAAGATCCGTTCCTTGACCTTCTCTGGATCAAGATTGATAGTAAATTTATGTGATTTTGACTTTTTTTTCCTAATCTTTCTTTATCACTTTATATCTTTTGGTTTTCTTGCATTTCTTGAAGCTTAAAAGTTGGATGAACTGAGCCAGCAAAATGTAAAAATTGAGAAAGGCTTTGCTTTAAACTGTTTGTGTACAATGTAATGAAAAACTTACATAGAGCTAATTGTTGTTGTTGTCGAGGGTGACAATGGACTACTGATTTCAGGGTTGGCAGATGTTTCGCTTGTCGCAGTAACCGATGTTGATTGGGAAGCATCATTGGTTACAATGGCAGTGCTGGTTAAGGTTGGAGTTGAGGTGGTTGTTGTTGTAGTTGGTGAAGCTGCTGTTGTTGACATGGTTGTGATTCTAGTAATAATTGGCCTTTTTGAAGTGGTAGTCCAGAAAGGTGTTTCTGGTTGGCAATGGTCATATCTTGGACAGCATTCATTAGGTACATATTCTGGTTCACAATCAAACCTAAATTTACAATCAGCTAAGGCACAAGTGATTGAGCTTCCTTGACAATAACACGAATAGCAAGGACTTTCAGCATTTGGTATGTGATCGCCATCATTAAAAAACTTTCCATTATGCTCACAACCTGAAATAAATGAAAAATACACTGCAATTAGCCAGATTCAAGATATTGTTTTATCAAACACGTAATATTCCAATTATCATTTGATTGAATAGAGACAATTGTTGGAAAGAATGGAAGACAAGAAAGAGTTTAAACAACAACAAACAAAGCCATACCGCATTGATATTCTGGACAACATTCGCCTTCCCGGCGGATGGCTTTACATCCTGGTTTTACTTTGCACTCTCGTAAAACACATGAGAAACCTGGAGGTCTACATTTACACGATTCACAAGGATCGTCCGTTGGAATTGGATCACCATCATGATATATTATATTATCCACAATACAAGCTGTAATAAAAGACAAAATAAATTGTTTTAAATACTGAAAAGATGCGACTTTTTTGTCAAAATATTACAAAAATATCCAACGAAACACCAACAATTGACAATACGGTTTCTAACAGTCAATGAAATTATTTCATCAAAAGAGCATTCACTTTTCATTCATTGAACTAAATTTTCCGATTAGTTGACTTACAAGAGTGTAATCTCGTCTATTCAATGAGTAATACATAGAAATGAAAATTCCCAATTCAGCTTCTCAAGTTCAAGGAAAATATCAACATTAAATTTTGTACAATTTTAATCTGACTGTTTGCATTAAAAAAGATGGATAATGGAAAAGGATATTTCAAGAGATTCATAAGATGGATTCACTAGATTGTCTTGCTATCAAGTTAATTGACAAGTCTTTAATGATTAGAAAAGACGTTTCGATATCTTATTTTTTCACCATTTCACCCAGTGGTAAGGCCGTGGTTGAAGTGAAATATCTATTATCATTTGGATGTCTCTTTTGTTCATCAAGGACTAGTAAGATTAAGAATGAAATAATGCATCAATGAGAAAATATTTAATGGCTTGAGACCTTTTCAAGTTTCCTTCAATCTCCTCAATCTCTGTTGCTTTTTTAAATAGGAATAATTGAAAGACAAATACAATTATATCAGTTATCATAATCATTTTTTGTTTCTTTGTTGATCTTGCACATTATTACAATGGCAAGAGGAATAATGAACGGGCAAAAGGGAAGGGCTGAAAATGTATTTAAGGAAAGTATTAATAGACATAATCAAAACAAAAAGAGGTAAACATGAAACAGTCAAGTCAATTGTTGATGGTAAATTGAATGGCGAGTGTATGCCAGGTTGAATTGCAGGTTCAATTGAATAATTTGTTTATTATTAGTAAGGAAATAAAGGAGAAAAATAAAGTTAAATTGTCAAAATAATAGTTACCTGTTTCATTGGCGATGTAAATGAATGCCCTTCTATCTCGAAACAGAGATCCTGTTGTTTTTGATATTTGTTTGTTTACCAGCAGTTATAGGAATACCAGAATGGATGATGAGTTAATTGTTTAAACAATAAGATGGAAAATTTGGTAACAAAATTAGAATTATTAAATAGTGAAACAGACAGATTAGTAACAGATTAATAGCAGATTAATAGCTGATTAATTCAAGATAACAATCGTTATAACAATAGATAAAGTCAACTCAATTTGAAGTTTAGTCAAAGTGAACATGTGAGTTTGATGTGGGTAAATTTTGATCGATATGTTTACGCGCTTTTATCAAATATCAAGTAAAACATGAGTGTTGACAAACACCAACTATAAATATCAATGGGAATAACTGTTATCTGAATTATGAAGGTCAGTGGTGATAAATGGTGTTAAAGGGTGGAATAGACAAAACAATATACTCACTTGTTTGTACCCAACTGGATAGAAGGCACATTAAGATGACTGAAGTTGAAAGTTGGGTTACACATGCTTTGATTATGGTTGTCATAGTTGTTTGTTTATACATTTGTGTATCTTAATCTTAATTGGAAACAATTTGCAAGTAAACAATAATGTGATGAGATGATAAACGATGAAAAAGTTGAAGAGATTGAACAAAAGAAAAGAAAAAAATACACAAGAAAAAGTTAACTTTGTTAATAAGATGGAATAGTTGAATGAGTTGACTCGGAAAATTTGGGTAAACCAGGAATGGAAATAGAACCTAATGAAATGTTAGCTAATAGGATGCAAAAATTAAATGAACTTTGAAATGACTGAGCTCGAAATCACATATCTAAAGCCATTTTTATCTTTTCTTCCAATAAACTAATCTCTCTCACTTTTTCTTCTCTCTATTTCTCTCTTTTCTTTCTCACTCTCGCTCTCCACCTCAGGTACAACCTGCGATGCATGTATTTGTAAATCTACGAGTGAAACACTAACAAGAAAAACCAGAAGGAAATGATTCATCATCTGATTTTGGAGGACCGGTTTTGTCAACAGGTTTTCAACAAACATTGTCATTGTTTCCCTCTAGTGGTAGCTTCCATTGTAACATCTTCGGATCAATTATTATTTAATAATGTTAATCTGCAAAATAATATCATTTGAACAAGATTTGAACATCGTTTCTTTGCAGGACCTCATGATTTTGTTACAGTAGATAAACATGTAAATGAAATTGCACAAACCTAATAACTTACATCTTATCGCACACTTTAATGAATATCTTACTCTGGTTCACATATCAAGAAATTAAAACAAGAGATCAAACAATTTGAACTGAAACACCCGAAAACAAAATACAAACCCATGAGTCAAAGATGTTGAATTAATATTTTTAGCAAAATTTTTATAAACAGATGTGTTGGAGTTGATAAATGGTCCATGATATTCAGATTGACAATAAACTGGAAAGTTTGAAAAATTAAAATACAAATTGTAGATGCACAAAATTGCTTGAAATAGCTAAATTGTTAAAAAATGAATCAAATTCAAAATTCAATCCTATTTCTGACTAATTACTAAAAAACAAATTTGACCATAAATCAGCTTTTTACCGATTACTGTTAAATCAAACTATTAGCGTTTGCTATCTGGATCTCGATGTTAAAGACAAACTCATTTATGACATAACCAAGAAATTGCTGGGTTTCAATCAGAAAGTACCTCAATATTGTGTTTTAGTTTTTGGCATTATGTTAGACTCAATGGTTATTTTCACGATTATTCAATGAAGAATTGATAAAATTACTGAGTTTTGATAAAACAGATTTAGCTGATGACCAAGTTTTTTGGTGAACCAGATACTTACATAATTTACCTTAAATATGGAAAAATATTCTTCCAATTCTATGTGATTTTCCTGAGTATCTTGTTGTTGATGGTTCATATATAGCGGTAAATAAGGACCATCTCACCAGTAAAGTTGTCATTTTCCGTTTCTTCTTCTTCTCTTCTTCCTCGGACTCAATTTCCCCCAAAATGTATGTCTACTTCCTCCTCCTTATTCAAATTAACTTGGGCTGAACTTAAACCAAAACATTAACATAAAGTGACCGACCATGTTACTCGATTACGGCTTACAGCTGGATAAATTCGAAGCGCCATCTGCATGTATTTTGTAACAAAATCTTTTCTGGCAGATGGCGTTAAAATTCAGTTGGATTGTTTGATGAAGGGCTTTGTTTTCTATATTTCCCAAAATGGTGAATATACTCCTTAAAAAAATCTTCAGGAGTTAGATTTTTATTTACAATTTAATTAAATCAACTGTTTTTCATTGTTTTCTCTCTTCATTTTCAATAATGTCTTCAACATCCAATATCTATTTTTCTGAATGTGAAAGATTAAAAACCTTTCTAGAAAATGGATGGCCTCACTCCTTTTTGAGTCCTGAAGCAATGGCCAAATGTGGATTTTATTATACTGGTGTCAATGACGACGTAAAATGCCCATTTTGTAATGTTGTGGTGTTCAACTGGAGTAATGGTGATGAACCCATTAGAGAACACATCCGTGCATCAGGAAGATGTCGATTTGTGAATGGATACGACGTGGGGAATATCTTCATAGGCGATGATCCAAGAGAGATATTTGATTTGACCCCAGGAGAGGATGTGTGTGGCTTGTTTACACCTAAAATCACTGAATCAAAGCAGATTGAATCCAATGAACCTGGTATACCTTATTATGAACCCAGCCATTTGGACTATGTCACTTACGACTCACGTCTTGCTTCTTATAAAGACTGGACATCTGAACTCATTTCCCCAACAAAACTAGCTGAAGCAGGATTTTTCTTCAGAGGGTTAGGCATCGCTGCTGGGGAAGTTGAAATTAAAGATGCTGTAACATGTTTCCACTGTGGTGAAAGTCTAAGCGGATGGACTGAAAATGACAATGCATGGGAAGAACATGCGAAGTTTTCTCCTAAATGTAGTTTTATATTTTTATTAACAGCATTCGAAACATCAAAAATGCATCAAAATACCATTTCAAGTACATTTTTACCCTATTCTTGGTTACCCAAAGCAACTGATGAGAATCGATGCAGTGTTTGTTTTGAGTTTGCTGTTTCCATTTCTTTCTCTCCTTGTTCGCATCATACGTGTCCGATTTGTGCCGCTGCTTTGGTGAAATGCCCAATTTGTCGAGCGAATATTCGACGTTTGACCAAACCATCAGCAGGCGAACCATCAATAGAGTCAGCGCCGGAATCAACGCCTGAGTCAACGCCGGAGTCAACGCCTGAGTCAACGCCGGAGTCAACGCCTGAGTCAACACCGGAGTCAGCACCGGAATCAGCGCCGCAATCAGCACCAGTGGTAGAGCCACCAGCTGGGGAATCAGCACCACTAGTAGAGCCACCAACTGATGAATCAACACCAGTAGTAGAGCCACCAGCTGGAGAATCAACATCAATAAAGGCACCAGGTGTGGAAAAAGAGTTGCAAAATGTAAAATCGGCATCAGCAGAAAAAATGCCAGAAACGGAAAAGGCCACTGAGAAGTTATCTATCTAGTTTATTCTACTTTCTTCATCTTTAATGTATAAAATAAATACAATTATTATATATTGCAATTTTATGGTTCTGGCCATTTTTGCTCACAGACTAATTTCTGAAAATCGTAATAAGATTTATGAGCTTTTTGGTCTGCAGCTGAACAAAAACCAGACCAACATTCTTCAGCTAGATGAGGTATCACAGGTCCAAGCATTATGATAATATCTCCTAAACATCTTTCAAATTCGATTTTTTTACAAACATCAACATTCAGAATACTTTTTCTAATCAAGTTTAGGAAAATTTTCAACATGTTAACTCCTAGTGCTGGATAATGTTCATTTTCAATAACAGAAGTCACTTTCTTTATAGTTTTCTTTCTTTCATGATCATATTTAGTCAATATTGACTCTATTTTTGTTTGATCTTTTTCTCTAGAGATAACAAATCTCTTGACAACTGGAGCTGTTTTGGTTTCATTTAGTAATTCACGAACAAAAATGAATTGATCAATAGTAAGAAAGAGACGGCGTAAAATAACAAAAATCTCTTCGTATTCAGTTTTGTGTCCATGCCATTCTCGAGCACGTCTAGGCAAACCAAAACCAAGTAAAGTGACTCTGGTAGCATCGATACCATAACGATCAATTAACTGCATTGGATCCAAACCATTTCCTTTAGATTTTGACATTTTTTCACAAGAAATTACAAAGTCATCTGGTGACACTTTCTTTGAATCAATCAATTTCTGCTGCTCATCCTCTGTTATGAAGCGATCATTGTATTTGATTGTACGACCTAGAACATAACCTAAAAAAAGTAGATTTCTAAATGGTTCATTAGAAGAAGAATCTATGAATCCTCTACTTTTTAAGAAATGAAAAATATATCGAGCATAAAGAAGATGACCACGACTGTGCTCAGCGCCACCCACATACAAATGGACTGGTTTCCGGTTAGTTTCTTTGTCAAAAGCTTGAGAGTCACTTGGTTCAGTTGCATAACGCAAATAGTACCAAGATGAGTCAAAAAAAGTATCGCATGTATCTGTTTCTCGAACACTTGGACGATTGCATTTAGGACAATTTACATCAAGCCATTCTTTAGGTGCAACCAATCCGAGTCGCCCTTTAATTGCATCTTTCTCTTCCAATTCATAAAGTGGATTTATGTCTTTAACTTGCGGTAAAGCAACAGGTAAATCAGCTGTGGGGACAGCGACAGGTCCACAAGAAGGACAATCTATTATTGGAATAGGTGTTCCCCAATAACGCTGACGAGAAATGACCCAATCATGACTTTTCTTAGAAGTCTTATAACCTCCTAAACCGAGCTTGGTACAGTCACGAAGGACTGAATCTCGAAGGTTTTCAGAAATCGGTTTATCTGGATGAAGAATAATCGCTCTACCACTGGAAGGAAGTTTATCTTGATCTTCTTCGTTTAAAACCCTAACTTCCATCTCTTGATTTGATAAAGGATTTATAACTTTGATGGATTCTGGATTTCTCGATTCAAGTATCCAATGATCCTTATTTACCGCTATATATGAACCATCAACAGCAAGATACTCAGGAAAATCACATAGAATTGGAAGAATATTTTTTCCATAATTAAGGTAAAATATATAAGTATCTGGTTCACCAAGAAAAAATTTTTGATTAGCTGCTAATTCTTTCCATGCTTGGTTATTTAGGTTGACATCTTTGAACTGGTACAGTTCGTCATGGAAGGCACTTATTTTAATATTCCATTGACGAAGAAATCTTTTTTCTACTTTTGCTCCTGATCGCCATGATTTACCATCTTCATCAACTTGGTCGTCAGCTAAAACTGTTTTATCAACTGGATCCCAATTGACACAACTCATTGATTTGAATATTAATCCTTCATTGAATAATTGTAAAAATAACCATTGGGTCCAACGATAAAAACTTAGATCTGATGTTGCTTCTCTCCAATTTAAATTGAGACCAAGGCTTTTCAGTTGAGCTTCCATCGTTTTTATATTTTGATAAGTCCAAATGGCTGGACTCATCGACCTTTCAAGAGCCGCATTTTCAGCAGGTAATCCGAACGAGTCCCAACCCATCGGATTTACCACAGAATTTCCTCGTTGGCGGAAAAACCGAGTCAATACATCAGTAGTTGTATAAATACGTACATGACCTTTTTTTGTAAAAAATAAAACGATAAAATAAAATATTGTTAAGAAATTCTTAAAAAACCAAAATTCAAAATTATTACATGAAAATAACACTTACCTAGATGCAAGGATCCACTCGGGTATGGAAACATAGACAATACATAACGATGATTTTCTGAAGTCGTATCAACAGTTTTACTGTAATTTTTCCATTTCTCATTTAAAATTGGTTTCCATCGCTCTTCAATTTCTTTGAAATGATTAAGTGTACAGTTATGGTTAAATGTACAAGTGATTGGCCATTGACCATTTAAACTAACAAGCTGACGCAATATTGAGGTATTTACTGATTGAAAAGCCAGCAATTTTTTGGGCAATGTCATACATGAGCTGGTCTTTAACATGGAGATTAAGATGGTAAATGCCAGTTAGTCCTTTGATTTTAACAGGAATCAGTAAACAATTAACGCTTGGTCCAATGTTTACAAGAAAAATGTTGTCCGGAAAGTAACGTCATCTGTCTGTATTTCTTAGCATCATCTCTGAAAATAAATGATATTCAAAAAATGCGGACTTCGGAAATGCAAGGCTATGGGCATGTATTAACTTGCAATGCAATTTTACTTGTGTTTATGTTAATTTAAATTAGTAAATTTAAATTGTTTATATCCAGTGATTTTATGCATCTATTTCAATTGATTATACGTTTCAGCTGATTGATATCCTGAATATTACCATCATGGACCCTTTTTTGACTCCAACACAGCTCAAAAAATTAAGAGTAGTAGATCTTAAAGAGAAACTAGCTGCTCTTGGATTACCATTGAATGGTAAGTAAAAAATTACCTCCAATCTAGTAAAATCTGAAATCTAATATTTGTTTTTTATTCTAATTTTTAGGGCTGAAAGCAGATCTAATCAAACGCTTGTCTGATTATTATGCAAGTCAACAAAAGTTGGAAGTAGCGGAACCAGTTGTAGCTCAGGAACCGGCTCCTCCACCGACAATTCCCTCCATGGAAATGATAGATGCTAGTGATAAACAAACAGGACAGGATACAGTAAATACTGAAGAACTCGATCGGGTAAAAGAAGGTGAACAGAATTATGAAGCTCCTCATGAGATTTCACACCAGGAAGAAGAACCAGTACCTCAGCCAGCTTTTCCCTCCATGGAGATGATTGATGTTAATAAACAAGCAGAACAAGATACATTGAATACTGAAGAACTCGATCGTTCGAAAGAAAGTGAACAGATGTATGAAGCTCCTCATGAGATGTCACACCAGGAAGAAGAACCAGTTCCTCCGGCAACTTTTCCCTCCATGGAGATGATTGATATCAGTAAACGAGCAGAACAAGATACATTAGGTACTGAAGAACTCGATCGTGTGAAAGAAGGTGAACAGACATACGCTCCTCGTGAGATTACAAACCAAGAAGAAGGACCTGAACCATCTTTTCCCTCCATGGAGATGGATGATGTTAGTAAACAAACAGATCAAGGTTCAATAAATCCTGAACAAAATGATGGTATTAAAGAAGACACCGAAACTTATGAAACTCCTAGTGAGATTTCACACCAAGATAAAGAGCCAGTTCCTCTATCTATGGAGATGATAGATACAAGTGCTAAGACAACAGAACAGGACTCATCAAATCCTGAAGAATTCGATCATGAGAAAGAAGACGGACAAACGTATGAAACCACTCAGCCAGTTTCACATGAAGAAAAAGAACCAGTTTCTCCGTTGCCCTTTCCTTCTACGGAAGTTATAGATACAAGTACTAATCAAACAGAAATGTCTACATTGGACTCTGAAGAAATTGATCGTGAGAAAGAAAGTGAACAAACGTTTGAAACTCCCCATACAATTTCAGATCATGAAAAAGAAAAAGCTCCGTCACCGCCGATTCCTTCCGTTGAGACGATTGATGTTAGTAGTAAACAGTCCGAAGAGGATTCATCTAATACTGAAGAAAAGGGTCGTATGAAAGAAGGTGAACAATCTCATGGAACTCCTCAAGAAATTTCAGATCTGGAAAATTTACTAACAGAAGCTTTACAAGCAAAACAAAGCCAAAGTGAAGTTGATTATGTTGATGCTGATGATACATCTAAGATTCATAAACAAGCATCTGACTTCAGTAAAGCAGAAACAAAGAACGTTACTAGTTCAAATGAAATCAGTGAAAGTGCTCAACAACAAAAGAAACTTTCAAGAAATGAAAAGAAAAAGTTGAGAAAAAAGAAGAAGAAGATTGAAAAACAAAAAAGTCATCCAAATGAAGTAAAAAAGGCAACAAACGAATTGGATGATGATGATGATCTTGATATTGAGTAAGTATATTTATATTTTCATTCTATTTGATTCATTAGATTTTTTTTTATTTGATTTCTAATTTAATTTCTGTTTGTATTTTTCAGGTACATTGAAGATGAAGTGCCGAAGGACCCAATTTATTATCAATATGTAAAAGTGTTTGAAAAGTTCAAAACGACTGGTAGTGAAGATTTAGAGAATCTAAAAAACGATAATGAAATTGTAGATCCAGCCAAGAAAATGTTGGAGAGAAAAAAACCAGTCGAATTGGAATTGAAAGAAGACGATGAAAAAAATGATGGTGAACCAAAATTATCGAAAAGAAAGCTTAAACAACTTACAAGAATGACTGTCGCAGACCTTAAACAAAAAGTTTCACATCCAGAATTAGTTGAAATGCATGATGTAACTGCAAGAGATCCCCTCTTATTGCTTCATTTAAAATCAACTAGAAACTCTGTCCCTGTTCCTCGTCATTGGTGCTATAAAAGAAAGTATCTTCAAGGCAAAAGAGGTTTCGAGAAGCCAGCATTCAAACTACCTGATTTCATCAGAAAAACTGGAATCATGGAAATGAGACAAGCATTGCAAGAGAAAGAGGATGCCAAATCTTTGAAAACAAGACAACGAGAAAAAATACGACCCAAACTTGGTAAAATTGATATTGATTACCAGAAACTTCATGATGCATTTTTCAAATGGCAAACGAAACCTAAAATGACAATTCATGGAGACATTTATTATGAAGGAAAGGAATTTGAAACAAGATTAAAGGAGAAAAAACCCGGTGACTTGAGTGTCGAATTAAGAGTTGCATTGGGAATGCCAACTGGCCCTAATGCCCATAAATGTCCGCCTCCATGGCTTATTGCTATGCAAAGATATGGTCCTCCACCATCTTATCCAAACCTGAAAATTCCTGGTCTAAATGCAAGAATACCTGATGGATGCTCTTTTGGTTATCATGCTGGTGGTTGGGGTAAGCCCCCAGTCGATGAATATGGTCGGCCGCTTTATGGTGATGTATTCGGTTTAAGTACAGCTCAAGACAATTTGAATAAGGAGGAAGAAGTTGACAAGTCATTATGGGGTGAAATTGAGTCCGAGGAGGAGGAAGAAGAAGAGGAGGAAGAAGAAGAAGAGGAAGAAGCAGAAAATGACAAATTTACTGGTGAAGCCGACGACAGTGGACTTGTAACACCATCAGAAGGTTTAGAAACACCTTCAGGTTTTGCTTCAATGCCTAATGGAATGGAAACACCAGATATCATTGAATTAAGAAAAAGAAAGATAGAAGCTGAAATGGAGAGCAATGAGAGTGCTGCTCTTTATACGATTATTCCTGAAAAGAAAACTGAAAGAGTTGGCAAAGAAATGATGGCATCCACTCATATCTATGATGTGACAGGGTCTCTGAAGAAAGGACAAGGAGTCGAGGTTGCACTGGATCCAAATGATTTGGAAATGCCTGTTGCTGGATTAACAGCTAAATACGAAAAATCATTGAAAGAGCAACAAGCTAGCATAGCCAAAGAAGATTTAAGTGATATGGTTGCTGAACACGCGGCCAGGCAGAAGAGGAAAAAAGTTCAAGACACCAGTAAATCCAACAAGAAATATAAAGATTTCAAATTTTGATTTTTATGTATTTTTTCCTAATTTCATTATTTCATTAATTATAAGCAAAATTCAACATTAAATCTGCTTAAATTACATATATGTACAATCTATATCTAATATTAAAAAAGGACGCATAACATTTTCTTGCCAATTTAAAAATTTGAGATTATAAGTCGATATTTGACTACATCTACGAAGAATAGTCAGAGCTTTTCAGAATTAAAGTTACTGAGAAATTATTCATCTAATTTTCTATCTATTAGCTATTAATCATCTTAATAAGCGAATGTTATAAGTAACATAAGGATACTTATGAATAAAGTTAAGGAAACGAAGCCATTCTCCAGTGACTAGCACAGCTGACAATGAGAAAATAATAGACCATAAATTAAGGTTGAACATCATGTGACATGATTGAGTTTTGTGTTCTGACTTCATCCTTTCTTGAATAGCACCGGTCAACCCATCCATTGTGAGATATAATAACTGAAAGAGAAATCAAGAATCTTATTATTTACATTTCAAGTTGTGAATTACAAATATAAAAATCTAATATTTGTTATTTCATGTCAAAATTCATTCTTAAACATAGATAATTTACCAAAAGTATTTCTCCCCATCCCAGTAATGGTTTGTCAGCAACAGTCGAACTCGATGGTTTATCCTTGTACATAAAGAGAATCACCCCAATAACTATCATCATAACAAACAAATATTTAGCAACTGGATAACGTTTTCTTCCAAACAATACGCCAAGAATCATTACAGGTACAGGTTTACATGATTTTCCAACTACCTGTGTCGGATAGTTGACATGCTGCAAGGCCATGTTACTGAAAACCATAGCAGAAAAGTATGTCAACGCGGAAGATGAATAATAAGATATTCTTGTGGTATCTTTTCCTTGTTTCATGATCGTTCTAAGAACTTGAAGCAAAAGAATTATGTTAGTTGTGATAGAATTATGAGAATTGAAGCTGATTGTTCGTAAAAGTGTGAATAACTTACGTATTTGCGCTAAAATGGCATTGACAATACATTGACAGAGAACCAAACACATTGGGTAAACAAACTTTTCATCATCTGATCCATACTTAGAACGAGTACTGAAAATTCAAATGATATGAAAATAGAAAAATAACAAAAGAACGATTAGTTTATTTATAACAGTGATAGCATTCGAAACTTTAAAAGAAAGTTATTGAACGGATTAGAACCGTTCGAAGTCACATGATATGAAAAAAAGGAAAGCTCAATTAAAAAACACCGATACTAACATTTTTTCTTGGAGAAGTCCATAATAAAAGTAACACACAAAAATACCTAGAGCACAGATGATTAATTTAAGTGTATTATTCCCCTGAATAGGTTTGACAGAAATAGGTTTGTCATTTGAGCGCTTCATCACAAGTCAATAAATTAATGAATAGTTCCTAAGAATAAGAAATCAAAGAACAGATGAAAACACAAAGATCGGAAATACAATGAACCTAGTATTTGGACTATGTCACTTACGGCTCACGTCTTGCTTCTTATAAAAACTGGATAGTCCAATGGGATGGACTGGAAATGATAATGCATGGGAAGAACATGCGAAGTTTTCTCCTGAAAGTTTATCTTGCTCTTTTTCGTTTAAGATCATAACTTCCATCTCTTGATTTGATGAAGGATTTATAACTTTGATGGATTCTCCAGGCATCCAATGGTCCTTATTTACCGCTATATATGAACCATCAACATCAACATCATTGAATAATTGTAAAAATAACCATTGAGTCCAACGATAAAAACTTAGATCTGATGTTGCTTCTCTCCAATTTAAATTGAGACCAAGGCTTTTCAGTTGAGCTTCCATCGTTTTTATATTCTGATAAGTCCAAATGGCTGGACTCATCGACCTTTCAAGAGCCGCATTTTCAGCAGGTAATCCAAACGAGTCCCAACCCATCGGATTTACCACAGAATTTCCTCGTTGGCGGAAAAACCGAGTCAATACATCAGTAGTTGTATAAATACGTACATGACCTTTTTTGTAAAAAATGAAACGATAAAATAAAATATTGTTTAGAAATTCTTAAAAAACCAAAATTCAAAATTATTTGATAATGGTTACTCAATAACATAAAGTGACCGAACATTACGGCTTACCAGCTGGATTAGAGATGTGCGATTATATCAAAATCATCGATTTTTATCGATAATTTTAAGCCGATTTCATATCGATGATTTCAATGATATATCGAGTCGAGAAAAACGCCGAGAAAAGTTTGTTTTTTCTTAACACTGCCAACTATTTCACCAAGGCTTGTCTTAGTTTTTGAATTTTTTGGCACTTTCTTGAAGTATTAACTGTATTATATCGGGTTTGTTCAATTAAATCGATTTATCGATAACATCGATATTTATCGATTTTTTCTGTGAACATTGCGTCATCATCGATAATCGTTTTTTTAATAATCGCACATCTCTAAGCTGGATGAATTCGAAGCGCCATCTGCATGTATTTTGTAACTCTTGTCACAAGATCTTTTCTGGCAGATGGCGTTTAAATTCAGTTGGATTGTTTGATGAAGGGCTTTGTTTTCTATATTTCCCAAAATGGTGAATATATTCCTTATAAAAATCTTAAGCAGTTTTTAAAAAATTTTAATGTAAAGAGTTATCTCATTTGGCCACTCGATTTAAGACGATTTAAAGACTTAAACCTAGCTAAACGGCTTATCTGCTCTTAGCTTTAAGCTACTTCATCTATTGGATATAGCCAATCATGCGCGCATCTGGGTTGCTTACCGACCGGCAGACTACAGTCACTTACTTCTTGTATCTTGCAGAAACATCTTGCCAAATTCCTATTTCATATTCCTATTTGTTTTCCTTCTTGAAGTTCAATAATGTCTTCAACATCCAATATCTATTTTTCTGAATGTGAAAGATTAAAAACCTTTCTAGAAAATGGATGGCCTCACTCCTTTTTGAGTCCTGAAGCAATGGCCAAATGTGGATTTTATTATACTGGTGTCAATGACGACGTAAAATGCCCATTCTGTAATGTTGTGCTTTGTGATTGGATTAGTGGTGATGTACCCATCAGAGAACATATCCGTGCATCAGGAAGATGTCAATTTGTGAATGGATACGACGTGGGGAATATCTTCATAGGCGATGATCCAAGAGAAATATTTGATTCGACCCCAGGAGAGGATGTGTGTGGCTTGTTTACACCTAAAATCACTGCATCAAAGCAGATTGATGAACAAAAAAAGTTATCAAAAAATGCAAAGAAAAAATTGAGAAAAAAAAGAAAAAAATCGGAGCTTAAAGATAATGAACTGCTGTCATTGGATGACAAATTGGATGACGAGACTAATTTTGATATTGAGTATATCGAGGATGAACTACCGAAAGACTCACTTTATTATCAATTTATGGAAGTTTTTGATAAGTTCAAAGTGGTTAGTGCTGCCGAAGAACCAGTGACCGGTGAAAATACAGACCCAGCCAAGACAATTTTAAAAAGAAAACAACCTGGTGAATTAGAATTCTTTGAAGACAATGAACAAAAAATATCTAAAAGAAAATCCAAACTGCTCAAAAGAATGACCGTTGCCGAGCTTAAATTAAAAGTGGCCCATCCAGAATTAGTTGAAATGGTTGATATCACTGCTAAAGATCCACTTTTGCTGCTTAATTTAAAATCGATAAGAAATTCTGTCCCTGTTCCCCGTCATTGGTGTTTTAAAAGAAAGTACCTGCAAGGCAAAAGAGGTTTCGAGAAGCCCTCATTCGTACTACCTGATTTCATCAAAAAAACTGGAATCATGGAAATGAGAAATGCGCTGCAAGAGAAAGAGGATGCGAAATCTTTAAAAACTAGACAAAAAGAAAAAATACGACCAAAACTTGGGAAAATTGATATTGATTATCAGAAACTTCATGATGCATTTTTCAAATGGCAAAGTAAACCCAAAATGACAATTCATGGAGAAATTTATTATGAAGGAAAAGAAAATGAAACCAGATTAAAAGAGAAAAAACCCGGTGACTTGAGTGTGGAATTAAGAGTTGCATTGGGAATGCCAACTGGCCCTAATGGGCATAAATGTCCACCTCCATGGCTTATTGCTATGCAGAGGTATGGTCCTCCGCCATCCTATCCAAACCTTAGAATTCCGGGCCTAAATGCTAAAATACCTGATGGATGCTCTTTTGGGTACCATGCTGGTGGTTGGGGTAAGCCCCCAGTGGACGAATTTGGTCGACCACTTTATGGTGATGTATTCGGTACAAATACAACTGAAAACGATTTGAATGAGGAAAAAGTAGAAAATCAATTATGGGGGGAAATCCAATCCGAGGAAGAGGAAGAAGAAGAGAAGGAAGAAGAAGAAGAAGAAGCAGAAAATGGGAAATTTACTGATGAAGCAAACGAGAGTGGATTTTTTACAGCGTCAGATGAGTTGGAAGCATCTTCAGTGGACAAAGGAATGGAAACACCAGCTTTTATCGAATTGAGAAAGAAAAAGATAGAAGATGAAATGGAGAGCAATGAGAATGCTTCTTTTTTTACAATTATTCCTGAAAAACAAACGGAAAGAGTTGGCAAAGAAATGATGGCATCCACTCATATCTATGATGTGACAGGTTCTCTGAAGAAAGGACAAGGAGTCGAGGTTGCACTGGATCCAAATGATTTGGAAATGCCTGTTGCTGGATTAACAGCTAAATACGAAAAATCATTGAAAGAGCAACAAGCTAGCATAGCCAAAGAAGATTTAAGTGATATGGTTGCTGAACACGCGGCCAGGCAGAAGAGGAAAAAAGTTCAAGACACCAGTAAATCCAACAAGAAATATAAAGATTTCAAGTTTTGACCTTTTTTGTGTATTTTGACATATTTTCATTATTATGACCAATCCATTAATTTTGTAAACAAATTGAACTTTAAATCTTAATAAAATTGCGTATATGTACAATCTACATATAATATAAAAAGAGGATGCATCACATTTCTTTGTAAAAATTGTGGCCTTAAAACATTAAGATTATAAATGATAATTGACTAGATGTCATGTGCCATGATTGAGTTTTGTGTTTTGATTTCACCCTTTCTTGAATAGCACCGGTCAACCCATCCATTGTGAGATATAATAACTGAAAGAGAAATCAAGAATCTTATTATTTATATTTTCAAGTTGTGAATTATAAATATAAAAATCTAATATTTGTTATTTCATGTCAAAATTCATTCTTAAACATAGATAATTTACCAAAAGTATTTCTCCCCATCCCAGTAGTGGTTTGTCAGCAACAGTCGAACTCGATGGTTTATCCTTGTACATCGAAGCTAATTTTTCTTGACTGTGTGATAACTTACGTATTTGCGCTAAAATGGCATTGACAATACATTGACAGAGAACCAAACACATTGGGTAAACAAACTTTTCATCATCTGATCCATACTTAGAACGAGTACTGAAAATTCAAATGATATGAAAATAAAATATAACAAAAGAACGATTAGTGTATTAATATTATGATAGCATTTTAAACTTTTCCGAGAAAGTTATTGAACGGATTAGAACCGGTCGAAGTCAGGTGATATGAAAAAGAGGAAAGCGCAAAGAAAACACAGATACTAACATTTTTTCTTGGAGAAGTCCATAATAAAAGTAACACACAAAAATACCTAGAGCACAGATGATTAATTTAAGTGTATTATTCCCCTGAATAGGTTTGACAGAAATAGGTTTGTCATTTGAGTGTTTCATCACAAGTTGATAAGTTAATGAACAGTTACTATGAATAAGAAATCAAAGATAAATAAATCGGAAAGAGAAGAGAAGAGAGAGAAGGAAGGAAGAGATCGGAAATACAATGAACCTAGTATTTGGACTATGTCATTTACGGCTCACGTCTTGCTTCTTATAAAGACTGGATAGTCTAAGCGGATGTACTGAGAATGATAATGCATGGGAATAACATGCGAAGTTTTCTCCTGAATGTAGTTTGATATTTTTATCAAAAGCATTCGAAACGTCAAAAATGTTGCAAAATATTTTCTCTTTGCCTGAAGTTTATCTTGCTCTTTTTCGTTTAAGATCCTAACTTTCATCTCTTCATTTGATAAAGGATAAATGATGGAATCTCCAAGCATCCAATGGTCCTTATGAGCTTATGAACCATCAACATCAACATCATTGAATAATTGTAAAAATAACCATTGGGTCCAACGATAAAAACTTAGATCTGATGTTGCTTCTCTCCAATTTAAATTGAGACCAAGGCTTTTCAGTTGAGCTTCCATCGTTTTTATATTCTGATAAGTCCAAATGGCTGGACTCACCGACCTTTCAAGAGCCGCATTTTCAGCAGGTAATCCGAACGAGTCCCAACCCATCGGATTTACCACAGAATTTCCTCGTTGGCGGAAAACCGCGTCAATACATCAGTAGAAGTATAAATACGCACATGACCTTTTTGTAAATAATAAAATGATAAAATAAAATCTAATTTAGTAATTCTTGAAAACTAAAAACAAGATAACCGTTGATAGATTTAAAAAACTATTCTTTCCATGATGTCTGCTAACAATTTTTTTCGATGAATAATAAGTAGTTTTAACTTTCTAACTTTTACGGTCACAGAAAAAAGTCGCTCTGACTGAGCATCGAAATGATCTATTGCCCAGAAATAAAAAATTATCTCTTATAATAAGTGCATTTTCTGGTTGATCATCAAAAATTAAATCATAATCAATTAAAACTATCATTCAATAGAAAAATGAAGCCTGAGCTGAAAATCATTTTTTGCTTTAATCAGTTTTGCTCAACCATCTTTCCGCAAAAGAGTTTTGCTTAAACTTCTTTGCTCAAAATAACTCATTTCACCACTAAATCTACGATTTAAGACGATTTAAAGACAATCTGTTTCTTAAACCTAGCTAAACGGCTTATCTGCTAGCTAGTTTTAAACTACTTAATCTACTGACCATTGCCACTCACGCGCGGATCTGGCTTGCTGGCCGACTAAACTGAGTGACTAAACACTCACTGACCTCAGTATCTTGAAAACAGTCCATAAATCAACATCAAGATTTCGATTTTTGTACCAATTTCAATACAAATTTCCTATTTTTTCTTGTTTTTGCTCATACAATTGCAAGTCTTCAATAATGTCTTCAACATCCAATATTTATTTTTCCGAATTAGAAAGATTGAAAACCTTTCGTGAAAATGGGTGGCCTCACTCCTTTTTGAGTCCTGAAATTATGGCCAAGTGTGGATTTTATTATACTGGTATACGTGACCAAGTAAAATGCCCATTTTGTGATATTGTGATCTTCTATTGGGACGATGCTGCAGAACCCATTGACGAACATATCTTTGCATCAAAAAACTGTCGATTTGTGAATGGATACGACGTGGGGAATATCTTCATAGGTAATGATCCAAGAGAAATATTTGAATTGAGCCCAAAAGAGGAAGTGGAAACCAAGAAGATATTATCGAATAATGAAAAGAAAAGGTTGAGAAAAAAGAAGAAGAAAATGGATGAACAAAGTAGTCGTCTAAATGAAGTAACGGATTTGATGATAAGACAAATGTTTGAGGATGATATTGATATTGAGTAAGTATATTTATATTTTCATTCTATTTGATTTTTTAATTGAATTTCTTATTGATTTTCTGTTTGTATTTTTCAGTATCATTGCAGATTTAGTGCCGAAGGACTCTTGGCATTATGAATATATAAGAGTTTACCAAAAGCTCAGTTTGACTTTTGATAAAGATGGTAGTAAAGATTTAGAGAATTCGAGAAACGACAATGAAATTGTAGATCCAGCCAAGAAAATGTTGGAGGGAAAAGAACCAGTCGAAATGGAATCGAAAGAAGACGATGAAGAAATTAAACCTGTCTATTGGAAAAAAAGGGTTGCTCAACTCAGCAGATTGAGAAAGCGAAAGATCGAGACCAATGAGAATGCTACTCTTCCTACAATTATGCCTGAAAAGAAAACTAAAAGAATTGACAAAGAAATGATGGAATCTACTCATATGCATGATGTTACGGGCTCATGTAAGGAAAGACATGGAGTCGAAGTTGTCCTGGATCCAAATGATTTGAAAATGCTTGTAGCTGATTTAATAACTAAATGCGAGAAATTGGAACAAGCGAGTTCATAAGATTTAAGTGATATCGTTGCCGAATACGTGGCCAGGTAGAAGAGGAAAAAAGTTCAAGACACTTCTAATTCCAATAAGAAATACAAATATGCCAAATTTTGATCTTTCTTGTGTATTTTGACTTATTTCATTATTATATTCATTTCATTAATTTTGTAAGCAAATTGAACTTTAAATCATAATAAAATTACATATATGTGCAATATAAAAAGAGGATTTATCACATTTCTTTGTAAAAATTGTTGCCAAATTAAAAAGAGATTATAAGTTGATAATCGACTAGATTCTCGAAAAATAAATGCTACTAAAATAATAAGGTAAATTTAAACAAGCGAGTACAGAAGATTTTATGTGATATGATTGCCGAAAACGCGGCCAGGCAGAAGAGGAAAAAAGTTCAAGATATCAGTAAATTCAATAAGAAATATAAAGATACCAAATTTTGATCTTTCTTGTGTATTTTGACTTATTTCAATTTCATTATTACATTCAATTCATTAATTTTGTGAACAAAATTTAAATTTAAATCTAAATAAAATTACATATTTGTATGTTGAAGATGTAAACATTACATTTTAATTTTTAAACTAGTTACAATTAAATGAGATAAAGATCATTTCTTCTTAGCTGCAGATTTACCATAAAAACTATCTAAGCCGAGACCAATAAATACAAAGGCAGCGCCAATCCATTGTCGTCCTATGATGATATTACCATAAATAATAACAGACGCGATGACAGTGAAAAACTTTCTGACAGTTGTGATAATAGAGCAGGGTAAAGGTCCGAAGTCAGCTACAGTGAGGTAAATAAAAACCTGAAATACAGAAAAAAGATTAATGATCGAGAAGACTTAACGTAGTTGAAGTAAGATTTCTCGTACTTACTTGACCGATTGCACTCAAAATTGAAAATAAGCCGATGTTATAAGTAACATAAGGATACTTATGAATAAAGTTAAGGAAACGAAGCCATTCTCCAGTGACTAGCACAGCTGATAATGAGAAAATAATAGACCATAAATTAAGGTTGAACATCATGTGACATGATTGAGTTTTGTGTTCTGATTTCATCCTTTCTTGAATAGCACCAGTCAACCCATCCATTGTGAGTGATAATAACTGAAAGAGAAATCAAGAATCATATTACTTACATTTCAAGTTGGGAATTACAAATATAAAAATCTAATATTTGTTATTTCATGTCAAAATTCATTCTTAAACATAGATAATTTACCAAAAGTATTTCTCCCCATCCCAGTAATGGTTTGTCAGCAACAGTAGAACTCGATGGTTTATCCTTGTACATAAAGAGAATCACCCCAATAACTATCGTCATAACAAACAAATATTTAGCTACTGGATAACGTTTTCTTCCGAACAATACGCCAAGAATCATTACAGGTACAGGTTTACATGATTTTCCAACTACCTGTGTTGGGTAGTTGACATGCTGCAAGGCCATGTTACTGAAAACCATAGCAGAAAAGTATGTCAACGCGGAGGATGAATAATAAGATATTCTCGTGGTATCTTTTCCTTGTTTCATGATCGTTCTAAGAACTTGAAGCAAAAGAATTATGTTAGTTGTGATAGAATTATGAAAATTGGACGTCAAAATTGAAGCTGATTCTTCGTAACAGTGTGAATAACTTACGTATTTGCGCTAAAATGGCATTGACAATACATTGACAGAGAACCAAACTCATTGGGTAAACAAACTTTTCATCATCTGATCCATACTTAGAACGAGTACTGAAAATTCAAATGTTATGAAAATAAAATATAACAAAAGAACGATTAGTTTATTTATAACAGTAATAGCATTCGAAACTTTTTAGAGAAAGTTATTGAACGGATTAGAACCGGTCGAAGTCAGATGATATATGAAAAAAAGAAAGCTCAATTAAAAAACACCGATACTAACATTTTTTCTTGGAGAAGTCCATAATAAAAGTAACACACAAAAATACCTAGAGCACAGATGATTAATTTAAGTGTATTATTCCCCTGAATAGGTTTGACAGAAATAGGTTTGTCATTTGAGTGCTTCATCACAAGTCAATAAATTAATGAATAGTTCCTAAGAATAAGAAATCAAAGAACAGATGAAAACACAAAGATCGGAAATACATTTCTTAATACAACTCATCAAAGCAAAGAGGAGCTCTTTAATTCTTGCAGCCCGCCATTTTTGAATCTTGTATATCAAATAAGTGCATCAAGACAACTAAACATGTTTTTTTCGCTTCTAGTCACTAAAATTTGTTGACTAAGAAATTTCACGCTGCTTTTTTTGCGTCTTCAAAGTGTTCTGTGTCGAATGCCCAATGTAACGCTACCAATTTATCGATTCGTGAGGTTATTTTGTGAGTAAAAGGAATTGATTATGATCTGGGATCCACTCAAAGAGTAATATTAGGTAAGGGTAAACGAGAACCCGTCAGCTCACTTTTTCATCTTCAAAGTCTCAGCTGACTGGAGTAAAAGTATCAGCGCTAAGAGCTGACTAACTTTTATTTGATTAAATCAGATCTGATTTAACCTAAAATGATCTATCTTAGACGGCTCACAAATAATCTAAATAGATCCAGACTAGATTTAGCTGATTAGATTTGATTTAATTGATACTGATATTGCGCTAATACTTTTACTCCAGTCAGCTGAGACCAAAGAGTAAAGGAAGAAGAGAGAGCAATTCAATACATAATCTAACCGAAAATTTTTTATTGGTGTCAGAAGATGGCGCGAGAAAGAGACTCTTTCTTTTTACTTTCTTTACAGATTTTTTACTCTCTTTTTCTCTTTCATTTCTCTTTCTTTTCATCATTGAAATTTAAATTAAAGCAATTAATATCAACATTAGAAAAGGCTTTTTTGATTATTTTTCAATGTTTTTAATGTTATTTTTATTCATTTTTATGATTTTGATGCTATGATTTCTTATTTAAAGATAAATGCATGATAATTTAACAGAGAAACGTCACTTTGACCAACAAAATCTGAATTAATCAAAGCAAAAGTCTATCAAAAAGTATTTATCATCATTATATTAAGGCTTTGGGACTATTTTGTTTACGAAAAACTTTTCCTGTCAATAAATTCTGGATTTATTCTTTTTAGTGCTTAGATTCATAATATAAAGTAAATTTGTTAACTGATAGATCTGTCCAACATTATAGCAACGACAAGTTATTCACCATTTACTTATGTGAAGGTGGATTCCCGTAAAATCTATGAATTCAGAATTTATTAACAGAATAACCAAAATAGTCCCAAAACCTTAATATAATGATGATAAATACTTTTTGATAGACTTTTGCTTTGATTAATTTAGATTTTGTTATTCAAAGTGACGTTTCTGTGTTAAATTATCATGCATTTATCTTTAAATAAGAAATCATAGCATCAAAATCATAAAAATGAATAAAAATAACATTAAAAACATTGAAAAATAATCAAAAAAGCCTTTTCTAATGTTGATATTAATTGCTTTAATTTAAATTTCAATGATGAAAAGAAAGAGAAATGAAAGAGAAAAAGAGAGTAAAAAATCTGTAAAGAAAGTAAAAAGAAAGAGTCTCTTTCTCGCGCCATCTTCTGACACCAATAAAAAATTTTGGTTGAGATGTTGCATTGAATTGCACACTCTTCTTCCTTTACTCTTTGGCTGAGACTTTGAAGATGAAAAAGTGAGCTGACGGGTTCTCGTTTACCCTTACCTAATATTACTCTTTGGATCCACTTGTGTTTATTAATGTCTACCAGTCATTCTGTTTTATTCACTCTTTTTAGTGGTGATATTATGACATGCTTTTTACAATTTAAAAAATTAAGTATTTATTTCTTTAATATAAATGTTTTCAATGTGAATTTACTGTGCTAACAATTTAAATAATTTCTGAAATTTCATTGATTAAGTTAACTTTATTGATGCAATGACCCGTTATAATACATCTTGTGTCGGTATTAATTCACCAAGAGGACAAAATTATTAACCATTGGACGGTCTGGCAGTAGTAGATGAAACCAATGTTGATCTCATGCGATTCATCAAATTAGTGATATCACTGGTGATTCTGTTCACTCTGACTCTGTTAAAAGAAAGAAAAGATTATTAGTAAAGTAAATTCTTTACTCGTTAATATATTGATTCAAAGGTAGCAAATTGGTTGCTAATCTGTTTACCTTAAACTTTCAAAAAATGCGTTGCTTGGGAAAGCACCAGTTGCACCAGCAGCACCACCAGCACCTTCATCGGCGGGTGGAGCATTAGCAGAAGATGCTACAGCTTGAAGAGCTCTCAAACGATTCTGGAGACGCTGTAAATTGTTTTGTACTCCTTTAAGGTAAGATCTCATTGATCTCATCATAGCAGCGGTCATGTATCGTCGATTAGCCATCAAATCTTCAATTGATTGCTAATGTATCAAGTCAAATCAGAAATTGAATTTATGGATAAACATGAAAGAAATGAAAAAATCGATTAGCCTTTTGATATGGATAAAAGTTGGCTTGAAGTCTAGTTAAAATTAAGCTTACATCAAGATTTTGGATAGTTTGATCAATTTGATCAACCATACCAGTAATCTGTTCATTTTGACGGGCATCAGTTGGACTTGGCTCAATTTCTGGTTCATTGGATCCAGCACCATAAGATTGTGGACTCAAAGTTGAAGCTGCAGCATCATTCAAGTCAGTGTTCAAGTAACCTTTGATCTGTTCCTCAAGGTCAACAAGTAATTTGGTTGCCTGATTTATAGGTTCAGCAAGGTAGGCTGAAATTTCGGAAGAGCTTGATTCATTTTTAACCTCAGCAGCTTTGGCAGGTTCAACTTTCTCAGCTGGAGCAGCGACCACAGAGGCAACTTCAGGACTTTTCAACTTTTTAAGTGATTCCTCAGTAACTTCTGCTGAATACTGAGAGGGAGTCTCAGTTTGAACAGGGATAGAGTCTGGTTGAGATACTGGTGATGATGATGGTGCTACAGATTTAACTACTGGAGCAACAGGAGCAACAACAACAACAGGAGCAGCAGCTACAACAGGCGAAGCAGCAACAACAGGCGAAGCGGCAACAACAGGAGCAGCAGCGACTTCAGAAACTTCAGCGACAACTGATTCCTCCTTTTTTACGACCTGAACTTTGCCTTCATCGGATTTGCCTTTCTTCTTTTTCTTTTCTTCAACTGAAACTAATGTTGAAGGGACATCACTATCCTTCACTTTGGAAGCCTCTGCAACTTTATAAGTTTTATCCTGGGTAACGTCGGATGGACCATCGTCTACTGATGCGACTGAAGCATCAACTAAAACATTAGCATCAACACTGTCTACTGGTACTGCAACTGTTTCGGATTTTGAATTGTAAAAACTTGCAGATTCAGTTGATGATTCAGCAACAGGTAAACCATTTCCTAAAATTGAAACAATTAGATTAGTTAGCTAAATTATCAATAACTTGCATTAGCATTTTGAAAAAAAAATCCTCTAACGGGATGTAAGTAAAACTTGAAATTAAAGAAACAAACTGATTGAAATAGTAAAATAATCAAATTAACTAATTAAAGTATTTCTATTCATTTTTACCGTTATTTAGATCTGTTGATGATATTCAAAAAAAACACTAAAAATACAAATTCAAAAATCTTCTTTTGGTGTCAAGGCAAGTAAATGGAAAGTATAATTGTAATGATCAACTTACCTAATGAGAAGAGGAAGGTTAATAAAACAATAGAAGTAAATAATCCCTTCATTGTTGATTTGGATTGTTTGTAAATGACCACAAACTTTGATTAACTCAAAATGAATCTCAAGACTTTCGTTGATAGCGAGAGTGTAACAACTAATTCAATTTCCAACTCGACTAATCAAGTGAAAAGGTTGAAATAAATGACTGAACTAGGATTTGGGTTTCTTTATAACCAAGGGAGGAGAGGTTAGGTCAGGTAGATGGGCCAAGACCGGTCTGCTCTACCTGAACCAAAAGCCCAGGTGGTGGTCCGATAAAGTTGAAGAAAGACTAGAAACGAGAAAGAAAGAAGTTAAAGATCAGAGAGAATAAAAAAAATATAAAAAATAAGGGAGAGAGCCATTGGCCTTTACTTTCACCTTGATATCAAGGGATATCAATCGTCCAGTTGGGGGTAACTGAGGTTACATTAGGGGCAGTATCCATAGGATGAACAGGAAAAACATGTCCGCCCTTAGTTGATCCTCTTGCCATTTCTAGTTCAATCTTTTTTCTTGGCTAATTTTACATTTCTTATTTTTCTTGAATTTTTGCATTTCTTTATCAACATTTTTCTTTTTCTCAACAATCTTCATTCAATGAGAAGCAATCCTGTGATTATCTTGAAAAAAGCATATAAAATCATATTCATGGCTTTTAGCAAATGGTTTTATTATTGGAGTAAAATTTTTCTTCTTTTTCTGAATCAACTTTGGTTTCAATTGAAGATTTTATTTCAATATCATTGCTAGCATAATCATGATTTAAACAAGTAATAAGAAACTTCAAACATTTTTATCATGGCTGCTTTTTTCCGGGTTTTTTGATTCAAAACATTGGCCATTATTGGATTATCATTTGAAATCTACTCGAGAGGTAAATGGCATTGGTGACAGTGGTGAGAGTTTAATTTATTTGAAGTAAGGAAGTTGATAAATATAGCCGATAGCTATGATTATGGTAATGGTGATGAAGATGAAGAAGATTACGATGAAGAGCAAAAATAAATAAATAAATGATCTGATCAATGTCCTGACGAAAATTCAGTCATTTTACCGCAAATTAACCAAACTCCCTCTTTAATCATCATCTTCCTTCTCAACCTTTACTTTATCCTTTCTTTCATTTTTCATTCAAATGTAAGTTAAGATGGAAATACGATGAAAAGATGAAATCCGTGTGATGAACTTTCAAAGCTGAGATCATTTTTGTGCAAAAATAATATCAATTGACAGGGTTAAATGAAAAAAGGCCAATGGCTTCACATAATTCAGTAACCATAAAGGTAACTGATCTCATTGATAATCAGTTAGTTTGTCAATCCGTTAGCTGAAAAATTTCAAAAATGAGCCATAAATCTGTTTTTTTATTTCTTTGAAATTATCTTTTCTGCATTCCTCATCTATAACCTTTATCTCTTTGTTTTCTGGTCATTGATATCATTATTATTTCAAATTATTTTGAAATAAAAAGCGAAAGCAATGAATTAAACATTAAGAGTAAATTCCAAATTTATTTCTTATAAAAATTCAGAAAGTTACAGTTTTCATGAAAAATTGGTAAAAAATTTTCTCTTGTTTAAGTTCAATAATTTGTAAAATTTTTTTTTGTCTCTGCTTAAAGGTATTTAAAACGATATGATATGTGGAAATATGATTGAATAGTAAGTGTATAATGAAATTGCACAAAATATTGTCTTGTCTGTATCATTGGAAATTAATTATTTGTTTCTGTCTCTGTTTTGATTTTATCCTCCAGAATTTTGTATCTTTCAACCATGGGTGTATAAATTCCATGTGCATCTTTTGATGGTTTGCAAACCAATTTGAACATTTCCAAGCTACTTGACATTTCTTTGAAACTTATTTTATCTGCAACTAATGCTGTAAAAGGAGAAAAATAGGAATTAATATTGGTAAAAGTATCATGAAAAGCATGGGAAGAGTTGAATCAATGAAAAGAAACTAACAATAGAAACAGAATTTTAGTGACAAAAACAAGGCGGTTGAATAATGAGAGAAAGTAAATACAAAAAGGACAATATGAAATTGATTTTGTTTACCATATTTAGCCATCAAGGCTGTTCCAAAAGATGCTGAATTTCCCATTGTTTGTCGATAGACTGGCTTATTAAAAACGTCTGATAAAATTTGGAGGAAAGTCGAGTTACATGAGGCTCCTCCTGTTACTTTAATGCATGAATCACTTATTTCAGTATAACCCAGAGAAGATGCATGAAGACGTAGTCGCAGAAATTGACCCTCGATAACAGCTCTAGCTTCAACCTCCTTTGAAAGTCGGGCAACTTTTTCATTGAATTTATTAAATCTGAAATCTCCTTTAACCAGAGGGTAAACTTCAGTACTATCAAAGTAAAATCCAATGTTGCCAAAATTTCCACGAGGAGTTGATTCAATAAGTTCATTGAAAATGTCCCAGCTTCCTTCAGCAGTTTCATTTCGGATTCTCTCTCGAGTTAATGAACCATTTTTGAAACAGAGTAAAGCCATATGGTCGTCAGGATTAATAGGGTTAATCAGAATATGCCAGTTAACGGAAGGTGTTGGGTTTCGCAGAGAGAGAAAAACTGTATCGGAAGTTCCCAGACTAACTCCAATGTCTCCTTCATCAAGCACCAAACCAACCAAAGAAGCTGGATTGTCTCCAGTAAAAGCAACAATAGAAGTAGATTCTGAAAATCCATAACGGTCAACATAATAGCTTGATATTGGACCTATTACAGTAGCCATCGGTACAACAGTATCACCCAATTTGCTTTTCAAACCAGGAGCGGTAGCATCTAAGCATATTTGAGACCATTTACCAGACCAAATATCCAATAGGTTCATTCCTGATCCATCGCTCAAATCAATAGGAGCATAATCACCTAGAAAAAGTGAAGCAGCGAAAGAACTGACTAAACTTATTCGTTCAGTGGCGTTATAAACTTCTGGTCTAGTGGCAGCTATTTTGGCTATTTGAGGGCCGGTGAACCTCTCATATGCACGGGATCCTGTTATAGTTGCTAATTTTTCTGGTCCTCCAAGAGCTTTTTCTAGTGCCTGACATTGTTCTGTTGTAGATGAATCCATCCAAATAGGGGAATCTCTCAGAGTAAAAGCGTCTTGTAGTTCATGGTGAAGAAATTTGGCTGAATTGAGAGACTTCAACTTTTCTCTGGAACCTTTCTTCCAATACACAGAGCCATGTTGTTGCCCAGTTCCGCTAATTGATTGAACTGTTCCAAAATCCAGACCAGAAATTTTCAACCTTTCTAATACCATATCAAGAGCTTTAACCCACATTAATGGTGGAGCAGTCACAACATTGCTTCCCTCTTTCTTGTTGACACCTCCTTGTGTTCTGGTTGATCGAAAAAAAATAAAGCGATAACACAAAGATAAGTGATCAGATGAAGGTAAATAAAATATCAATTGATTCAATTTCACTATTTAGATTGATTCACAACAAAATAAACAAAGTTATCAACATTTTGATAACTTTGTGTTAAGTTAAAGTCTACACATGTGTATGTTAATAGAGATCAATGATGGTCAGAGATGATATTTCGTGGGCATTTAACAATATTAAAGCAAATTGATTTTCATTAGATTATGAAAACTTATCAATGGTTCAACTGGTTCGTTATTAATGTCCACTGTGCTTTTACCTGAATTCGGGCAAATCATTGTCAAATTGAACAGCTGCTTGATGAATTATTTCCAATTTTTCGTTGATTGCGATGGCTTTTAGCTAGCGAAAAAAATACAATACATTAGTTAATTTGAAAAAATTTTAGCTCAATAAGCATATTGCTTATATAACAGGCTAATATTCTGAATTCAAGTTAAGAACAGAAAAGGGTGAAAATTATCTGATTAAACTGATCTTTAACCTTGAAAAATTTTGACGCTACAGATGTGTTAGTAATAATGAAGATGTGAAGTATAAATGATAAGATATACAAATTTTATAAAAGATTGATATTTACCTGTTGCGTGCTAAAGTCAAAACCCAAATATGTTGGTTCAAATTTGTCATTCAAGATATTATCCTCGTAAACCATTGTTAGATTGAGGACCACTTGAAACACGGACTTCGGTCCAGTAAAATAAGAGGCGAAATAAGATGCAAAGAAACAATTGAGAAACAACAGTAACTTTAGACAAAAGAGGTAAAGAGAAGTAGAAGCGAAGCAACAAGAATAAGAGCAAGGAGAGATTAGAGTGAGAAAACTACTACAATTAAAACTGATTACCCATCATCATCATCATCTTCAACGTCGTCATCATCATGTTTAACTTGCTTAACTCTCCACTTAATTTTGCCTTGAAAGGTTTTTTCAAACGCTAATAAAAGTAATCATAAGTTTACCTCTGTTTACGTCTTATTCCTTTTTTCTTTCTCCTCTTCCAGTTACTTGATGATAATCATTGAAGGACGAACATCTCGATGATGTGATTCTGTTGACGGGTGACAAGATTATTAAGTTTCCATTAAATACACGGGTCAATCAAGTTGAATGGGAGAGAAAAAAAGGGAAATAAAAGAAGATTGGAAAATAGTGTGAATCAACAGTTGATAGTTACCAGATAAAAGGCCTACAGGTTGTGTGAAACAATGAGCAAGAGCCAATGTTGAAGTTAACGGCTACAATTGAAATGAAGAGTAACATAATCAAAAGGACAGGTAATCAATCTTTAACGGCAGACCTTTAACTCTTGAAAATTCATGAACCAGATCTTTCACAAACAAGAAATAAACGTAGATAAAAGGGAAGAAAAGAAACACCAGAAAAGAATCCATTTTAGAGTTGCTGTTACATTGCTGAGGTAAGAGGTTAACTTAGCGTCTTTTTCCAATCCTTATCTCTTATCTTCTACCAACTGTGAGATTGCATTTCAATTGGTTATTCACTGTAAACAATGTAAGCTAACGTCGCCATGTTTAGCTATTTATTTAATACATAGACTAACATTTTTAGTCATATTTTTTCAGCCTGTTAGAATCCTGTTTTAATCAGTGAAATTCTGAAGCATTAAGTCAACTTTATCCATTCAGTTTAACCAATCAATCTAAACCTTCATCGATGACAATCTTAATCGTTTCGGCTTTTCTTTCTGGATTATTGAGCTCTTAAATGATTGGATCAAGACATTCATGACAATTGAGATGTACAATTATAATGAAATTTTATGAACAAAATGAAACATTGTATAAGTGAAAATAATTATAATACTGTAGGTACACATGTTAGATTCTAGATCAATACAATTAAAGCAGCTATCAAAGGAACCAACACAAACAAATTAACTTTAAAATGAGATGATCCATTGCATTGGTCTCTAGTTTGAGTCCGACAATTTATAACCATTTCTCTTCGACGGTTTTCCGGCATAACAAGATTAACGACCATTGGACTTGCATCCCGACAATGTTGAACCACAACTTTACTTAAACAATCATGATAAAAATAGAGAGAACTGAAAAGAAGCAAAATACCACGAATTAAAATCACGACTATTCAACCAAAAATTAAACTAAAACATATTAAAATATCATCTTACCAACAAAGACGTCTCTGAATGTCCGGAGCTGTTCTTGCGTTTCTTGTATCTCTTTGTCTCTGAAGTAGAGCATCTTCACAGCTAGCCATGTAATATCTTAATTTATGATAGCAATTATCTCCAAGCATTCCAGGCATATGGCGATCTAAATAACATCAAGTTATAAGGTAAAATTAACCAAAGGGAAGATATTTTGTGAAATTATATTTTCTTATACAAGATATTTTTAAAAACGCAAATACTCACCAATGTTGGTCATTCCTGGTTGAGCAGGTATTCCTGGGACAGGAAGATCTCCAGGAAAGTTTCCTCCAGGTTGAATTCTTGACCCCATTGATTCACCTGGTCCATTAATCTGATAATTAGGATCGATTGGGGGAAATTGCTGTTGCCTCTGGTATGATGATTCAATAGGATCATAGTTACCTTGCATCATTGGCATGTTTTGCATCATTTGTTGACCTGGGTTCATTGGTGGTAAATTGTTATCATCAATTGGACGCAAAACCCTATCTAAAAGGTAAATTAAATAAATAAAATGATAAATAATTGAACCTAATAGCTTATTGAGGTTCTTACCTGTTTTTTGGACGCGATTGCCTGTGTTGCCATCGGTTTCACTTTTGCTGAATTGGATTGAAGCCTGGTTGAATGATAAAACAGTTAAATCTATTTTCAAAGAAGGAGAAAAAGTAAATCGTTTAATTTCACTTGAAACATTGAAACACTTTAAACCAATTAAAAATATCAAACTCACCAAAAATAATCAACAATGTAAAAATAAGATCCATAGAGGTTAATAAAGTGTGAAATTAAAGATTTGAACAATTTAAGACGATTAAGGTTAATACGGTTAAAGTTGATGAATAGAGGAAACCTCATATACAAAACAAAAGGTGTTTCACTTTCATGAAAAAAAGCTAAATTAGATGACTGATGATGATGAAGAAGGAAGTCGATTACATTTGATCCCAGAAATCGCCGGTCATCCAACTATGATCAGAGTGATTTAACAATAAATTAATTCTGACTTGCATTGAGGGAAAATGCAATACTGACAATAACTTTCAACTTGGGCCTGTAATTTTGTTTACCGTCTTCCGAATTAGTTTATTATTGAGTATTTTTAGGTCACTCTCTACAAATAATTAAATCATTGACAATCAGTTAAAAACGTAAACATTGCCTATCGATTAATTAAATCACTTGAGAAAATACTTCACATGAACAGTAAATTTTAATTAAAAACATAATTGAAAACTGAAAATTAAAAAAGACATTTCTAAAAATCTAATTTGAGAAAGGGCTATTTCACCTAAATATTTTAGGAAAATAGCCAAAGTGCTAATCCCACGACTTGACAATTGAAAGTGTTGACTGTAGTGGAGATAATTTCACCACAATCGACTTGATTTATTTAGCATTTTTTAAATGCTCAGTCATTTATTTCCTAGAAATCAATGAAATATTACAATAACCTGTCTGAATTACAAGAATTATTGAAACTTAAATTGAATTGAATTGTCTGAAAGTGTGAAAAAAGAAGAGACAATTTGTGAAAAATTAAACCTTCAGGGAGAGTAAATATTATAATACAAAGTGATGAGATGTCTGAATGATGATTCTTAATAACAATAGTAATGATAAAAATAATGATTCAACTAGCATGGTTGATGTTTTGAAAAGAGGTGAAGATAAGAGTTGAAATAAAATCTGGTTCAAAGGAAGAATCCTTAAAATTTTCAACCAAAATCAAGTGAAAATGAAAATAAAGAAACAATTGTCTAAAGTTTAGAACAATTAAATATACGAAATTACAAGTCATCTTTGATGCTCAATTTGATAAAATTTGATGACAATTAAATTCAATGTTAACCCTGAATTGTTGATCAAGGTTGACCAATGAGTTTATCATCAGCTAATATTTACTGGTTCCAAAGGCACTTTGAACATCTTTGTGTCCATAAAAGGAATGCAATGTTGATTAATTTTGATCAACCCACGTTTACATTGAACTTGCATGTGGATGAATCCCGGTTTAACCCTGATTACCAACCAAAAATCAATGTGATATCGGCTTTGAAAATATGTCAAGGTGTGTGTGTGTTTAATTGTTAACCATACGGATTAGTGTTGATATGAGTGTCAATTGATGCTTTTTAAGCAATTGGTAAGGCTATTAACAACAACAAAATAAGATGGCGATTGAGTGAGCTCAAGTTATTTGATTAAGCTGACTCTTTTTCATCGTTGTTTCATGTTGATTAACAATCAAAACCGGTTTTCATTTTTGTTCATTTAAGAGTTTAGTTTAGATGAAGAAACGTTGGAAACTTTCAACATTCATTTTCACTTTCAAGCTTTATTCAATGTGATGTTTTTCAATTTCAACTTTCCCTTTTTCATCATTATTTCATCATTAATCCACCATGTAAGTTATTCCAGTCTCAATCTAATAAATTAATCTGTTTTACTAATCCAGGTTATTGTGTGAATCAAACCAGCTTTTGTGAAAAATTAAAAAACCCAATCCAAATAGTGAATAACAGTGAACTTCAAATGTTTGGGTTTTTTCAAACCAAGGTGATATAATAATGATATTAGATGAAAATATGTGAATTTTAATCATGGATTAGTGATTTATACCATTAAAATTAATTGTAATCTTCACCAGCAACCAATGAGTACCAATGAACCAGCTAAATCCATGTTAAGTGAAAGGCCTACATGTTTAAGTTGAAGCTGTTTACATTGAAGCTGTTTACAAATGTTTCAATCTTTTATGTGCTGTGAAATTAGATTTACCAATTAGTTATCCTTTTGAATCAATTAATTGTAGTTAACCAAGAAATTGGTAAAAATGAAGTTTAATTATATCCACAGATTAGCTTTGATAATTAGATGTAAGCGTTTGTTGGTCACAGCTCCATTGGTTTTGGGTTTGATCAGCTGTTGAGGGATGAAAACATCTAAAGTTGACTAACACTGAAATCTTGTCTTACCTTGACATGTTATGTCTAATGAATATCATGTAATTACATTGAATGGTTACAATATTCAGGGTTACACCGAGGAGGATTCAACCACATGGGAACCTACAATCAATGCTCGTTGTGAACGTGGGATGATGATTATTAATGTATTAACATTGGATCCCTTTTATGGAGTCATTCATACAGAAGATTTTCGTAAAAAAGATTCCTGTCGAGTCTTTGGGATCGGAAGTACCAATACAACGTTAAGGATAAGTGCTGTGGCAAGTGAAGAGGATGACAACTTTTGTGGGGTTCAGCGACACAAGGTAAGCGACACTTCAACCTCAATGAAACAAATGAAAGTTACATTCAAAAAGGATTCCTCAATTTAGGTTCAATTGTTTACAAAAATCTGGTAAACAAAATGTTTACCCAATTTTTGTTCAACCATTTACCAATCAAACATGAAACAGATAAATATTTGATCTAATCAGAATACAATTTAAACTATTAGATGATTTGATTGTAGCGGATAAATAATTATATAAGAATCAAGTCATTTCAATTATAATTTCAATTTAATTGTTATACAACTGGCTAATTGGTTTTACTTTCACCCAACTTGATTTACAGCGTTTTACTTTCATTTTTAGCTTATTTTAACCAAAACAATTAAGCAATATAAAACCAAATTTAGTATAAAATTAGTCAAATTAAGCTTTAATTATAATTGAATTTACGTTTTTTTTGTCTTTTGAAAAAAGCGCTTCAACTTTTTCGTCTTTTCTTCCTTCAAAAAAAACATTAAACTGTAAGCTTTGATTGTGAGAACAAAAAAGTGAATTTTGTCAAGTTAATTAATCTGTTGACTTCATTGATGACCCTTTAATTGTGTTCAACCAGTTCCACTTTAATGTCCATCTTCAGGTCAACTTACAATTTATGAAAATCAACAAAATGAAAGGTTAACATTAATTTTCCCTCTTTAAATACATAACGAGTAATGTAATAATCATTTATGTTTCCTTCAATAACTGTAAACAGATTAACCGTAAAAATATTAAATTCAGTTCAATAATCGTTAATCATTTGACCATTCACTGTTTAACTTGGTTAATTTATTGAGATCAACTAATTCCTTTAATAAGCGGTTAACATTTTCATAATTACAATCACAATTTTGCCAAATTACAAGCTCAATCAGCTAATCAAAATTCAAAGCTAACCTCAAATTAACCTTTCATTTTGAGCGCTCAAGATTTCACCAAAATATGAATTGTAAATTGATTTAAATTTTAATTGTGTGTTAAAAATGGTTTCACTTTTTATGTAAATCATGAATTACCTTCAAATGTAATCATAAAATTATGATTATTAAATTAAAGCCTTAAGCTTTCAATAATTGTTTATGATAAAGAAAAGGCTTTTAATTGTCAGAAACTGATGGTTAAATCAGATTAGTTTAATTGGTTGATTAAGATGAGGAAGGAAATGACAATAACATTAAAGAGAAGACAATTAAAACTGTCCATTTGACAATATTAACAATTTAGTCAACAATTAAAAGATGATCGAGCAGAAAAGCGTTCCAATGAGAATGTATAATTATAATTGTTATGTAGGTTGAAAGCCTTGGTTATTTCATTGAAAACCTTAATCAACTAATCATTTGAAATTGAGACTGATTGTTGATTAACCTGAATCAATCAATAATCGAAGCAAGAGAAACCTTTAATTGTCAATTTGACACAATTATTGATGTTAAAGACGTTATGGATTAAAAGTGAAACAAATTGTCTTCAATTGTAAGATTCAAATTGAAGTATCCAACAACAATTTTGATTGTTGTTGGTTAAGCAGCTGGTTTAATACAATATCGTAATAACAATTAGCCAAGGTTAATTGAAAATTGTCTGTTAACCTGTAAAATGTTTAAGGCCTGAACTAAATCCATTGGGATAACAATTAACAAGACAATGATGCCTTTTTAATCAACATTTCATCTTAACCAGTGGTGATGATTAAAAATGATTAAATGATTTAACTTTCACGATTAAATTGACCATTTGATTGATTGTCTTCTTAACCTCGACTTTCATTGTAATCAGTGTTAATCACATTAGATTATTGCCTATTATTGGAACGTTTAATTTTGGTCTAATTGTTGATCAACTTGTAATTCACTTTTGTCAGGCTTGTAAGCTTTTTGTAATTGAATTGAGCTTTTTAGATTCTCCAGTTAAATTGTTTATTTCATTCTTGTAATTTACTTTATTCAGTTATCACGAATTTTCAGGTGAATTATATTTTTTTATATTATCCAATTGAATAAGGTAAATTGAATTGAATTTATTCATTAATCAAATGTTTTAAACCTTTTCCATGTTATAACTAACTCATCACGACTATGTTTGATGTTCATTCATCTTTGATTGTTACCCATTCACCGATTCACGGTAATGTTCATTAAAGTGATAATCATGATGATCAACCATTTACTTGATTATTCACTTTCTCAGATGATTTTGATTTTTAAATTCTTCTCGCAATTTCATTCATTCACAGTTTCTATCAGATTTCTTGCTTCCAAGTAAATACTCAATTGAAGTAGTTGTTTGATTAAAGTGTTTAAATCGCCAACAAAAGAGTCATTGTCTAACTGTAGTTGACAATTTTGAAGCAAATCAAATTGATTTGAAATTCTGGTTAACTTCATTTTCAATCAGATTTTTTGTATTTATCAGTATTTCTGGTTTGTTGCTTTCAATTTCACCTCATAAATCAAGTTATTAAGGTATAATCTTTATAAGGAGCAACATTGATGAAAACAAAAGCAATTATTATAAAATTGTTGCACGTTTTCATTTCAGGTTTACTCGTTTATAAGGTGATTTTAATGAACCTTGAATATTTTTGATAACCTTTTGTATGAATTTATAGAATTAGATTATAAATTGTTCATTTATATCATCTTGATTAGTGAAGTATGAATAAACTAATTTCTTGTTTTGCGTTATTTTCCAGAGCATTGATGAAGACCGAGCAGTTACTATTGCTGTTCGCATTCATCGGGATCTTGAACTTTCAGTGGATCGTTACTATTCAATAGCATGTTCACAAACATTTTCAACCAATTCTCGGACACCATCTCGATCTCGAGTAACCCTTAAATTGGTTAATGAAGCTGGTTCTGATACTAGTCGACGATTAATCCACGGTAATCGATACAAACTTCAAGTAGATATTACCAATCCTGATCCATCATATGGATTGTACATTCGCAACTGTGTCGCCTTTTCAAGTGTTAACTCAACTGAGATAGATTTAATTAATCAAAATGGTTGTCCCATTGATGAGAGCATTATTTCACCTTTTGATTACACCAATTCAACGTCAACAGTTGAAGCAACAATTAAATCCATGTTTAAATTTCCAGGAACCAACAGAGTTTTTATACAATGTGCTGTGCTCCTATGTAAAGGCGGTTGTAATTTTAACATTGACTGTGAAGATACTTTTACCAAAAGAAGCTCAAGTAAGTATACATTTTATTATTGTTATTAATTTTAATTGATTCAATTTCTAATTAATTTATCTATTTGGCAGTTTCAAAGATTAGACCAGACTCTAATGTGATGCAAATCCTGGCCAGTACAACTGTATTTGTTGTTGATCCTGGTGAAGACATACTTGACTACATACGCTATAATGAAGAGTGCACTGTTTCCCGATTCCCTTGGTTGGTTACACTTTGTACTGTTCTGGGTATTTTATTGTTAATCATGTTAATTGTGAACATCTTCCTTTGTACAACATTAACCTGTACCTGTACCAAGACTGAGGTGGTTGAGAAAGAGGATGCCTCTGAACTGGAAGATTATGATCCTTATAAAATTGATTGGGCTGCTAATAATAACATGCCTGTTCATGGATCAACCTACGGATCTCGTTCATCACTGGCAAAACATCTTAATGATGGTAATGAAAGCGATTTCCGACCCAATTCAAGGTATTCAAGCCAACCTTCGGTGAAACGTGTTCCCGCCCAAACATATGCCAACTACTGATAAGGTTTCAATGTAAACCTTGGATCTGATTGTGTCTTCAATCAGTTAACCTACGTAATTGATTAATATGGAGCCTTCCATTGTTCTCGAGTCAAATCAAAGTCTCAATTGATCAAACCACAAACAAGCCAACTTGTTCAAATTAATAGACTCCAATTAACCATGGAAATTGTAAATATGGCATCAATATTAACACATTGATACATTTTTTGAACCAAATATTAGTCGTATTTTCCAATTGTCAAACATTTTTCACTTCCAAATTGTACGCTTTTGATAACAAAAACTAATTTATTGACTTATTTTTTTCTTCTCGTAACTTGATTTAATGAATTTTCAAAGTAATCAAATTTTTGTTATATTTTCACTACTTTTAGTGCTATTAATTGTAAATTTTTCACTTGCACTAAAAAATGGTTGAAATGCTGTGCATCTACAACTATTAAACTTGATAACTTTCTTCATTGTTGCGTTTCATTCATTTCCAGTTTTTTTCTTCTCTCTCTTGAATCTCTAACGATCTTTCCATTTAATTATAAAATCACCATGAAAAAGAGCTAAATAATGGAAAGAAAAATTTACTTATTGTTGTGTTAATTCAACAACCATAACATTGCAATATATCCTTGATCAGGTAGACATAGAGCTTGCTTCAATTGATTGGTGTGTTCAACACACCTAAATCAATCTGGGTTGATGTTATCAGGTTAACTTTCTCAATCAACTTTCTAATTAATTAATCACTTATAATCATGTCTTTGACCTTTCATTATTAATAAATTCATATTCAGCCTCAACCCAAAAGTATTGTTATTTTTTAAATCATCTCTTCTTTCCTCTTATTGTTGTATAAAAAATAATCAACTCTTCTTTTTTGATGAGTAAATTCAATACAATTGTTGTATCCTAAACACAACAATACAATGATTGAGTCCAATAATCAGTAATTCTCAGTATTCAATATGAACCTGGACTGAAGATAATTGCTGTTCTGTCCAATAATGAAATCTTACATTGACTTGAAAGACACAGATTTACGTTTCGATAATGATTGTTTCAGTTTAATAGTCATCAATAGTTTGACATCAAGTGATAATATTAATGATTGAAGTAAATATGATTTTACCGTTTAATATGTCATTTATCATAATCAAGTTGAGCATATTCACATTACTATTAATACATTACTTTTGAAGTAAAATTGTACAATATGTTTACAAAATCATTTCACCCAAATTTAAGTTAATTTATTGAGATTACTGTTGAAACTAGAATGGTTTAAAAAAGATTTGATACATTTAAATGATATCTTGACCATCACTTATTGCCTTTTATCAGAACCACGTTTCATAATTACAAATATCTACGAAATTTAAATATATTCAAATGATGGATGATTAGAAGATGAATTGTGATAATTGTAAGGACTGGTGACTTGAACATTTCAACCATATTGAAATGTTTCCTTTAAAATGTAATCATTGTGATAATTAGTGATCTACTAATAGCGTCATCATTAAGACGGTGTCTCGGTGTAGGCATAATCAGCTTTGTTGTGCATAATTAACTTGTTATCAACGAAATAAAAGCTGTCCGATCGTGTTTCATATGGATTTCTGATCATTTCTTCGCCTGGAATCAAACAGAGAGAATAGTTAAACAGGGAAAATAAATTCAACATTCAGGTTTATAATCAGTTTTACTTACAGAGATCAACAGGTAAGGTGGGAAACTCATAAATGTGTTCACATGAGTTTTTGCTGTTTGGAATACAAAATCCAAACTCGAAATCAAATGTTTTCAGTAAAACATCTCGGAAAAAGTGTTTCTCGATCATACGGAAATTGTTCACTGGCTTTTCCCCAACAGTGAATTCAACGCTGAAAAAACAAGCGAGTAAGAGATTCATTAGTTAACAGCATTTAAAAATAGTAATTGATTTGTTCCGAACAAAAGGTCATAATCAAGTCAAATTGCGATCCTCAAAGAGGCTGATGACTGAGTCTAGGTTTTTTTTCATGAATTTGCCATTAATCAATGGAATCGATCGGAGAGTGAAACAGAATGATTATTGATTTTACAGTTATACATTGTATTTCAATTCATGTAAATTAAAAATAGTTTAATCTACAGAATCAAGTCAAGTTCAAAGTTGCGCATTTGCTGTATTTTTGAATATAATGAGATGTAAAATTAAATCATGAATAGTATTAATAGAGCTCTAAATATCACTGGATGGATAAATGCTTCTGATCTGAAATATAACAGATTGTACTAAATATTTCGATTGACATGTAGTTGAATTATGGATTGTATAGCAAACATTTAATCCAAGGTAAATACGAGAAAATGAAGTTGCAAAAAAACATGAACTAATTTAATTGAAAGCCTACTCTGTATGTAATTCATCTGATTTTTGTGAAGGTTAAAGCTTTTATTATTGCTGGTTTAGGCAAATTTTGTGTCTCTTTGAAAATAACTTATGTTTGTTTCATATAATTCAAACTGTTACCAGGGATACAAGGTCAAGGATACGAGGTAAAAAATAGGTTCACCATGGGATTCAAGTTACTGAAGAGGGAAAAAGAGGGAATCAAAGAAGAAGGCAAAGCTTCTCATTTGTTGTGCCATTTCAACAAATGTTATAGTAAGAGGGTAAATAATACAAGCTTGTTGTTGACGATCATAAGAAACACTTACGTTGCACCAACAGTTTTAAGTTTGAGAAACTGGGAATTGAATTGATAACGAACAAATCTGCCATCATGACCGTCTTCAGTGTCATCTAATGATCCTTCATCAACAGCATCAGATGGCTTGGAGATTTCAAATAAAACTGTTCCAGTTTCCATATCACGAATTTTAAATCGAGTGAACTCAATATCATAAGTATTGGCCTCAAGTGGACACAGATAACCTGAAAAGCCAAAAAGTCAAATTAATAATGAATCTAAATAAATAGTATTTTGATGAAACGGTTGACTATTAATTATTAAATTGGAAATCATTTGAATAGCTAAATATGTTGGAAATGAAAACAACTTACCTTCAGTTATCTTATTTAATTTGACAACATCGTCTGGGCTGATTGATTCCTTAACCGCTAGTTCTTGTTCCAAATTGTTATTAACACTATCGGGGTCAGTCGATTGGCCAGAAGTGGCTATATCCTTCCTTACCCTTCTACCAAAAGTACTATGCTTTTTCTTGTGATTCAAAGTCAAACCAGAAGATTTCATGACTGAACCCATAATTTTCTCTACCCTCGAAGATAGAAGTAAATGCCACTATTGAGATGAAATAACGTTAATGGTGTAAGTCAATGAGGAGATTGGAAGAGAACGCTATTTGAAACACGAGATTGAAAAACAAATGTCAATTTTAAAGATATTGCATCCACGAAAATAATGAACAGAAGGAAAAATACACTATTTTTAATAAAAATATCAACGAAAACAGGAAAAAAGGTAAGTCACAATCTTAAACATAGACAGTTCTAGACAAGACAAAAAGTAACACAGACAAAAGAAAGACAAAGATGATTACAAATAACTAGTCCTTGTAACCAGATCGAGTGTAATGTTTACGAACTACAGGCTGCTACTGCATTACACTACATTTGGTTTACTTAGAAAGAGGTTCAGCCTCTTGATAAAGGAGAGACTTATGGTTTTACAAGCGCCTTGCATTTATTGATTTCATAAAAGACAGATTTGGTGCAGTCTCTACTCAAAGTTCTGTATTTATTTCTGTTATTCAGCCTCTTTTGGGTGTGAAACATTTGTGCTTTTACAAGCGCCACATTTAACATTACATTATGTATTTAAATTGATTTTAAAGCTATTGTATTCATTATTCAGACTCAATAAAGTGGCGATTTCTTGTTGAACATTTTGAATTTGCAAAAGGACAAAAATCAGTTGATTTTATACAGTGTTGAGGTTTTTTATGGCTTATGGCTTTTACATCAATTTGCTTGAAATTGTAGTTTCGTCGTTCACTAACATTGACACTCGCGAGTCGTCATTCCCCGAATACATGATGCCTGAAAAGTCATAAGCGATCCTCAATAAATGATTTTCCTTCCAAGAGTATAGCTTGAGTGTATCCATCTTTTAGGCAAAGCATAAAGCTGTCAAGTCATGTCTCCTCTAGTTAACACTGGAATGAACTCAGCAAATTGGTTTTGGATAAAAAATGGTTTTTGTCAATAATTTAAATTTTCATTTTTCTATCGATTCACTCTGCAATGATAATTTAATTTTGCATTTTTATTTCCTTTGAATTAGTTATAAATAAAGCTTTGACGTAGCCACAATTAACCAGCTATTCATATTGATTGCCTATTCTTTCGTTCATCGATCATCATATCATTCGTGATATTTTTATTCAATAACTGTTTGCTTCTTGATCCAAGATGGTTAATCAGGTTACCATTAAGGTAATTGATTGTGATCGAAATAGCTTGTCATTGTTGAAATGGTAAATAAATAACGGTAGAAATCATTCTTGAATTAGAAACACTAATTTGATAAAAGTTGAAATAAAATAAATTAACAACAGTGTTTAAGTGTTTTCATTTCGTTTGCTTTCGTTTTTTACTTGAGAAATGATTGATTATCCAGCAAAAATTGCTGAGTGATTTTTTTTGTTGTTGTTTGTAGTTTATAATTTTGTTTGTCTTTTGTTTTCAAGTTACATGGGAATTAAGGTCATTTCAAGTTTTCTATGGGATTTATCACTTAGGATCGAAAGGTTTAAATTCTTGTTTGAGGGAATTGGACTTTAACTTTTTTTTCTTTGCTTTAAGTTGCAGTTACATGATTTTTTTGTTCGTCGCCTGTTCCACTTCTTGGTTTATGTCTTCATTATTTATTTCATTAACAATCATTGTTTAGATTTTTTGGCTTGGTAAAATGGGACAATTGACTAGCAGCTCGCACATCAACAGGGCTGTTAGTTGGTTGCTTTACCGTAGTATGAGTGAATTTATATTATTTAATTTTTTTTGTTGTGTTTGAGTGATTTGAGTATGTGAAGAGTGTTTTGATGGTGTTTTTAAGTTTCTTTCAGACGTTATGTACCAACGTTATTTCTTAGCATGTGTGATGTGGATGTGTTTCAAGTGTGTGTATGTGTATGTAGTTAGTGTATATGCTTTGTATTGTGGTAAATGTGGATTGGTTGCTTTTACTTTTCCTGTGAATGACTATTTTTGCTACTTGATCCAGTTGAAATACAATTCCTCGATTTGGTTTCGTCTTTAAGATTTGTGTTTATTAATTCCAAAATCCCTATCGTCAAATTAAATATTATTAACATCTTGCATCTTAAATGGTTGCGTTCTTACTGCTGTTGCTAGTAGCCGCTTGTTAGGTTGATTGGTTGTGTTCACCTTGATTCTTTAAATTTTAAAGTAGTAGTTGTAATTGGAGTTGTTTCTTGTTTGGTTTTTCTTTGTCTTGGATGAGATATACAAGGCACATCGACAAGCAACTGGAAAAAAGGGTAAAAGAATGATGCAAAGTGGCATGGGATGAGGAGAAAGATGAGAAACAAGAGAAAGATAAGGAAAAACAAGGGAGGTAGTAGGTAGGGAGGTTTTCCAAAAAAGGTAAAATACTTAGATCCGATAGTTTTTTTTGCCTAGTGTTTTTTGGAGAAAGTTTGGTTGCGAGTATATTTTAATTTTTTTTATCTCTTAAGTTGCATTTTTTTGTTGTTTTTTTTTGTTATTGTTTCATGAGAGAAAGTTACTTGACAAGACAATTTGATGAGGCCTAAAAGATTAAGACAGTCCGTTTCTGATTTGACTGATGAATGAGAAGTGAAAGAGAAAGAAAGAAAAACAAAGGGAGAGGAAAGGAAAGGATAACATGAAAAGGGAATGAAAGATGCAATCAAAGATGAAGTGAAACATGATGCGAAAAATTTGGAAATGCGGTAGACCTAAAGTCTTAAACAACTTGTGCGGAGAAGGTTTTTTTAACGCTTTTTTTCTGGGATTGGAGAGTTGATTCTGAGATAGAAACAAGGACTAATCTCTAATTTTTGGCTCCTCCTTTTTTCTTTAAATTGCTTTGGTTGGCTATTGAGAAAAGAAATAAAAAAGAAACCAAAATTGACAAAAGCAAAATGACGGAAAAGACATAGAATGGAGTGAAATTTTTTAGAAAAAAAGCGACAAATGTGAATTGATGATAAAAGAAAGATAAAGATAGATTATAACATGCAATTTTGGATATGATTTACTTTTGCTGTCTTTTGTTTCTTAAAATTGGAGCAATTACAATTTTCGGTCAACATAAGACCAAAAGAACGATGGTCTTGATGAGACCAAAGACTAACTTAACCCTATTCACTATCACAACTTCGTTGCAACATGATAATAGTTCATTAAAGAGAATCGTTAGTCTTAACGAGAGGTTGAAAGATCTTGTTGATATTGGGAAGGATGGAGAGAATGAACGATAGAGAGAGAGGGAGAGGGAAAGGGAGAGAGAGAATAAAAGGGAATAGGAAAATGAAGATAAATGATAGATAAAGATGGAGACTTCAGAAAGAGAAAGTATAGAGAAGATACTCATGGCACATGAGATGTGACTCCATCTTAACGTTAAGGTCAGAATGAAGCTTTTTATCACGGGGATAGTCTTTTGCTCATAAAGAGGAAGGGTGTTTGGTTGAGTGACATTAATTGGACCTAAAAGGTTGGTGGGAGAGGTTGTGTTGGTTGTCATGATAGAGATAGAGATGGCAGGATGAAGCAAGGAAGGCTGAAATAGAGGAGACAGGATGATAGATAGTAGTGATCGAAAGAAGACCGAATGTCCATAACTGTTTCCATCGTGCTTTCCATGACTTGAAGGGTGAATTGAGGAAACAAAATGATCAGAAATGAGATGGTTCCCATTTAAAGAATGAAGCCAGGAATTTTTTTTGTTTTTTCGTTTTATCCAGTGTAATAGTAATTAACTGATGAGATGAAGGAAAGTTCGTTCTCAGGTATTGTTCTTGTTAAAATTAACTAGTGAGTTTCATCCGTATTAGCCGTAGATTTCACTGATCATCTCACGAACTTTATCCATTTAAAATAATTTCCAAATAAACTTGGAGCATGTTCAGTTATTGGTGACGGTGGTTGTTGAAGATCCGGGTTGACGAACGACACTAAATCCTTTGGATCCATCTGGACCCTTGGGTTGACGAAGCAGCACCATTTTTGGTCCAACATTTTCATCCACAACCATTGACTTCAAACGTGTTATAAGTCTTTCAGGCCGAGGAGTGTTGATAGCATCGCTAAAGTAATGTAATGAAATAGTAAAAAGAAAAAACAATGAATGTTAAAGACCTCAATGATCAAGCTAAACAGAAAACAATGTTAATCGTTATTTACCTTTGTTTAACAACTGAACAGGCAGAATATTTTCCATTTCGCTGATTTTGCACGATAGCAAATTCAACAGTATCACCCGCACTGAGAATAGTGTTCTCACCTCTAACTTCGGACATGTGAAAGAATAATTTTTTACCTTCTTCCACTTCGTAATTGAGAAACCCGAAATTTCCTTTTATAGCATCGACAGTAGCCTTTTAAAGATAAATGAAAAAGGTTAAGATATTTTGTATTTTCTAAGAAAAATAATTTAGTCTTAAAATGAATTAACTTACTTGGACTTTAGATCGAACAGGCTTTATGTTTAAAGCCCTTTTGTGACCAGATTCATTAGCAGAGCTCAATTGGAAAGTAACTAAGTCACCTTTTTGAACATAATCATAAATATCGGCCAAACTTGTCATACTGAATTCGTAAACAACATTATCTGGTTTGTAATGGCCTTCTTCATGTGGTGAATCGATGACTTGAACTAGTCCCCAATATTCATCTTGGTCCGGGTTTAAACACCTAACTGACCTGATAACTGTACCATTCAACATTTCAGGTTCACTTTCTTCACCCGGAATGCTACCTGAAGGTAACTTTTTGACATACTCAGCGTTCAATTTGGAATTTTTGACGGATAAAGTGTATTCTACTTCGTTTCCTAGCTCTAATGATTGGATATTACCATCATAAACACTGGAATTGAGATAGATTAAAAGAAATTCATTAGAAATTGGGCGATTTAGCTTTGGTTAAAATTCAGTCAATGTCAAATATTGAATAAATTGAAGGCAATATAAAGGTAAATTTAATTTGTTTGGTTATTTGTGTAAGCTATAAAATAATTTAATACAAGCTATCGAAACCTTGTGAGTTTGCAGTTAAATTGTTTTGATTATAATTTAAAGGCTATTATGTCGAATAGGAAATATTTCATAGGGGAATAGGAAAGATTGTTGATGAATATCGACCATGATGGCAATTTTGATGTGGGAAATAGTCATTAGTGACAAGTATAAAATACGAGGTAGAAAAAATAAGAGACTCTTGAGCTAATTAATCCAATTAAGTAATCATGTTCTATAGACATTATCAATCAGTTCTCGCTTATTTTTTAATTTGTGTTGTGATTGGATCAAATTCATTCTCAGAGAATGAATTACTCTTAAAGAAACTCAAAAATCGACTCGTCGCAGTCACTAGTTTAAAACCATCATCAGAATCTGTTAAATTTCAACAAAGTGTAATAATGCAAGATGAACAAAAACAATCCATGAGTGAAGCCCCCGACACAAGTGATGGACCTTCATCCTATCAAAATCCAGTTGATGCGATACGAGAGACAATCATCAACACTATCATTCGAGAAGTTTCCAGCAATTTACCAGAAGTATTGAGACAAACAACTGAGTTTTTTAGTCAAATGAGAGCAGCTATTGTCAAAGCTTTTACAGAATATGCTGAACAGAATCCAAATTATCTGAATGAAAGTTCTACTAATCGAACCTTGGGAGGAGAATTCATTAAGATAGTTGACAGTATTGTTACAAATAATGGTAGAGTCAATTCAAGTCGAGTATTGTAGATATACTGCATAAGAGTTTCCAGGATAAAACAAAATTCAATAAAAACTCATGAAGCTAAAAGAAATGTTCCATCTGAAATAAGGCCGATTTTCATAACTATTTGGACTCTTTGAATCAACTTGGGAGTGGTCTAATAATTTTGTAATACAAATTAGAAACCACTCCTAAGTTTCAACAGACATCAACCACTGGTCTGCTTCACAAAATGAAAGTTTGATTACAACAATAAGACATTGGAAATAGTTCAAAAAAATAATGGTTTAATTTTAACTCTAACTAAAACTAGCCAATAGGCAAATGTTAACTGTTTAATGGAGAAAATGTAATAGAAATTTCTATCAAATCATAAAAATGTATGTAAATTAAAATATTTTCATCAATTCTGCATCAATAAACGTAATCGATTTCTTACCTATAATGAAAGAAAACTTCATTTTTGTGGTTTTCGTTTTCAATAAAACCAAAACTATCCTTTAAAGCAGCAACAAATCCTCTTTGTACAGCTTTCATTCCATTTTTGCCAGTGTAAGTACAATTGGCTGCATTTTTATTGGAATCTGTATCATTCTGATTGTCTCCAATTAATTTGGCGAATTTGGTCGGATCATTGTCATTGCAGTTGTTTTCATTGCTGAGTGCATTTTTTAACAAAGCTGGTTCCAATGGTTTGATTAAAGGTGCACAGGGTGTCTCATCAACTGAAGAGAATATATCAATCAATTGCGAATTTTCGTTGGTATCTTTGTTGGTATTAGAATTCGTATTTGGATTATTTTCAATGGTAGGGTCGGAGTTCATTGTTATTGGTAATTGGGACAATATGTGAGACCAAGAGTTTTGAGTTTTCCCGAATTGGGGTTCGGCACTTTTGGAAAGATAATCGCCAGAACTTAAAGAGGATTTACCTGTTGTCGTTGATTCATCAGTGTTTAAGTCTATTAAAGGAAATTCACAATTTCCATTACTTTCACTCATCGGATCCATATTGTTATTGCCATAACCATTCCTTAATCTTGATTCCAAATTACTACCGAATCCAGCTGGCAGTCTTCCGTCACTACTGTTTTCAGTTCCAAAGTTAGGTTTTGCATAAAGATTCTTGAATATTGTACCATCGGGCAGAAACTTTATTCGAATAGCTTGTAAACGACCAGGCATGGAGTGATCGGGAGCGATGGTGAATCCGACTTCCTCATTCAATTTAGGAATAATACTTGGTTCCAATAGTTCAGCAAAACGGAAAAATATTCTAGTTCCTTCACGATTTAGACACTTGACAAAACCATAGGAATCTTTGAGAGCGGCAATATATCCTTGTTCTCTGATTTCTTCAGAATTTTCAAAAGTCTCATCTAGAATTGCTATATTGGTTGCATGTTCAAGTTTGTCACGACGATCAGTTACTACATTAAATTGAATCATGTCTCCGACTTGTAAGGTGAAGTCACCTCTGACATCTTTATCGCCAAATGAGATCTCTTTTTCAGTATTGCCATCCATGTAGACTATTTTACCGGGAAAGGGTTCACTACTTGATGATCCCGATTGGAGGCTATTGCTTGTGAAATGTTGACGGCTAAAGGAATGATTATTGTGACGATCAATTAACTTACTTACACGACCAGTGATAATTTCAGGAGAAATATCTTCAAAAACAACAGTTCCCGGAGGGAGTCTGTCAACACTAACAGCAACCTCCTTGTTATTGCGTGTCTGTACCCTGAATTCAACATCATCACCAAGAGATAGGCTTTTAAAGTCTTTACATTCTGATGAATGAAAGAAAATTTCTTTGACAACATCAGCTCTTTCGATGAACCCAAAAGAATCTTTTAAAGTGCAGACAACACCTTGATAACGTTCAGGAGTTGGTGTCTCTAAGGCGATTTTTCGGGCACGAAGGTTACCACTTTTATCTGGGGTAATCAGGAAAGTGACTCGATCATTTTGTTTAACAACTTGTAATGTGTCTTCAAGATCTTTTGTTGTGAATGGAAGGAAGAAACATTCTCCTCTATGTTCATAGGCAACTCGGCCTTCTCTTCCTTCACCTAATTCGGTGGTGATGAAACCACTGACTCTCTCACTGCTTAGTTCTTCACCAAGAAATGCTTCAGATGAAATTTTAACAACCATAGAAGCAATAGGTTTACCAGTTCGACGGTCATATGTCATCTCAAATTCAACTGGATCACCTAGCTTAAGATGATCAATGTTACCTTTAAATTGACTATAATGAAAAAAGAGGCGAGCTTGTCTCTCACAGCACTGAATAAAACCATAGGAGGGTAATAATTTTTCAACAATACCAGCTTCTCTGAATCCTTCTACCATGTCCACAGTTCTTGAAGATATATTTTTCCATTCAGCGTAGGTTATTGGCTTAGACAATTGTGTATCAGCTTCATCTCGGGTGTGTTTAATGGATACCATCACATCTTCACCCTCCATGATTGATGAGGTGGGTTTCAGTGTACAAATTGATAGTTTCAGTTTAAGTAATGATGAGAAAAATAGTTGATGATTAATTTGAGCAGTCAGACCACAGATGATTTATTAAAAAGAAGGAACTAGTTACAATTAATTAATAATTAAAAGAAACGTATTTATTTGTTTTCCTATTTTTCTCTTTCACTCTCTGCCTTTCCTTATGATAGGCATTGGTGATACAATGTATGGAAATCAATCAGCTTCTCTTTGAGCTTGGTAGATGCCTATCGAGACGCCATCTATCGACCTATCTTTATAGTTAGTTCCAAGCGGCTCATCTGTTTGACGGATTCTGTTACAAACTAAAACCAAAACGAAAAGAAATTCGTCTAGATGCCGTTCACTAAAGTAAATGACATCAGAAAGCCTGATAAGAAGTTCAACCTACTCAAGAGCGATCTGGTAACCACCAACACCTTTGAAAAAAAGAGCCTTAAACATTGACAATTTTTTAAAATCTGTACAAATCGTATGTACTCAAATCGGGTCCTGTAGTCAGGCCGCTACTTTCTGATATTCCCAAAATCTTGGAAAGAATGGTATGGCGAATGAATGAATAGCGTGTAAAGCATAGTCTCTGAGAGGGATAGTAATAAAAAGCGGATTTTATTTAAGTTTCCATTCGAGCTCAAATTATCAACAATGATTTATTTCTGATTTTTTGTGTGAAGATGAATTGTTTTGAAACTGTTACATGGATGCTCTTACTTTTAAACCTTTTCTTGTTTAAGATTGATTTCCATGATAAATTTTTTGTTTAAAAACGTAGTAATTAGCTGAGGATTATTTGACCGAATCGTTAAATTGTTACCATTTAAGCAAAAAAATGTCTAACAAGGTTATCTTCAGAAATGTGCTGTAATATGAAATGAATTTTATATGCTTCATAGTATTTTAGGTTATTTAAGTGCAACTGAACTTTGACCTGTAATATATTTTTAGGTGACCCAAGGTAAAACTTTGATTGGGCCTCATTTTTAAATACGCACGTTTCAGTTCATTTCAGTTTTCTTGTGAAATACATTTGCAGCAAATTTAAATTAATTTTTAATATCTTAATCTACGAAGATTACAGAAGTTTATCAGCGTCCTAATTATATAATTAAATGTATCGATCAAAATCTGAAATTTCGGAGGAATTAAAATCAGTCATGAAATGTACAAACAATGCATTTATAAAAATATTAAATATCACTCAATATTTTCCGAATAATATCTATTTGATATCTGATAATAACTTTAAAGTTGGATGATTAAAGTATTGCTTAAGGTGAGATAAAAAATTTAGACTCAGAAATCTTTAAAATATTTATGACTTCTATCGATTCGCGAAAACTTAGACATTGAATTTATTCAATTCTAAGCATATTTTCAAATTTGAACAATCTAATAATTAAAGCCATAGAAAATTAAGTCAACGAAAGAAATTAATTTAATAACCATCATAGTTAACTCTAATTTCACCAATTATCACCAGTAGATTGCACTAATTTTACATCAAAAAGTCGATACAGAAAATTATTTTTGTTGGATTATTGGAATATTCAAACATCAATTGAAGCATCATCATAAAGCATCTTGATAATTGTATAAGTTTGTTGGGATCGAATTCGTGCCCAAGTGAATGGACTGAGATTGGCAATGATATGGGCTGCAGCTAAAGCAGCGTTATCTGCACCCAAAATGGTAGTACAGCCCACTCCTGATGGTAATCTCATAGAGGACCAAATATCGTTTGAAAGTGTTGCTGAATCTGAGATAGGTGGACAGTTAATTACTGGAACTGTTGTGTTTCCAGCTGATACAGGGCCTAATCCATTGCTTCTTCCAGCACAGGCTATAATAACTTGACAGGTAGGCCATTGCATTAGACTGGCTAAAACGGTTAAAGTTGCTTCAGTTGATTTGTGAGCTGAGCAAACATGAATTTCAACGTCATTGATTCCATATTTTTCAGATAAAGCCTTCTTTATTTTTTGTGCATGTTCCATGTCACTCATTGAACCTAAGATAATGCCTACTTCAGGTGGAGGAGGAGGTAAACCACGTTCACGAGGTTTAGGTATCATTGAGCCGAATAAAGCATGAGTTCGCTCAGCAACAAGTTCAAACTTTGATTTAACAGCTTGAATAGCTGCTTCGTCGATTGCTGAGTTATCTAAATTACGATATATTTGTTTATCCAACATTAACCGCTTATCACCATTAGGCCAAAGGCGCCAGGAATCATTATCGATTACGTCGCCAACAACAATCTTTTTTACACCTGATTCTTCAACAACACCAAACTCTATTTTCATATCAATCAATGAATGATTCAAAGTAGACCAAACCCTTTCAAGGACTTCGAAGACAGTTTGAGTAAGTCGATACATTTCCTCTACTTGGATCTTTCCTATTTTCAAACCTCCACAGGTTAAACCAGCTTCAATAAGTGTTTCAGTGGACCAGAAAGGATCGTGATTTTCGTCATCTATTTATGAATAAAAATAAAAAGAGGATGAATTATAATGAATTGACATGAGATGAAAAATTTATACCTTTGAAAAAAGTCTCTAGTTTTACGGGTGCGAATCGGTAACCTTCCTTGACATTAGGATGACGCTTTAGGTAAGATCCAGAGGCTACGCGCCTGAAATGAAAAATTAACTTCAATTATTTCAACTACATTCACAGCAGCGCTTTCAGCAAATATCACTAAAATTATATATTAGTGTTAATAGCTTCGGACATTGAGCTTTCTAAACTCATTTCAATTTCAAGTCGATTTGATGATGAAAGAACATTGCGATTCTTTTCAATTCAAAGACTTTCCAACTAATTATTTGATAGTAGAGTTAAAAATGAACATTACATGTATGCTTGTGCCCTTCAAAAGTTACTCTCTGGCGATACTGTCAACACAATTAAAGGATAAAGAGGGTAAAAAACACAACAAAACAGAATCAATTAATAAGTTATCACAGAAGGTTCGATTAGCAAATCGGAAGAAATTATCAATAATAATTTATTATTTCCACATATTCAGGTGAGGTATCAGATGATATCTCTAAGTATCTAATAGATGGTAAGACATCTCATGGGTTTTAATCGAAATAAGAGAATAACAGATAACTTGAAATGATGAGATGAGATGCTTTCCATATTGTCAACCAATTTAATCATTTCGATATCCTGATTTACTGGCTGATAAAATGATTGATAAAAAACACTCAAGAATAATAAAATCGAGGATAAATACTTATGATGTTTAACTGATACCATGATATTTATCTTCAGGCATCTTTGATATTCTTTCATTTCAATTAATATTCACTATCAGAGATTAATCTAAACTGATTATGGATTCGTCAAAAACTGGATTTGACCAATCTATCTATTTCAAACAAATGGTCAATTAAATAGCAATAGCTTTTTCAGCAACTCTTTCACACATACCACATGATTAACGCAAACAGTAGCGTAAAGCTTAAGTTAATTATCCACGAGGCAAGTAAACATTATTTATCATAGATAACAACAGCTGAGATATCATTCGTCTCTTTGATAGTCTCACACTGAGATAGAGTTTTTCATGGAAACACGGCTAAACGATAAAATAAAATCTCACCTGCAAACCCATTCTATTGGAATCATCTCACACTGTTTAGCAACAAATGACCGATCCCAATCTTTGCAATTTTGAGCAACTCTTGATACAAAATGAGTTGCAATTCCGGCAGCGTTTAAAAATTCATAGATAGCACAGTTTGTTTGGGTAGATAATCTGGCTTTGCCTTCCATCGCATGAGACTTAGCCCCATCCCCTAATAAGCAAAAAAAAACAAAAAAACAAAATCAATATTTAAGACAACATTGGAATGGCATTGAATATAACATAAAATAAGGCTTACCTGCTGTAATACGGTCTTTACTGTAAATGTAAACATATTTTTGTTCGCCTCGTAGAGTGAAAACTTTTTTGGTCTTTCCTTCAATAATTAATTTATCGATTTGATTTTGACTAATTTCTGTAATAAGAAATGAAAGAAATGAAAGAATATAGTAAATTAGATTGAAAAATATACAAGCCTAAAAACAAGAGGCTTGTGATAAAGAGCAGATTGTCACAGCTACATATCGTTTTGGCTACATATGGACATCGGCAGAAGATATTAATCAGAAATACATTAATAATAGACTTACCCATGATTCCAGTGATTAACACGTCTTAAATGTTCAATAATTAAGAATATTTAGCAACAGAAACAAAGTTTAACTACAACAAATAGAAGAAATGTTGATTAGCTTGTGAGGAAAGGTTCTGGTAATGATAAACAGTTGATTTAAGGGTACTTCTTGAAGATCTCCCTCATTCTCTTTCTCCCCCCGTTACTCTCCCAAGTTTATCTCATTATTTATCTTTCTAATTGTCTTTCTTTTCTCTTCTTGGCAATCGTTTTTTTACAGAGATAATTTTTATAGACAAATGATGATATTAATCGACAGCCCAGTAGATTGAGAGGGAGAATGACTACTTAGATTGCTCGATTAACATCTAAAGCACATCTTGTGGCATCTTTTCATCAGTAAAATCTAACACACTCAGTTTGAAATCAACATTAAATCATTACACTGAACAATACAAGTGTATCCAATTGATTCTTGTGCCAATAGTTTAATTTAAATCGATCAAAATGGAAGAGGAAATGTTAGGTGAGAAATGCGGCGTTTTTGGATGCATAACTAACGGAGACTGGCCAACTAATCTAGATTGTGCTCACATCATTTGCCTTGGACTTATTGGTCTTCAACACAGGTAATGAAACGTTTGAAACGAAATTTGATTCCAAAAGATTTCAAGTGTTTAATGTTCCCTAATTGTAATTGTCCTTTTCTTCAACGTTCATTTCAAAGAGGCCAAGAAGCTGCCGGAATAGTTACTTGTAAATATGCAACTGAACCCTTCTCAGTTCACCGTGGAATGGGTTTGGTAAGCCAAATATTCAATGAACCGATTATGTTGTCCCTTAAGGGTAACTTGGGGATTGGACATACACGATACTCGACCATGGGTGGTGCAGATAGTGTTTCATTAGCTCAACCTTTTGTGGTGCACACAAGTTATGGGACAATCGCTGTGGCTCATAATGGTGAACTTGTCAATTCAGCTCCATTGAGGCAAAAAATTCTGGAAAATGGTGAGTACCAAAAAAAACGAATATCATTGAAACCATCATCAGTTAAGGTAAATACAATCAATTGATTGTAACTCTATTTAAGTGTTGATTGTATCTCTTGATATTATTACGGACATTTTTATCACTCTTGAATCATAAGTTAATCCAATCTCTTGCAAAGTATGACAAGAAAAAGATGAAGATGAAGATTGAGATGCTGATGAAGAGGTTTCACTATCACCAATTTTTTTAATTGAATCGATGATAATCATGAAAAATTGTTAGTATATGATTTTTTTATGGCACTTTTTGATATCAGTCACACTTAAAATCCCAATAGATTGATGATCACTTTGATGATTGTATGGATAGGAAAAGTCCGTTTTGAAGGATTCATTTAATATTGAAATTGAAATGTTTATCAAATAGGAGTTGGATTATCCACTGGAAGTGACTCTGAACTAATCACACAATGCTTGAGTATGCCACCACCAGATCAGTTCAAAAAAGAGCCAGTCTCAATTGTTATAACGGATGAAGATGTTGGTTCAAATGGTGAACTGAATAACAAGGGGATCAATAATTTGAATAACGGGGTTAACGGAACTAAAAGGAAAGCTAAAAAGAAGAATTCGCTTCTTAATGATGTTGAGCGAAGTGAAGAGGAAATATTATCTCGATTAAAACATTTTGTTTCCTTAACTCCACTTTCATACTCATTGATTGTTATGTACAATGAATGTTTATACGCATTAAGAGATCCATTTGGTAATCGACCTTTATCCCTTGGTATGTTGGTACCTCCGACAGATCGTAATACTCGAGTATCTAAAGACATTCAAAGAGCTGAAGGTTAGTAACAGATAATAATAAAAAAAGTAAATAAAATTTTGCTAAAATATAATTTTAATAAGTTTAACAAAACGAGGAAAGATGTCGCCCTTTGCACCTCTTTCTTTTACCCTTTTCCTTTATGACATCTTGAACGATGACTTAAGCGGTATTTTGTAACTGTTTTATGATTGAGGTTAATCAATATGTTTTATTGGCTTTTCAAAAGGTTGGGTCGTTTCTAGTGAATCTTGTTCATTCCCTTCAATCTGTGCAACTCTATTTCGTGATGTTGAGCCTGGTGAAATAGTTAAATTGGAGCGTAATAAGGAACCCAAATCATTGTGTATAATTCCGCGTCCAGCCAATCATGATTACCCTGCCTTTTGTATCTTTGAATATGTTTACTTTGCCAAAGCGGATTCCATTATTGAAAGTCAGATGGTTTATTCAGTACGAGTGAGTTGTGGTCGTCAACTTGCGCGTGAAGCACCCATTGTCTATGATCCATCTAAGGAATACATCGTTTCTCCTGTTCCTGAATCGTCTAATCCAGCAGCTCTTGGCTTTGCACTTGAGGTAATATTTTTTTCCACTTTTCAATGATCATCTTTTAAGTATCATTAGATTGTTACCCAATTGTTGATTTCAATATTACCACAATGGAATCATTTGATGATTGAGAAAGTCAAAGTTTAATGATCGTAAAAGATGAACATTAAAAACAGTAAAGAAATCTTTTACTCAACCTGAATTAAACTGATCACTGTTTAATACTTCCTGTTAACCCGTTAATCATTTATTGATTATTTTATTAATTTTTTATTAATTTTTATTGTCTATCAACAATCAGTCTGGTGTTCCCTTTGTTGAAGTATTTTGTAAGAATCGTTATGTTGGACGAACATTTATTCAACCTTCAACTCGATTGCGACGTCTTGGAGTTGCTAAAAAATTTGGCCCACTCGTTGAAAATTTTAAAGGTAAGTCAGCTGACCATAATCTAATATTAACAATATTATAATGTTATTAATATAATAAAATTATTTCACAGGCAAATCAATTATCCTTATTGATGATTCGATTGTCCGAGGAACTACAATTGGTCAACTTGTTCGTCTTCTCAAAGATGCTGGAGCCGATGATGTTCACATTCGAATAGCTTCACCGCCACTTCATTATCCATGTTACATGGGAATCAACATTCCAACTGCAGAAGAGCTCATTGCCAACCATTTAAATGCTGAACAGCTTGCTAATTCATTGGGTAAGTCGATTGATGACGATGAAAACTAATGATAGATGATTGATAATTTGATTTTTTTATAGGAGCTGCTTCACTCAAATATCTATCTGTAGAAGGATTGAAGCTATCAGTTCAAAGGGGAATTCGGGAAAGGCAGCAGTCCACTAATGTAAATAAACCAATAGGACATTGTGTTGCCTGTTTAACAGGAGAGTATCCTGTAGCTTTGGATTTTTAAAGCTCATCAAAACGCGTTAATCATTACCACCTTCACTTCAACCATCATTCACATAATTATTATAAGAACTTCCAAAAGACCACATCTTAATACAAAATACAAGCATGAATCCGTTCAAATTCAGCCAGTCTTTCAATTGGTTCAATCTTTTATATCGAAGAGTTTACATCCACTTGTTGAACAAGTTTGGTTACAATTATTATTTCAATTATGACAATTCATCTCCATTTTTGACTGTTTTCCGGCCCATATTTTTAGTATATTAAATTAAATTCAGCTGGAAAGGATGGATTGCAGACATGAACTTTATTTTTAACAAAATTATGCAATTTTATTTTATTTTCCTTTTATTCCAATGCCTTAAATGCATAAAACCCACTCAATTAAAAATAAACAACAAATTTGTGATAATCTATCTTAAAAAACATTATTTTACATTATTTCACTTGAAAACAACTAAATTCACATTGAAGTAAATTCATATTGTAATGCAAAAATGACCAGAAAATTACATCTTTGACTGTATTGGTTAATTTATTACGGAACAACAATTTAAAAATAAAATTCTGGCCAAATGGCTATCTTTTATTCACTATTAGTAACAATATATTTTTCCTTCCTAACATGAATTTTTTCAATGTAAATCTAATTTGATAAAATTATATGAATGAGTATTTACATGTTTTCAATTATTCTTCTTTCCAATGAAACCATAAGCGGTATTTTCGGTATAATTGCTGTGCTCAGTTTAACATCGCTAGATTTCAATGGTTTATCAGAGGTTAGTTTAAAGTTGATTATAATATGAGCAATAGTCAATTTCATAATGATTAAGCCTAATTTTTTACCAACACAATGTCTTAATCCAAACCCAAAGGGTAGGTAAGATGTTAGAGGCAATGAAGTTGATGAATTGGACCAACGATCTGGAAAAAACGATTCTGGTTCAGGAAATATTTCGGGATCCCGATGAAGAAAGTAAAGGCAAAGTGTGATATCCATTCCAGGAGGAATCAACTGTCCATCAATTGTAATCTCACTGTCGAGTTGTCTCTGGACAAATGGGACTGGCGGGTAAAGACGAAGAGCTTCCTTAACAACTCCATCTAAGTAAGCAAGTTTCATGATATCTTGACTTCTGGGTAAACCAGTTTCGTGATCTCGATCCAGTTCATTCAATTGTTGATAGAGTTGTTCTTGATACGATTGATGTAAACCTTTCAAGATAATCGATTGAAAACACTATCATTAGTTGATGATTGCAATAACAACAACAACAGCATAAACAACAAAAACAAACATTGAAAATGTCGGCTCACATGAATCATGTGAAATGATTACTATTCAATTTGAAATTAACATTTTTGCCAACTTAACGAGTCAACAGTAACAATTACATTTTGGTGGATAAATCACATTTTACATTATCTTTAACCAATTAGCAATCAATTTCTTAATCGATGAGCAACTAGATTTATCAATAAATATGTTTACATTTTCGAGGTTTCATTTAGAGCAATAAAAATATCTAATCAGATTATTGTTCATGACAAATATTTGCCTGCAATTCATTAGCAGAAACCCAATGAATCTTAAAACTAAACCAACTTAAACCCGTTGAAAACGGACTAATCTCTGTATAATAAGATACAAAACAATTGAATTGGCTTACCAAGCAAATACAATGTAAATGTTATCGCATTTGGTGTTGTATCAAAAGTGCCCATGATAAGCCCATCCAACTCTTGGCGTATTTGTTGAACATTAACAGTAGTCGATCCTGATCTTTTCGCCTCTTCCCAGTAACTTTGAACAATCAAATCGACAATTGGTTTACCTTTGACCCGATTAACTTCCCCCAACCTCATTGACTTCAAAGCAGATTCAACCAACGACTGACTAAACTGGTGAACCCTTGAAAGAGCGGCCCGATGTTTCCAACCTGAAGGTGTCAATGAATAAATAAACTCAGACCAGTAAAGGGGAAACCAGAGACGCTGTTCTCGAGATTGTTGAATTATCTCTAAATCATCAAAATACTGAGCTCCCTGTTGATTGAGGAAATCAATGAATTGACCAGAAATAATTTCAACAATAAAACCCAAGCCAAGTAAATGAATCCAATGGGAAAGGTTTATTTGTTGTCCAATATTTTCATTTGAGTTTAACTTTGAAATGAATGCAACTGTTTGCCTTTCAATGATTTTAGTGTAAACGGGTAAACAGTCCATGTTAAAGGCCAAGTTGATTGTCCGTCTCTTCGAGTACCAAGCTGAGCCCGATGAAGTGGTCACTGAATCTCCAATCCAAGGCTTAAGCAAATATATTTGTCCACCTCTTTCAACTAAACCATTTTTGGCTGCAATCATCTGATTTGTTGAGCATCAAAAACAAATGGTTAACATTTTGTTTACTAACAACCTCCAGAGTTGTTGACTTGAATTGTTATTAATCTAATCAACAATCTTATAGTTGATTGTTTAATGATCATTGACTCTTCAAATCAGTATTGATCAAATGACGGAAAGAGCATTTATCTTTACACATTTCGCGTGGCAATAAATTATCAATGAAATACAATTTAAATCATGGAAATGAATGTTCACTTTTCAATTAAAAGTGACGTTTGAATATTGTATTTCCTTTTCAAAGCTCATGTCAAAAAATTCAAAAGTGCAATTAAGATATCATTTGATGAACACTAATTAAGATTAATCAACCTTGTTAATGGTCAGTTAATTTGCCTTTTGGGTTAACTCATTAAGGCATTTTGGTTAAACACCTTTCAAGGATAATTAAGGATAATATTTGATTGAAACAAACACCTTTTTTAACCATTCAACTCAAATTATGATTACAGTCAATTCATATTGAAACGACTTAAATTATTAACAACAATGATTGAACCATTGTCAAACTACTGATCACTGATCTTATATTAGATCTGATCACTATTGATCAACTTATTTGTTTATCCATTGAGATAGCAAGTTATTATAAATCCAATGCTAACCTTTTAATTGTTTTAATTCACTTAGACGATGGTTTCATTGTGAATTTAGGTCTTCTCAGTATTGAAGTAATCAGCTGATAAAATGATTGTTTCATCAAAATTTTTAGGTTGATCTTATTAAGCCACTCACCTTTACTATTGAATGATTGCAAATTATTAAGAATGGTTTCCACATTAATTTGATTAAAATGAATCCAGTTTTGCGATATTTATCAAATAACCTTTCACACTCGTCCATGATAGCTGTGAAAATTGGACACAAAATGTATAAATATTTTTGCTAAACGTTATTGTTACCCATTTAACCCAAACAGGAGATAAAACGCTGGTCAACTCATGAAATAAAAACACCAAATCATTAACCTCTTTGAGTTTCTGTATGAACTTGATCCATGAAAATAATTATCAGGAGAATCGATTCATTGGTATTTTATGCTTTGATGAACCCTCCATGAGGGAAGAGTGAATTATGGTTAAAATGGGAAATTATACGAAAGAGTGATATGATAATCATAATTAAAGGTTTACATCTAAATGTACTTTAAATGTAGATGAGCGTTTCTGCTCGTCTTAATGCTTATTACATGAGCTATTTGCTTATACGAGGATGAAGCTTATTGAAGCAAAAGTCTAATCTAAATCTAATCTTTTCCTACTGCGATCATGTTTCTGGTGCTTTTACCTGGGTTGAATGGATAACTTTGCCATTTTAAATGCTCAATCAATTTGATTATTAAATTGTATCTTCTTCTTACCTTTTTCAGGAAGATTGGTTAATGTGGTTAAAGTAATTCCAAACCTGTTAATATGACCAGTTAATGGATTACTTGGTTCCTGAGGTAATTTTGATAATTGACTTTGAAATTGAACAAAAGAGATGAGCCTTTGAATTAGATTAGCAACAATCAATAAAATGGTGGAAAACAAAAGCCAATAAACTAAATTAGTTGATCCAATTTGATTTAAACTTGCTCGGTTGATGGTCAATGTTGATGCAAAATTTTGATCCATAATTTTTTTGGTCAAATTACCACTAGTTTCAATGTAACTCATTCTGACAGACAAACACTTGCTTATTCACAATTACAATAACAACTGAAATTAAATTAAATGTTATTTCAAATAAAAATGTGAATCAAAAAGGGAAAAGTGAAACGATTGTAATTAATCATTTGATTTATTGTTAATGAGTCAGATTTTTGAACCTAAATCATTAGTTTAAAGCCAGGTAAAACTCACTAACCGGTTTTCAGTTGTAAACATCATTTGCCTTCAATTAAAACATTATCCTTGATATCGAGGCTATTTCACTCTCGATTTGTACCTCAATTAGTACCTGAGATGACAATGAATTTTAATTATTTGTCATTCAATTGAAACTTTAGACTGAAAATAGAAACAAATTCCACAGGGTTTTCCAGCAGATTATTGTCTTTTTAGTTTTTTCTGGTAATCATTCATTTCTGACTTCTAGGATTTTTGTGAAACAAGTCATGAATAACATTATACATATATTAGCAAAGTATCATTATCGAAAGCAATCAGCCGTTTAGTTTATTCATGTTCATGATTCACAGACTAAATGAGTAGACTTATACATAGTAAATTGAGAAAACTAAATTAAAATTGAAACACTTAGGCCTATGGGAAAAAATGAGCAACCCATTTTGTAAACCATTGAAAGCATAAACTACAGACAACTTGAGTCGATTTGTCTTTTGTTATTAGATGAAGAATGCCTAAATTGATGCATCTTGATGACATTTTGAATCCTTTAGATATTAGAATCAAAATTTTGAGACCTTTTCCACCAAAATGGGTTCAAAAACTGAGAAAAACAAACAATAAGCACAAATTGAAGTTGGCGATAAAAGTGATGCTTGGCATTCATGGATTATCGTGTTTCACTTTCTAGTTTTTTAAATCACTCCCAAGACTCGGAGTTTTCAATCAATCCGACTGAATATAAACTCAGGTAAAACCAATGATGAAGTCAACATTAAAATGGAAATAAAAATAACCAAAAATAGCCAGAATTGGGATTCATTTATTATTTTTTGATAATATGGATCCGCGGAGTATTCGAGTCATAGCGAGTCTCTGATATCTGGTTCAAGATTAAATCTTATTTTGATTTGTTGAACATTTCCATTGTTTTTTCGCCATGTAACAAAATGTGGATCCAGTGATATTTTTGTTCTTCTGATTCCAATCCTGTTTCATTGCTTCCAGATTATATCTATATATTTACATGTTAGATATGGAAAAGTGTTCAAGCAAACTCAGAAGGATTCCTTTTTGGTCTCAAATAAATCAACTCATCGTTTCTTTTACATCTCTTTACAGCTCACAGAATCAACAAAAGTGGCACATTCCTAGACACTGTAGCAACTTACTGCAACATCTCATTGTATCTTTCAGTTGACTGTTCAGTTTTACATCAATCGCAACCACCTTTTACAATTGACCCTCATTAATGAGTCCAGCGGATAGTTATCCAGTTAACAAAGAGTTGACAAAGACAAAGAGTAATCCTTGATGACCATCGTAGTTTACAATAACCCTTACTATGTATTTTGCATAAACAATCAACCTTTACCTTAAAAGTGTAAATGTAAATTCATTTTACCAACAACTTAGTGAGACACTATCATTGTATACAAATACATAGGAATCCACAGTTTCAACTAATTAACCCAAAAAATTGTAAGTTTTTCAAATTGTCTTCAACTTCTAGCCCTTCTCATCCAAATATATTAACAATTGTCTTATTTTTGTCTCCCAACAGATACTACTGAACAACCATGACCACCTCAAAAGTGACGCATTCAAACAATGAAAATCTGGTCAACAGATCATCAACGGAATCTAATACAATCAATGACAACAATAACAAGTCAAATGGTTCGGATAAGATTAGCATGCATATTTATTGGCATTACGTTGCCGGTTATGCTTTGCTTCATGTTGGTGCTTTTTATGGCGTCTGGTTAAGTTTAACTGAAGCAACCTGGACAACATTAATTTTCACATGTAAGCTCATCTTTTCAAATTTATTATTAAAATGGTTTTCTTTCAGTTGTATTATATTTTTCACTTTTCAATTTTTTGACACCAAAATTGTTATGAGTTTACTCTGTTTCGACCTGTAACCTTTTCCCAGATAGTCAAACCTATTTTTAGTATTACAATTTTTATACTCTTCCTTTTGTTTCCATCTTTTCCCATTACCTTTTGATGTAAATTTTCATTATAAATTTCAATTCTTGAACAGAATTCCTATCCTGCGTCATTACTCATCATTCTTTTGTTTATTTCCCTTCTGATTTACATTGCTATTCACTGTTACTTTCATTTTCACCCTGCAAAACACTCGTCCTTAATTATTTATAAATTAACAGTCTTAAAATAATGAAATTCAAAGAGTATTCATTGGTCGATGTTTTAATCAAACAAGCTAATATAATGCTCTTTTTTAATTGTCTTTGTTAAGAAATTTAATGACACAGAAATTGTAATTAAAGTCATGATCAATCAAGAGTTTAATCTAATAACATTACACAATATCAATATAACATAATAGATTGATTTGGTAAAGTTGAAACATGAAAAGATGAAATGTTGATCCTAATCTTTGGTAAGTTTAGGAATGACAAGGAAATGCGATGCTGAAAGAAATGAATATGCTTGTTTTTTCCCATGATATTGACTTAATCTTGGATTCTTCAATGTTTCCAACCCACTATTAGATAATATTGATTTATGTTGAACACATTTCATTGTAACTTGAGATTGAAAAGAAACGCAAATACCATTTTAACCAAAGATGAACCACAAGAAAAGTAGCGATAAATTGGATGATCCTTTGTTTCCCTATTTTTTATCCACTCTCTGAAATTGGTTGAAAGCAAAATAATTGAGATGAACAGCTTTAAATTAAGTTAAGGAAGTCTGAATTATAATAAAAAGCTTCAGCTGTACCATTAGAAAGGAGATGAGAATTGATTAGCTGAATATGAAGCAACTTAACCCAAAACCAAACCATTAACTTGAAGGTTAATCGTTAATCCACCAGCGATTAACTCCATTAGATTGATTGGATGGATTCAAGTTTCCAATTGATTAATGAACTGTCTATTGAAATTTGTCAAGCAAAATGTTGACATTGAACAAACAGCTTTTGATTTACACTTGATGTATCCAGTAAAATGGTGATCATTTGATTGTCACAGTTTTGTTCACGAATGAGATCACATTTTTAGCTGCCATTGAACAAGACACAATTGAAGTAAACATTTCTTTATATTATTGTCAATTTTGATGATTTATCCGATAAATCTGATTACAGGGTTACGTTTAAATTCAGTTTCTCTCCTTTTTTTCAGGCAAACATTGAACCAATTCCCAATTGATTTACCCAATTTGTTGCTATTATTAGTATATTAGCCTATTATTATTGTCGTTCGTCTCATCATCTCATTGCTACCATTGTATTATAATAACATTATCATAGTAAAATAAATATATATATTAAAACCTCAAACCAATTCAATGGTAATCAGTTCATCAATAATGCAAAAGCAAACATGATCATTGTTTGAATCAAATCAATCGATTGCTAAAAGAGTAAATTGTTATTGAAGTTGTTAAAGCAAACAGAGTCAACACATAAGCATATTAAACCTTTACCATCATAACATCATTACAATCATTTTGTCTTCAATAATGTAGATACAAATGATGGTCAGTATTGATGGACAATTAGCCTTTTTAATTTCATTTCAATTTTCAAGTTTAATAATGATCAGTTGAGTAATTAGTGTAAGTTAATAGTTCAAGTTACTGTTTGTCTGATTGGGAGTTTTGAGATTGATATTCACTCCCAGACGAAAGACTTAATAATAGATTTTTTTTGTGAAAAAACTAGTTTATTTGGTTCCATTTGTGACTATTTTGCTCATCTTTTTCATTTCTTCTTTCCTTTCTCATCTTCTTCCGATTCAAGGATCGATATCCTGAGGTTGAATTTCTTGCTTTTCTCATGAAACCTTTTCTTTTCCTCTCAAATGTAACCAGAAAATTTATTGCTTTCAATCAACAGTCAAAATGAAAGTAAAATTGATTACCAGATTAATCAATTGCTTATTCAGATCACGAGCAAACAGATTATCATTAAGGTATAACTTCATCAACTTGCAGTACAGAAAAAATATCTCAGATAATTTCTTGAGTCTCATTTTTTCACCAATAAATGTTGATCCATGTAAAGCTTACAATCATTTTCACCATTAACATTAATTTAAATTAACTTTCTATTTGCAGTTATTTTTTACATTGTAACTGGTTTCGGTGCAACTGCTGGAGTCCATCGTCTTTGGTCTCATCGAGCCTACAAAGCAAAGTTACCTTTAAGGATTTTACTGGCCTATTTTAATTGCACCCTTTACATCGTAAGTCCAAATTACCTTTAAGATGACCAACTAATCTGTTCACCTTTGTGATCCCAATTAGTTGTCTCATCATTTTGACATTGTCAAGCCTTTTGTTTTAATGAACATTGTTATTATTCGTGTCAACCATCATGTCTCAAGGTTGAACAATAATCAATATCAGGGTGAACTTAAGATCATCTCATTATCAATGTTAACCATGTTTAATCAATGATTACGACTCTTAAGATGATCAGCGACATTTTCATCCATTTTATATGAAAATTGGCGCAAGCAAGCTAAAAATAGCATCTAAATAATATTTATCCCAACATTTTGCTTCAACGAATCTTCACACTGAACCTTTCCCTATCATGATGAGCTTTTGTTATTCCTGTAATGTTGATGAAGTTATCTAAATGCAACTTGCAATTAAATTAAATCAAGAGGAAACAACAACAAAAACAGCAAAAAAACTTTTCACATCAACATTGATCAAAATGAAAGAGGAAACATTAAAAGCAATCCATCAAGCAACCCTCAAATTGTCCCAATCAATATTGTAAACTTAATCAGTGATAACACAGCCTTCCCAGTTCAGTCTTTTTTACCTTATTAGCTGAACCTCCAAAAAAGATGCTCAGAATTTTCCAGATATTATCTTTTAAAGTAAAAAAATGTTTTAATGTTTCAAAATAGCTGTTGAAATAACATAAAAAAAAGGTTTTCATCAACAAGACATTTTGAAAAAAGTACCTAATTTTGGATTCTGGGAATCGTTAACAGCAACAATAACGTATAAAAAAAAGAGGATGATGCTGATGATGTGATGATGATGGTGAAGAAAGGGTATAAAATAATAGCATCAATTTCTGCCTGAAAGTTACCAGACCATGATTTTATATTCTGTTATTTCCTTACTTCTTTTTTTTCGATGAAATATTTCCCTTCTATTTGACTCAATGCTATTTTTTGGTCTCAATTTATTCCATTCAAATGTATAACAATAAAATACAAACCACTATCATCATTATCTTCATCATCATCATCATTTCCCTCATCATTTTCATCATACTTTTCATCATCTTATGGCTTGTTGACGTAAAAATTTGGCTTCAAGATAAATCAATGAACATTACTTTTTGGCTCTTTTATCCTTTTCCTTCCCTGTCTTGCAAATTCATTTATTTATCTTGTGTTAGCATATATTGTCATTGCTTCAGGCCATCGATTATAATAAGGATAACAGAATAAACAAATTAACTAATCTCTGGTTTTTTGGGTTTTGATTGTTGGGTTACACCAAAAAACCATTTTGAGTAAACGTTTGCACTTGAATTTTGCTTAGCCAACAAATTGAATTGAATGAAAAACTTGATTTGTATTGATTGTTGTTTTTGTAATCTTGAATCAATCAGATAATCATTTTGTTAAATATTGTTCAATATTTACTCCGATTTTTTTATATCAGATTAAATGAGTTTAAAGAGGTTATACAAAAATGAAAGGTAAAATGAATAGGATTTAAAACGATGAAACCTTAAAATGTTTAACTTATTATACTCTTGTTTCATTGCATCAGTAACTTGTGTTTAATACCTGAAATGTAATCATTTATAAACATTTTCATTGATTTATCATCAAAAGGTGCATTTTAATACAATTGTTTATCCTGTCTTAATCAACTCCACCTCATGTTGACAACGACAACATTTCAGATTATTTGTTGTTATTTTGACTAACCGTTATTAATCACGCAATTTATCAAATCAAAAAAAAAACAAATTCTCTCTCATGCAATGATACAATCAATATAATAATAAGACATTAAAGTTACAATAGTGACCACACCTTGGATAACACGTAATCACGGATTCAAAAGATCACCTGTATAGACATTAAGCTGTCCAGATTTAAATTCATTTAAATATTGATTCAAACGCAATTATCATTAATCCAAATTATCGTTCAATCCATTTATCATAAAATTTACAATTTTCATTTTATATTTTCTTTTTGTGCCAATTCTTGTGCAAAAACTGAATATTGAGCTTTTTCTTGAAATAAACTGAGAAATTTATTATGAACAAAAATCATGACAATCAATCTTAGTTGAATGGTTTGGAAGCATTCTAGCATTTGTTCAAATATCGCACATTGAGTAAGGTTATTTTGTTATAAAGGAAAGGAATTCATTTGATATTTGGTGAAAATTCATTCTAATGCGTAGTTACTTTATTCATTACCATGCAAGAGTTGCTGAGGCGATTAAGTCTGAGCTTGTTTACACATCAAATTCAAATTTAAATGTTCAATAGAATCTGAGATTCTTGCCTGAAGTCAGTCTAAAGTCTCGCCTTGAAATCTCGAAAAGTGACGAATTAAAAACAATGTCGAATATTTCTGTCTATTCCTTTCAAAGCATGAACTTGGTCAAACCAAAAGAGCTTTAATTTGTATTGACCAAGCAGGTAAACAAAAAGGTGTAACATTGTAACTTGTAAATATCGATTTCTATCTTCTGTTGTTTATCATGTCTATCAATATTTTCACCAATGTTTCATTTTGAACAATTTTTATCTCCAATTGATATTGTATTAAAGTTAGGAAGGAAGCATTATTATGGAATGTTTGTAACTAATTTAATTTTTTTGATTACTTTCAGGGTCCAATTTATGAATGGTGTAGAGATCATCGAGTTCATCATAAATATACTGAAACTAATGCTGATCCTTACAATGCTAAAAGGGGCTTCTTTTTTTCCCATATTGGCTGGTTAATGTGTAAAAAGCATCCTGATGTACTTGCTGCTGGCAAAAAGATTGACATGTCCGACATTGAATCTGATCCGGTTTGCCGATTCCAGAGAAAATATTATATGCCTCTAACAATTTTATCATGTTTCATTATTCCAACTTTGATACCAAGAATTTGGGGTGAATCTTATTGGGTTGCATTCTGGGTTCCTGGAATCCTCAGATTTGTCCTACAGCTTCATGCTGGATTCCTTGTAAATAGGTAAGTTTATCAACAATCAACATTTTCCAGGTTGAAAACAGTTCCAACATTAGATGAAATTGTTCAGATTTCAGTTCAATTTTACTTCATTAATAGTAGTTCTGCGTACGTTTTGTGTTGTTCATTATTTTCATCAATAATTAAATGCTCAGTTAGTTGATTAATTTAGTTTTTTTGTTTCAAAAGAATGGGAAAAACAACCTTTTATACGTTGTTCAATATAAGAGAGGAAATAATTACAATTAAACCTTTATTTGTCGAGTATTTATCTATTAATGAAACAATTGATAATTTAATGAGAAATTTTGTCAACTTGCAAGTTAATTTTGTTTTTATTTAATTCCAACCCTTTGTGAGTTAATCAAAAATATGTAAGGACAAATTGTTGCATCAATTAATTTGTAATGAAAGTCACTATTTGTGATAACCTTCAAAGTGAACATTTTTTCCCTTTTTCTTCACATTTCAATTCAGTTGCATGATTCAAATGGGATTCATTGTATTCTCAGTCTTGTCTTGAACAATTGAAGGGCGTTTTCCTTCTCGAAATGAATCCACGAATCGATTAATAGTTGCTTTCACCAATTTTCTGACTCAATCTGAATGTCTTCCTTGAAACGGATAAAATTTGAACAAAATGTATTATCATTAAATAGGTTCATCATAATTATTGGTACATATTTTGAAAGTCACCAGTCGTTCAAAAAAGCTCAGGAATTGTCCACACCCTTTAATAGCCCTTCAACCATTATTTTTTCAACCTTATAAGGTTGATTACTTGTTACTAAGCTGATTCAAAATGATAAATTATTTACTATCCACTAGTCCAATTTATAATCTACCCAAGTCACTTCAAGTAAAAAGCTTCATCAAAAGTAATGTCTCCTGAATTATTAATAGTCTCTCCGTTTAAAATTTAATATAATTGAATACATTTGAGCTCAGATTTTTCCCCATGAAATATTCAATAAGATTAGTTTAATTTTAATTAATTGCTATTTTACCAGGTTTACAAAGCTAAATTAGGTAACGAGCCCTTTGCTGATTCCCCGCTTTTTTTCCTAACTGCTGTTTTCATTATCTTATGACTTCGCATTTTGTTGCAATTATTTTAGTTAATAGTTTTAATCTTTGGTGACCAAATTTACTAATTATTTAACTAATTAATCATTTATTTTTCATTGTTTCTAGTATTGCCCATATGTATGGACGTCGACCTTATGATAAAGGTATATTTGCTGCTGAAAATCATTTAGTTTCTTGGTATGCTGGTGGTGAAGGTTTCCACAATTATCATCATACCTTTCCATGGGATTATGGTGCCAGTGAATTAGGATGGCGATGGAATCCAGCGAAAACGTTTATCGATCTAATGTCTTCAATTGGAATGGCCTATGATTTGAGACAAGCAAGCCCTGATATAATCAAATCAAGAAAGGAGAGGACAGGTGACTGTAAAGATCATGGCCCTTATGGATATTATTGAATGATGGTTGACACAAATGCTTTGATCAGTTAACAATGGGCGATTGGGATTATCGATTGTATACTAAGAAAAGATAAATACTAATTAAATAACATTGTAAGTATTTGAATAACTTATCTTAAGCAATAAGGTACAAATGCACTACGACAGTGATGAAAAGCTAACCGTGGACGTCTTTTGGTTTGGACAAATTGGAATTATTATCACATTTAATACATTGAAAGACTTTACCGGATCAAGCCATAATATGAAAGTTTGACTTACCAATGGACACGATTAATTAGTTATAGTCATCATTATGTCTCACAATTGCACTTAATAACATCATATTGTGATTTCTTCATTCTTTATGAAGTTAAAATATATAAACTAGCAAATTTGAATCAAGCTGATTTTTGTCTCCTTGATCCTTATATTGTCATTATAATTATTACAGTTGAAATGTTATTATCAGGATTATTTGTTTACATTTAACTTGATTAATTTAAGATTTGAATCGTTTCATTAATTACTGATTAAATCAGCTTTCAGATTCATCTCATTCAAATTGAGTTAATTGTACTTGATAATTTTGTAACAATTAACAATCAACATTATCTTCTTTACTATCTTCTATAGCCAATACAACCATCATCTTACCAGGTGAAGGTTTTTTATTCTCAATCTGATAATCACATCTTGAATTGCCACTGAAATGGTTCGTTTCATTGGAAATAATTTAACTGTGAACTGAAATTGCAATCTAATGTGATCTAAATTAATGTTGATTGTTGATGAGCATATATTCATAAACGTTCAACTCACAACTGCAATATATATTAATTTTAACTTGATAACAAAAAGACAATCCTTCAATAACCAATCCAATAAACACTTTGGACCCAAACATGATCATCTTGTTAAAAGCTGCATCAATAAATTGCAATATTTTGCAGTTTTTCAATTGTTATTTATAATTACAATAAATTTAATTAAATTACTTGCTAATCTCTCATTTTCATTCAAAAATGTATATTTCATAATTTAATAATTTGTTTAAAAGATTAACCCGTTTCGAGCTGAAGTACATTATCAATTGACTTTAGATTCCCATAAATTTTCATTGTATTTTCCTCTTCAGAGAAAAGTTATATTGTTTCAATTCACAATAATATTTAAGATTATTGGAAAAATTAAAAATAAACCAAATTATTCAAAGGATTCTGTACAAAAGTCCCTTCTGTTAAGTAGAGGATTAGAAGTGCGAAAATCTTAATCATTCAATTTAATCGGATACCTAATAATCTTTATCATTCCTTGAAACAATATTTCAATACACCAAAGAGGACATTCCATGAGTTGTTCACTGATATTGCGATCAGTTCAAGATCCATGAAATGAAAAATAATAATAGCCAACATTCATAATTGTTATGAATTGAATTTTAAAGCAAAGTATCGGAAAATGACCTGATTCAGGTCTAATTGGTTTGGAGTATAAAATTATGAAACTGCGAGTTTAAGCTAAAAATAATTTCCTTGTTTTGGGGTAAAAATAGAGAAAGTTAATAGCTGTAAATAGAATGGATTTGTTTATGTACCAAATGTAATTGAAAATTCAAGTAATTTACCATTTATTGAATTCAGTGACATTTGCATATTAAGTAATGTTTATGATTGCGTGTTTACCATTTTGTGCTGCATTAACATTACAGTTATTTAATTTATGTTCAATAACAGCATTTATTGTTTATTAGATTACTTTTTTTACCTTTCCAATCTTGCATTTGAAACTCATGAGGTTAGTAAAATTTATGGATCGTCAGACATGATGAATGTAAACACCTTTATGTTAACATGGCATTGTAGCAAATGCCAAGTTTGTTGTGAAATGAGGTAAGGATTTGTGTTAAATTGTTCACTAAATTACGGAGTTTAATGAAAAAGTTTTATAAATAAGTCATTAAACAATATCGTTCATCAGATTGTCAGATATTTAAATTGTAAAAATTTCCGATTTAGAGTTGGAATAGAAAGACAAAATCAGGCACAATGTCCAAATTCATCGACACTGAATAAGTTGACTTTGCAACCACAATTTTATGAACACTGGAAGAGTTTTTTTGAAAGCCTATGTGAACGAGAACTACCGAGATTACAAAAATCAAGAGAACTAGTGATTAATTACAGAAAGTATTTAGTCCATGATATCCAACAACAATTTTCATGGACTGTTAATAAGTTTCAGCTATATAACTCTTACGGTCACAGAAAGAGTTCGGTTTATGTGAAAATTGAATTTGATCTGTTTTACAGACACGGGAAATCTTATTTGGCAAAATAAGACCATTTTGTGGTACATTATCAAAAGATACACCAGCAAAAATAAGTTTCTGGTAAAAATTCACTTCCATTGCGGAACAAAAGGCTTTCGAAGTTTCAACTTTGGCTTCGATTTCCTCGCAAATTTGCCATCGGATGAGTTATTCAGTAGCACCAGTGGACTGGTTTTTCATTTCCCTACATTGTTACCAAATCTCAACTCTTTGCTCAAATGTTCGAGCCTTTTGCAATGCTTTTTGCGTTCCGTTTTCAACTTTAACCAGAAAATTGGTTTATTTAGCTAGAAATGCATTGAGATGAGTTTCTTTTGTTGAATAAGTTGTTGCTTGTACAATTAAATCCCGAAAATCAAGACCCGAATGCACTGTGGGAAATTTTTCATATTGAATGTTGCTGTGTTAATTTGATCTTTAAAGCCTAATTTTACTAGTATTTTGTATTGATTGAATAAATAGTGTTTAAAGTAAGCAAGACAGACACAATTGTCACTTTTATGCACAAGTAGTTATTTTATTAGGTGAAAACAGAGTAAGAACTAATTTCTCCAGAATTCAAACTCTATCGATTTGTAGGGACATAGAAACTGCACATATCTGTGCGATTTAAAAATCTCTCTGATCTATAGTTTTCGAGAAAATCAAGTTCGAAGTTAAAACTTTGACCGCTTTTTGTGCATTTATGGAAGTAGATTTTTTCACAAAACTCATTTTCCTGGTGTAACTTTTGGTGATTAACAATAAATTGTACTTATTTCGGGGAATAAAATTTTCTGTTCAAAATAAAATAGATCACTTCGATTTTTACACAAACCGATTCATTTCTGTGACCATAAAAGTAAGAAAACTGAAACTTAGTATCGGTTCATAAAAACTATTAACACACATCATGGAATGAAAATTTTTTAAAATCTACAAACAGTTCTCTCGCTTTCGACCATTGGACGAAAAACTTTGAGCCTCGATATTTCGAGAACAAAACCTGCAACAATCACCATTCTTTGACTGAACATTGGATTTCATTATGAGCTATGATATAATATGACTTAATACTGAATGAAATCTGAACGAATTCGTTTATTAATGAAATCATTACAATGCTAAGATTTTGGTTTGCATAAACATCTAACAAGACACAATTGTCACTTTTATGCACAAACCATTATTTTATTAGGTGCAAACAGGATAAGAATTGATTTCTTTCAAGTTGGAACTCTATCCGTTTGAAGAAACATAAAAACTACGTTCATTTGTGCAATTAAAAAGTTTTTCTGATTCACAGATTTTTAGAAAACCGAGTTCGAAGCTGCAACTTTGATCGCTCTTTGTACGTTTATGGAAAAAGATTTTTTCATAAAACTCAATTTTCCTAGTGTAACTTTTAATGAGCCATCATGAAATATACTTATTTCGGGAAATAAAATTTTCTGTTCAAAATAAAATAGATAAGTTCGATTTTAACACAAACCGACCTCTTTGTCTGACAGTAAGAGTTAAAGGTCCTAAACTTATTACCAGTCCATAAAAATTGATAGCTCACATCATGAATCGGATATTTTTTTCAATTAGTCAACAGTTCTCCTTATTTTGGCCATTGGGCCATCAACTTCGAGCCTCAATATTTCGAGTATGGTAGCACCTACAGTCATTATTCTTTCACCAATTTGATTCTTTACTAATTAAAAATTCAATTCAATATAAAAAATTTCAATTAGTGCATTTGGGTCTTGATTTTCGGGGTTTAATTGTACAAGCAACAACTTATTCAACAAAAGAAACTCATCTCAATGCATTTCTAGCTAAATAAACCAATTTTCTGGTTAAAGTTGCAAACGGAACGCAAAAAGCATTGCAAAAGGCTCGAGCATTTGAGCAAAGAGTTGAGATTTGGTAACAATGTAGGGAAATGAAAAACCAGTCCACTGGTGCTACTGAATAACTCATCCGATGGCAAATTTGCGAGGAAATCGAAGCCAAAGTTGAAACTTCGAAAGCCTTTTGTTCCGCAATGGAAGTGAATTTTTACCAGAAACTAATTTTGCTGGTGTATCTTTTGATAATGAACCACAAAATGGTCTTATTTTGCCAAATAAGATTTCCCGTGTCTGTAAAACAGATCAAATGCAATTTCTACTTAAACTGGCCTCTTTCTACAACCGTAAAAGTTAGAGAGTCGAAACTCATTACCAGTGCATGAAACTTAATGATAAAAATGATGGATTAAATACTTTTTTCGACTTATCAACAGTTCTGTTGATTTTGGCCATTGACCTAAAAAGCTTTAAGCGTCAATATTTAGGGAATGGTATCATCTGCAACCAGCGATCTTGAGCAAATATTAGATTTCGTTATGGGCTATAATATATTGACCTATCAAAGCATTCAAGATCCTACAAACAAAGTTAAAGCCTTGTATTGCTTATGTTGTCATATTTGAAACTTGATATATAAAGTTTAACTCAAATCTTTTACGTTAGAAGGATCTTCAATATTGAATGAATGATCTCAGATTTTATTCGGTATCCAGCCATATACTGTTAATGCCCATAAAAATATCTAATGTTTGGCCAAAAATGATGATTGCAGTTGATACCATTCTCGTAATATTGGGGCTGAAAGTTTTAAGGCCAATGGCCAAAATCAAGAGAACTAGTGATTAATTACAGAAAGTATTTAGTCCATGATATCCACCAACAATTTTCATGGACTGTTAATAAGTTTCAGCTATATAACTCTTACGGTCACAGAAAGAGTTCGGTTTATGTGAAAATTGAATTTGATCTGTTTTACAGACACGGGAAATTTTATTTGGCAAAATAAGACCATTTTGTGGTTCATTATCAAAAGATACACCAGCAAAATTAGTTTCTGGTAAAAATTCACTTCCATTGCGGAACAAAAGGCTTTCGAAGTTTCAACTTTGGCTTCGATTTCCTCGCAAATTTGCCATCGGATGAGTTATTCAGTAGCACCAGTGGACTGGTTTTTCATTTCCCTACATTGTTACCAAATCTCAACTCTTTGCTCAAATGCTCGAGCCTTTTGCAATGCTTTTTGCGTTCCGTTTGCAACTTTAACCAGAAAATTGGTTTATTTAGCTAGAAATGCATTGAGATGAGTTTCTTTTGTTGAATAAGTTGTTGCTTGTACAATTAAACCCCGAAAATCAAGACCCAAATGCACTAATTGAAATTTTTTATATTGAATTGAATTTTTAATTAGTAAAGAATCAAATTGGTGAAAGAATAATGACTGTAGGTGCTACCATACTCGAAATATTGAGGCTCGAAGTTGATGGCCCAATGGCCAAAATAAGGAGAACTGTTGACTAATTGAAAAAAATATCCAATTCATGATGTTAGCTAACAATTTTTATGGACTGGTAATAAGTTTAGGCCCTCTAATTCTCACTGTCATAGAAAGAGGTCGGTTTGTGTGAAAATCGAACTTGATCTGTTTTACAGAAAAGGAAAAATTTTATTTCTCAAAATAACTTATTTCCTGGTTGGTCATTAGAAGATACATCAGTACTATGAGTTTTATGAAAAAATCTACTTCCATAACTGTAAAGAAAGCTTTGCAAGTTTCAGCTTCGAACATGATTCTCTCGAAAACTATAGATCAGAGAGATTTGTAACTCGCACAAATGAACGCAGTTTTTTTGTCCCTACAAACGAATAGAGTTTAAATTGACAAGAAATTAATTCTTTTTCTGTTTTCGCCTAATAAAATAATGATTTGTACATGAAAGTGACAATTGTGTCTTTCTAGCTATCTTAAAGCACTTTAATGTTTAAAATATTCAAACTATTATTATTCTATTATTATTCAAACTAATATTTATTCAATCAATACAAAATGCAATACAATACAAAAAGCGATTCAAGTTTCAACTTCGAACCCGATTTTCTCGAGAAATGTCGAGCAGATAAACCTTTTAATTGCACAAATGAACTCAGTTTTCATGTCTCTACAAACTAACTGAATCTAAATTGAAAGAAAGTTTAAGTCAGAAGTAAAAAAGTCGTTTTTGCCCATTTGTGACAATTGAGTTGATTGTGTCTTTTTAATAACAACCCGATATTGTGATTTAAATCTGAGTTAAATATTATGAGATTTATTTTGTGAATTTGAGCTGCACTATTAATATTTGCTGTTTAACTTGGTGCATAAGGTTGTTACTTGGCTCGATAATGAAGCTGTAAATCCGATTTAATTGTGCATTTCCGTTTATTCATTTTTATATCATTTTAATATGTTTAACAATAAAAACTTAATCAACATCACCAATCGGTGAGAAAATATCTAATAAACCTAAATTAGGTAAATCATTAAATATAAAGCCAAGAATCAGAGTTTTTTCTAGTCAATAAATTTTCATTTACACTTAAAATTTAATACAATCCTCTTTAATAATTTAATATTTAATCCTGATTACTTTTTTAATCAATACAGAATTAAAGAGTTCTTGTTATTTAGACCAATAATTAAGTGTTCAATGGTCAACTCAAGTTTCATCTATTTTTTTACAACTTTAAATGTTTCTCCGTCATCATTAAGAACGAATTGGTAATCTTTGTATTTGGTTTCTCGCCATCTCAGTGCATAACATTCATCATAAAGTGCTTTAGTTAAAGCTGGAAGTGGCTTGAATCTGCCTAAAACGCTGATTTTCTCGTCATAACGCCACATTTGATCACAAAACATTCGGTGTGAATGTTTCAATTTTGTATTCATTGATTGTCTTTCCTTCCTATCAGCTTCAAGATCAAAAATCATTTCATCTCTAGATGGAAGTTCAGCCTCTCCTGTCAAGGTTCGAACAAAATACTTTGCCTGGAAATCAAAAGATCGATAATGATTAGTAAGTGTCTGGAAAATTTGTTTCAAAGTTAATATTATTATCATCAGGTGAAACTCACCATTTGACAGAAAAAGTTAATGACTGGAATCTTTTCCATCAAACCAAAGAATGCCATTGTTGGATAATTAATGTTGATCATGTGCATGAATAAACCATCAACTCGACCTTCACCTCCTTCAATTCCACATGAAGGATCAATTATGTTTAGATCAATTTGATAGCCAGTTGCAAAGATAATTGCATCAATGTTTCTTAAAACAGTGCCATTCGTTAATTCAATTGAATCTTCCCCGACTGATTTGAATATGGCTCCTGGTTGAATTATTTTATCACCCAATGGATGTAGTTTACCATTTTCCTTGACAGTATAACATAAATAGGTTTCACTGGCAAAGTCGACCACTTCAAGAGCAATGTCAATTCCTGAAGGTCCACCTCCTAAAATAGCCACTCTTTTGTTTTGAAACGCTTCGGGTACTCGGTAAGTGTGTGTATGCATCTGCAATCCCTTGAAATTATTCAAGCCGGGAATATCATCTGGAATATATGGCACTGAAAAGCGTCCTTGGCATATACAGACGACATCAAATGTCTGCGTGAAGGAATCTTGAGTCTCAAGATTACGATAATCCACAAACCATAAATCATTATCTCGGTATATCTTTGTTACTAAATGTAAAAACTGAAAAAGAGAGACAAAGAAAGGATTAGATTGGGTAGCAACAAGAACGAAATGAAGCTCACAGCTGATTTTTGATAAACAGTGATGAAGATGTATTATCTTTAAGTTTATTATTAATTGATATTATGCATGTGTTTCAATGAGCATTAGATTTTTTCAATGAGTGAATGAAGATTTATTCAAAAACTAACCTTAGTGTATTTTTTTATATTAAAGTGATGAGCAAAATCTTGTAAATATTGAAGGACTTGTTGGTGAGTGATGAATCCACTTGGATTTTGATTGTGAGGGAAATCATCAAACTCCATTAATGCTGTGGGAAGATTGGTCCTGATATTGGCCATATATTGTTCATCGACAGGATGATGGCAAAAACAGTGTTAGAAGGGAATATTCCATAGATTGTAGATGTTTATCAATTAGTACAATATTATGATGGCAATATAGATTTGTAGATTATTAAATGGTTCAGATTTGATTGCTTAATAAATCAGATCTGTAGATAAGCAGAAGTATCTGAAGTATCTGAGTGTTGAAATATACAAAATACTTACCTTAAATTTCGGTAAATACTTGACGGAACTGCAAGTCCATATTTATTGGTTTCTGTGTCTTCACAATAGATCCAGGTTCCACCAATATCAGCTTGTTGGTCAAAAACAGTAACATCGAAAAGATCCTTTCGTTGAAGAAATTTTTGCGCTGCCACCAATCCAGCTGGACCAGCACCAATAATTGCCACTGAGCGACGAGTAGTACCATTACCGTTCATCTTGAATTGTTGCGTTTGATAGTCGAGGTTAAGAGTGAAATGTAAACATGAACAGGAGAGAGGCAAAAACTAGGGAAGATTGAACAAGTCTTGCTCTACATCAAAGAGTTTCATCAGTCTTTCTGAACAGTCTAATATAATATATTTTAAAAATTGACAAATAGGGCGATTAGTTATCTAGTTGATATGGAAGCTGTTCACTCTGGTGAAATCTTGTTGATAACGTTTTCTCTGTATTCTTGCAATCTTAAGCGAAGGTGTAACTCTTTCAGCTCTCAGTTATATTCTTAGGGAGATATTCTGGTAGCTAATTCTTACAATTAGTTACATTATAACTGATTTTCTACTCAGGCTTTCAGAATCAATGAAAAACTCTTGGTCGACTTACTGTAATGACAAGAAGCAAAAGTAAACAATGAAAACTGGTCAAAGATAAAGACATTTAAAGTTTGAAAACTAAGGCTAATTTGATCAAAGAAATAAAGAAAAGAGAAACTCAATGAGAAAATTGTTATCCTGAGTATCTTTCACATCAAATGTCAATAATTAAAACAAATATCTTTATTAATTTAATTAGATTACCATCTAAGTTCTTGGCGTCGTCCCAGTTTAATTGCCATTGAAATTTCTTCCATAGACAGTTCAATAAAGAGTAAATTTCCGTGCACTGATCTTTTCTTAATTTTTCTGATTTTTCCGTATTTGCTGCAAAATCATCAAATTGTTATCTTAAAGATTGATGTAACTTAATTTGCTTTAATTACGATACAGAAATATTCCTTTATGTGATTTCATTTCTAATATAATTGCTCGAATGATTGGAGAGTTAGGTTCTTTATGTTGATTATTTTAATCAAACTTTAGGATGAAATTTTACAATTAGTTAATATAGCAGAGGATAAGGCTTATTAAATTCACTAATCAACTGGTGTAGCACTCTGACTCTACTTAAGTGTAAAGTTTCAGGTACTTCGTTAACTTTAATTTTTGCGATATCAGATTCAGCTTGAACAGTTTGGATTTTTTTCTGGAATCTTGATAAATCTTTCATTTCTCAAGTTTCTCTGTGGGAATTTTTTTATTTTCAATCTTTGATATCTAATTTTATTCTCAAATTCATTAATCGCATACTCAGATATTCGGTAATGATTTTTACGACTGTTAAATAATGTTTCATCAGTTTATCAAATACAGTAGTTTATCTGAGAGTTTCAACAGTTCGACTCTTACGTATTTACTTAAGTAAGAATCAAAAATTAAATATTCGTAAGAAAAGCTGAAATAATTGCTAGAAAATTGTGTTATTGTAGATAATTGTACTTTCACCAAAATCTTTATTCTCTGTTGTAAAGATTGATGATTAAATCGAAAACATAGATAAAAAAACAAGAAAAGCTTATTGGTAAAAAATTATCTCTTTTTATTTTTTTTATTCTTCTTTTTGTTCATTAACTTTTTATTAATATTTCGTTCACGTTTTTCTTGTCTTTTCTTAATTTTAACTTCGACTTGCTTCTTACGTTGTGCCCACTCCTTGGCATGTTTCTGCTTAACCTTTTTATGCTTTTTCAACGAAGTTGCAATCCTTTTTGGATCATCAAAAATTTTCTTTCCTTCGGCTTTTTCTAAGGCGTTATTCCAGGCTTTTTGATTCTTGAATTGTATCGCTTTATCAGTTTCACCTTTTTCAATAAGTTTCTTAACTTTTTCCTCTTGATTTTGAATTTTATGAAGTGATGCTTTCAATTTTTTATCTTTTCTCCCTTTTTTGAACTTGTCTTCTTTCTTTACTTTTTCTTGTGAATTTTGTGCAAGATCAAATTTTGAAAAAATGAAATTGCCGTCTTCAATGACCGGACTTGGGGTAAATTTGACTTTTTTCACTTTTGCAGCATCTGGCTTGACTTTTACAACTGGAGACTTTGTAACTGAACCTGTAACAAACAGAAAAGATGATTAATTAACGATCGATTAAGCTCGATAACACAATAAAGAGAGCCTTAATAAATGAATTACCTTTTGATTTCTTATTATTTTTATCATTTTTCAATCCAACTAAAGATTGAACCACTTGTCCAATGAATTTTTCATTAATCGCCCATCTTTCTTGAAGAGCTTCTTCGTCCATTATTGCAAATGATTTCACTTATGTTATAAATTAGATTACAATTCGAATATTCAAAAATAAATATAAAATTAAATACTTAAAGACTTATCAACATGCAGGCAAGTTAAAGTGCAAAACATGTGTTTTATTTTGATTTGTAAAGACGCCATCTATTATCAACAAATCCATCTTGCTATGTAATTTTAATTTATGCCCGGTAGATGGCGTTTCGTATGTCGGTTTGTTTACAATTATATTCTTTGTATTAGAAATTTAATCCATCTTTCAATTGTTTTAATTTCTTAGTGTGACATTTTTATAATTAATCCTACATTAGCTCACAATGGCAGATTTTCTAGGTTCAATATTGAAGTCAATGGAAAAACCTCCATCAACTGGCCGCAGTGATCAAAAAGCAGTGGCAAAAAAGCAAGAGGAAGCCATGAGAAAACTGGTCGAAGATGAAAAGCGACAATTAAAAGAGTTCAAAGTAAAAATTGAAAATCAAGTTAAAAAATTTATTGCTGATGAATCTCAATCGTCCTTGAAATTAGAACCGATGGATAAAGTGCACCGAACAATTGTACACGATGTTGCTGACGATGTTGGACTGTTCGCGACTTCTTTCGGTGAAGGTGATGAGCGACATACAGTTATTTATAAACAGGATTCAATTCCATCCGAAGAAGAATTATCAGCTTTGAAAAGAGGTCAAGTCTATGATCCTGAAAAGGCTGCTCTTGAAAAAGTTATGGAAGCTAAAGAAGAACTTGACGCTCAAAAGAAAAAGAAAATTGTTCCTGTATCCAGCTATCGCACAAAATATGAGCACTTAATCGGTAAAGAAATTGGTAAAAAAGCAGCGACCATATCAGTGCCTAGTGAACAATTTGGTTTGGTACCAACAGCCCTAAAACGGGATCAAAGGTCAATTGAGCAAGCTATGAGTGATATACGCGCTAAGAAACTCAAAAAAGTTACTGATGCATCTACGAGTGAAGAACCAAATGATATAGACTAGATATTAAATGAAAACAAATCATAGTTGAATCACATGTAAATTTTCTTTGATAGCATTAATAAAATTTTCTCATGATTAATCTTTTCTATTTAATTAAAGTGAATATAACATATCAACAAAATATTTACAAACCATTAGATTTAAAACAACTGATCTTGATCTGTCAAACAAATACCAAATTGAATTAACTTCACCGAATCAGAAACATCGCTAATCGGTTAATCTCATAATTGCATACGCTTTTTATAAATTAAAATACTTCAATGTGATAATTCTAAACCTGATGAATTTGTGGCAAAGGAGCAAAAATAGATTAAATAGTTGGTACTTTATTCTTTCAACTTTGTTGGTTCTATGTTGTCAAGATTGTTCAACACATCAAGACCAAGTTGTTTTAAAGTAATATTTAAATTTGATTTATGAAAATAATACAACTAGAGCTAAAACATCAGGAATCTCTGTGCCTTTTTTCATTGTATAGTCGGAAAAATGATTTACCCCACTCATAAGTGCTAATCATTATAGCACAAGCAGGAGCTACTTTGATTAACCTAGGCGATAAACCAGCAAACAAACCTTTCAGCCCTCTTTGAAAGTATAAATGCTTGATTATAGACACTGTTGATTTGGGATTTTTGCGAGTTTGAGCACCTTTGGCAACAATAAGGGCTTGTCCAATTTCTATCTGACGATGAGTTTTAACGACATCAAAGGGTAATGTAATGATAGCGGCCAGTGATCCAGCAATCCCTCCGCAAATGAAACTTTGAATGAAAGTTGGTTCTATAGTACAGTTTAAACGCCTTTTAAGCCCTTCATAGCCAGCCCAATAAATAGCTGAGAAAGGCACGTCACGAAGTATGGTTGGGACAAGACCACGATAAAGAGCTAAAATACCCTCTTGTTGAATTAATGATTTGACAGCTCTTCCAATATCAAAATAACTCAATTTTTCCGACTGCATTTTTGTACGCACTAATTCCAAAGGGCTAATTGTTACTGCAGCAATAACACGAGCACAGCCACCGGCTGTCATAGGAACCCAAAGTGGCTGTTCAGATAAACTTTTTCCATTCCAGAGATTTATTTTTGCTCTTAGCTGATCGTAAATTGTAAAATAGATAACTGTTGAAGGTATAGCCATAATTAATGTTGGTGGTAATCCACTCCATAAACTAGTTAATCCTTCATTTCTTGCAATATGCACTATTCCATCCAAGGTTCCAGTGAAAGGAGCACCACGATTAAACCATTTAACTCTTTCAGAATGGGTCATTTTCATTGAAGCTGGATCATTTCCACCATTGCAGGTACAAATATGATCCATCAAACCATTACAGTAAAGAAAACACTTATTACGAATGAACTCTTTCTCTCGAGCTTGAATACGAATCTTGACAACATCTAAAGGGGTAACTGTAACGCGATAACGAGGAAAGATAAGAAAAAAACATGTTCAAAACTTAAGGAAAAGAATCCATTTTTGTATACTTACCAATCAGTGAAGTAATTATAGCACCTGTACAAGAAGAGGCCATCTGTTGACACGGTGTAATATTGAAATCTTGACTATTAGTTGTAGCCATATTTTGATTTAATTGCCTTTATTAGAGGCCCTAATACGAATTATTTAACAAATAGCATAAATTGCAAACCTTGATACGGTTATGCTTGCCTCCTAGTAACTTGAAGAAGCAAGTTTCGATTGGAAACTAAGTCCATCTAGTGTTTTACAATGACGACACACCTCAAGCGGTTCTAATCACCGCTTTCTTCAAAGCTCAAAATAACCAGAGATTCAGAAGTTAAGATGTAAATTCTGAATTCATTCATTATAAAATTTACTAAAAAGATCAAATTTTCCTATTTGCGAATTCGGATATTTGGTAAACAAATTTGGCCATTTTCTCCTTTAATATTGTACTTTTTCTCATTGTATTTCTCACTGTATGTTGAGATTTTACGTCCATCGTAATTGTATTCAGAATTCGGGTTTTTATGGCTACTTGATACATTTTGTATATACCATGTGCTATATGATATAGTCAATCAATGTTCAATCAAAAGATTGAATGTGCCTCATCAGTTTACACGCTACAAAGCAAATAATTACGATGAATTTGGGTTCAATGAAAATCTTGAAGAGAATCTAAAGATGTCTCATTGTATAAACATTAAAGCATGTTCATCAAGTCGATAAAAAAACTATTCTGAACGTGACCTTCGAACTCAAAATTCGTAATACATTTCAATCTCATTCTTAACATGAACTCTACCCGAAAAATTATGATAATCATCTGGTTTAATGACATCAACTTGGATTACTACGAATTCAAATTCAAGCAAAACAAATATTCTTATGTAATGAATGCAAATGTTTTCATAATTTACTATTTTTCTCTATGCATTTCTTTTCTAAGCATAAAATAATCATTAATAATTGGGATAATTTGAATTAATTCAAATAATTAGACTGATCCAAACAAATGTGCAGAAAATGGTTCCTCTGAAACTGCGTCTACCTTATTTCAATGATAATAAAGTTGAAAGAGATGCTATTTGTTCAATAAGCTAATATTTAAAAGATGCATTAAACATGGGTTGATCATTTGTACCCTCATCAAATTGTCTATTCATTTGATTGTTTCAGTGTAATCAGAGGAAACATTTGCTACTTTATCTCCAACTGAATCTACTTTTATTTACTCAATGTTCAGAAACTGCTGATGGTAAATTGAAGAAAGGAAAGAGGAAAACAATATTTATGTGCAACAAAAATGATACATTCATAGAGAAGCGTATATTAGTGAATAATATTGATTTATAAATTGTTTATTACATGGAGAGCAGTATATTTTTATTTCAGCCTAAATTGGGACATTTAAATGTGTTACAACTCATAAGACTAAATTGTAAGACAGAGAAACGCTGAACTGAAAAGGTTACGAGAAGGAAGAGGATACTGAATTGGAGATGAACAAATTAAATTTTCAATGGTAAAAGTAAATAGCAGAGAGACAATCAAAAAATTTTCAAAAGCGTCATTATTTGATTGTTTAACGGAAATGTCGTATTTGTTGAACAAGATATTTATCAAATGGTAAAGAGGTTTAGTTTTTCATCTTCATTTTCCCCCTCCTCTTACTTATCATCATCAATTCAGGTTGTAACAAATGAATATACTCTGATGATAATGATGACAATGATGGTACTGCTGTCTATTCAGATCATCATCTATGGCAGATGGCATTTCCAAGTGATCAACACTAATTTCTCACTTCATTACATTCTAATTACAGTATTTACTGTTTATTTTTGTATCTGTCTGAAGTAACCTCTGATCATCTCAAAATTGCCATTATAATCAATTTTACCCTTTATATGGTAAATTGTCTCATTAAATTAATCTAATTTGATCTCAAAATGAAACACATTTCAGCCACTTTGATTGTCTGTGTGATCAACTTTAACCTGGTTGTTTTGGCACAGGTTAACAGTGAAATTACAAGTTTGCCTTCAACCACAAATTTAACATCGCCATCAATAGTACCATCATCAAGTAGTGGGTCAGTTACCAAGAAGATAATTGTTCCAATGGATCAGTTCGATAAAAATCACAGTGTAAATCAAACTGAACCGCCTGTCATCATTCATTATGTTGACTTCAATTTGACTGAAAATTACAACACTTCCCATGACGTTTATGTTGTCCGTAATAATGACACTGAGAATGGGTCAGTTAATTTGTTTGATAATGACTCAAATGAAACATTGATTGATCGAGGTGAACAAGTGATCCACAATTTTTACACTAAAGTAACACATTTAACAGATTCGATGGACACTAATGTATTGTATAGCCTTTGGATACCGTTTGTTTCTGGATTTGCTGCCGGTTTAACTTTATTGTGTACTGTATTTTGCTGCCGGTTTTGTTGTCGACGAGTTTGCTGTCGAAAGCGGCCCAAAGTAAACAGCATTAAGAGAGGTTCCAAAAAGATTCAATCACTTGATGATAATCGTTATTTATTAGTTTCTAATCACAGTGATTCTGAAGGTGTTTAGCTCATTTTACTTCAAATTATCTCATTGAGTTATCACAATTGATTGAAATCCTCATTCATTCATAGTATATTTCCTATCATTTATTGAATTTCCTCGGCATTTACATTGAAAAGTAATCTAAGCAATAAAAAAATCTTAAACAATTAAATGGTGATCGTTTCATTTCACATTAAAGGTATTTATTGCTCAAAATAATTTTTACTAAACAATTAGAGATTAGATCGACAAATAGTTACTACGGATACATGCAGACAATTTTAAAACATTCTGAAAGCAAGTAAAAGGCTGAAGTTAATAGCTTCATTAACCTTTACAATTAAACTTGAATTCCAGCTAGATAAATTATTAATGCTCAGGCAAGAAATCAATACAGAACTATTTTGAAGACGAGACTAACAGATGATTCTTGACTTTTTGTTTGCAATGATGAGCAAATAGCCAAACAGCCAACACGACTGTCATTGCCATTGCCATTTTTTGGCGTTTCACCTGTTTTTGTAACCAATAGACAGTAATCGGAAACTGATCAACAACAAAACGTCTTTGGTGAACTGGAAAATGATTTTTGATAATCTTTTCTTTAAATTTGGTACAAGGTGGTCATTGGAATATTTCTGGCAAAACAATCGACGATTATTGATGAATTTATAAAAATACAAGCTAAATTTTATATGAATATATTGATACAATTGACAAAAATAAGGGCCAATGGGTCTAAGAATTGGTCTTATCGATAAAAAATTTCATGACATCACAATTGTAAAAATTTTAATCGGATTGCAACTTTTTTTTCAAATTACATGACATACATTATGACTTTAATTTCTTCTTGCACGTTAACACTAATTAATAAATTCTTTTTTTTCATGATTAGTAATGCCGGGTAGATGAATAAAGGAGGATTTTCCTGGTATCCTCATAGCTTTTCAGATTCTTTCGTATTGTAAATATTACATTCTATTTTTAATGATTCAAAAACATTGCTTTGCACCTTCGGAGATCGGATGACAATCCATTGAAGGGTCTTAAAGGGTTGGCCTTAAATTGGTTTGTACAACAGAGTAGTTACGTATTTTCTCCTGTATCTGTTGGTGCAGCTTAAAACCATAACACCATCTTTGATTGACAAGGCATACAAATGATTCAACATGACGTGATTTGGTTGTGGTAAGAATGTTGGATCACCAGAGGTTAAAGTTGGGTTGTTCAGCATAACTTGTAACAAATGAGGAGGTAATATTGGAGGACCAGCGCCTTGATTACCACCTTGACCACTAGTTCTTGGATTTCCTAATTTTTGCAGCATGGAAGAAGGAAATTCCTGAGAATAAGAGCCTTCGCAATATGAATAAAAAGATGAAATTCGAGTAGAAAGATAAAAAGATATTAAAAAACAGACATAACAAACATTGATGATGAAGAAATTCAAGTACAAATTGATCGAGGACTGATTGAGATTACCTGGTGGAGATCCACTAAGCTGAGTTTGATTACTATTAGTGTTTGCGGCCAGATCCATAGCAAGAGCTTCAAAAACTTCAAAATCACTTTTTTTAACATTTATGACGTTTTTCGTTTTTTCTTCATCCAAGGTTGCATTCGAGTTAACAGTTTCAGTGCCATCAACTATATATTTATATTGATGGACACCCTGAAATTGAAATAAAAATACGTATTGAACCATTAGACTGGAGTAATAAATAAAAGATTAAAATGCAAACCTCTGGCACATCTACGATAGCCACAAAATCATCATGGCTGTGAACCATTTTGATTGGCTTCCAGTCACTGAAAGTTCCAGAGATGAAAACCTCTTTTCCTCCTCCTTCCCACTTAAATACAGTTGGAAGAGCATTTTCATCAATAGATGTTCCTTGACTGATAGTCGATGCTCGAGGGCGGATCTACGAAAAAGAATTAAAAAACAGAAGACAAGATTATTAAAATATTTTTCGAAAAAATGAAAATAAATATTTAAATATATGCAAGGAGAGTTTACTTTGCATTCATCATAGCCATCATCTACACTGTATTCAGCAGAGGATTGATAGCAAAGCAACGGTTTTTTTCGACCACCAATGAAATCAAATGCTTTAGAATCATCAGCTCGCGGTGAACTAGAGGAGTCTCGAGGATGATTAACGCCATCAATTGTATAAAAATAGTTGCGGTCACGTTTAACCTGAGATGTATTAGTGTTACCCATCGAACATGAGACTAGTACAAAAACAATGAACAAAATGTAAACAAATCACAATTGAAAGTTGGAGAAGATAAAACTAAATAAAATGAAATATGTGAAGGAAAACAATTTTTATAAATTCACTTAAGGAAGCATCATAAAAAGAAAGCAATGAGGAAAATTGGTAATTAAGAAGTAAATCACAAATTAATTTACTCTCAATGTTCAGAGGCTTTAAGTTGGATCTTTCATAGTAATACACTCAGCGCAAATAATTATTTGTTGAGCCATGTTAAGTAAGCAGCTCGTATACCTTTTAAAAAATGGCGCCACTTTCAACTCCAAGCTTTATTTATGAAAATGCTGTATCCGTTTAAAGGCGTATGAAACACTTCACCAAAACCATTTCAGACTTTTAAAATAATATAAATCGATCAATTTTGTCGTACAATTATGTTTAAACGGTGTAATTAATAATGAAATTCGTTGTTTTTAATGAAAGGTAAGCTTTCGATGTAAACATAATCGAAATAGAGTGTTGTCATCATCACCTTATGGAACAAACTTGGCAACTGTTCTGTATTTTAATCATCCATAGTCAACGCTTGGAAATTTCAACTACTGTTCATAGCTTTTAGTTATCGTTATTCTTGTTATCGTTGCTATGTGCTCTCTTGATCTATCCATAGAATCAACTGCATCATCATCATCTTACACACAGATTTGAGTTCTTTTCCACTTTCTCCCTCTTCCATCCTCTTTGGCATCACCTTTATATCATCTGTGTTATTTTTCTATTGTGTTTCTCTACTAATAATAATTTTATCGTCATGATCGTCTATTGTAATGGGTGAAGAGTCAGCCCATAGCCGTTTGGAATCTAGTTTAGAAGATAAAAATGTTGATGATTGTGATGTTAGGCATGAACGTGATGTGCAATTTGTAAATACTATTTATCCTGACCAATCACATCAACAAGAGCAGGTTCAATTTAATTCAATCTCTACCAATGGGCTCAAAAATCGGTGAGTGAATCTCTGATGATATGATTTCTATCAAATTGCTTGTTTCTTGTGTTTTCACGTTTATTTACCACATGTCCTATTTTATTTTATTCACAGTTTGAGTCCATATCTCGATAAAAAAGGATTAGTGTTAAATGGTGGTCACGTTGATACCAGAGGTGTTGTGCAAAATATTAAAATGAGACTCCAAAATTTTATTAATGCCATCAGAGCGCGAATTAAACAACTATCCATTGTACTTATCATTTCGATAACAGTTCTAGCTACTTTAAAACATGAGTAAGTCAACATAAGTTCACTGTTGGAGCATTATTTTAACTATTTCTCATTTTTTTCTCATAGTCGCTTGATTATACGGAAGACTCCACCGCCAAGCAAATTCTTCTCTACTGACTCATTAATTGAAGATTATGAAACTGGCAGCTTTTCTGAGTTAATTACCCGCTCATCGGAGTCGGATGTATCTTTCACCATGTACTATGCACCTTGGGATGCACAATGCATAAAGTTCAAGAGAGAGTTTGAAATTATAGCCAGCCATTATCCCAACCAGGTTCGACAATATATTTTTGCTTAGTCTTTAATTTTGGAGTATCAATCCTAAATATGCAATTTTTTTATCATTTTTATCAATAGATTTATTTCGCAGCTATAAACTGTTGGTGGCCAGATGGTGAATGTAGACAACATAATATGATTCATCAATATCCTTCATTTTCCGCTCATCTACGAAATATTGGAGCTCTTACTTACCCAGGTCCATTAATGGCTGGTTATATCATTCACTATCTCGATAATTTAATCGACCCATTGACACCAATTCAAGATGAAGGACAGTTATTAGATCTTATTTCGAAACACGATGGTGTTGCAGTGGGATATTTTGATTTCAACGATCCTTCAACTTTATCTTCATATGATTTATTTTTTAAAGCCTCAGTCCGGGCTCTGCAATCAGATCCTTTCCGACTTGTAAAATTCTGTGTCATCACGAGTCGTAAAGTTGCTCAAAAAGTGCGAATTAATACAACTTCATCAATTAATCTTTATTCTTGGAATACAACGTCCATTGTAGAAACCGATTTTAAAAATTCAGATGCCGTCCTTAAATGGATTTATAGTAATTTATTTGATGATTGGAAAGGTTTAGTTGATTGGCTTATACCAAGTGGTAGAAAAAGTGATGCTTTGGCCGAAATTTTGGAATCCAGTCCTACTCTAGTCCTTCTTACACCTAGAAGTTTAATTTTTGGAATTTCTCCGTATTATGACATTGTAAGACTATTTATATTCGTGTTTTATTTAAGAAAATACAATAATGAATTTATTCTTGATTTCTGCATAGCTTCGTGAAGTTGCTATGGACTATCATAATTGTGAAAACTCTCCAACCATCAAGTCGCTCATTCACCGTAGTATCTTAAGACGCCGGGCAACAGAGGAAAGTCTAATTGAAATGGAAGAAAAATGCCATGAGCTTATGAATCCAATTGCTGAAAAGAGTGATATTTGGAAAATGTCCAATGTTATATCTGAAGATACATGTTGTCATTCACAAATAGTTCGTTGGAGACCAATTGGAAAATCAGCTGAGAAAAAGTGTTATTGCACCGCCTGTATTCGCATTAATTTATCTAAGTGTCCATCAGGCTGTAAAAAATTCAACTGTTTAGCAACAGTAGCTCGATATTTAAATTCATTCGAGCCATTGGAAATAAACAAAACTGCTTCTTTCTGCAATGAAATTAAAAGTACCTATCAACCTAAATATACTCCATACTACAAAATTGAGGTTACATGTTCTGGCAACTTACCCAATGAAATGGATTCTCATCAATACTCTCTTATAAATGATAACAGAGACGATACCTATGATTCAGAATATTTTTCATCGCTAAAGTATCTATCGGAAGACTCTAATGTAGGATCTTTCAACTTTCCTACTAAAGATGATAAAATTGTTCGCATGATGAAAAATTTGGAACATCAATACTGTTATCGCCTAGCACTGGGTCTAAACTACAGTGATTTCAATTTTCCAGATAGTGGAGAAGGATCACTGAGTTCGACTTCATCGAAATGGAGAGAAAATTTTACCGGTTTAGGATGTAAAGCCAACAAAACGTTAAAGTTCCTTGCGATTGACTCTATTCTCTACCCTGGTTTCGCCGAGTCACTAGGAATTGACATATTCAATGAGACGCACGCAACTTTAGCTTTCATTATCGAGTCTCACCAGGAAAATATTTATCTTCTCAACCACCAAGTTGCATCATCATGCTGTTCTTCATCAACCATCAACAAAAGAGCTTTTTATGAAATAATCAAAAACTATACAGACAACAAGCTTGTTCGTTATTTACGAAGCTCGACAGATAAATCAGTGTCATCTTCAGAACAGTGTTTAAAAGGTTTAGGTAATGATCAAATTATTTGTGTTCCTGAAATTCATAGTAATAACTTTAAAGAGATAGCGTTATCACCGAAACGAGATGTTCTTGTCATGTACTTTACTCCTTGGTGTGGTTATTGTTCAACGGTTGCCCATATTTATCTTTCGGTAGCCAAATATTTTCAGAATATTGATGGCATTTTGTTCACCCGGATAAACGGAGATACAAATGATTTACCGTTTGAGTATAATGTCGACAAATATCCGACAATTATGCTGTTTCCAGCCTACAGGTAATTAATCATTTTTTCTCTACATAATTGCTTATAGATTTTGAATTATAATTTCTTCATGCATATAACTTTTTTTAATTTCAACCTTTTTGTTTACAGAAAATCTGAAACTGTTACTTTCCCATCAACTCGGTCAATCACACAATCTAATTTATTAGGATTCATTTTGACATATGCACAACCATCTGTTAAACTCCAGATAGCATTAAGTCTTTGTGATGTTAATTGCCTTCTCCGAAACTGGTTTAACTATCAACGACATTCGTCAACCCTGTTCAAATCATATAAAAATGATTTAATAAGTCTTGTTTTCTTACGAGATAAATTAAGTGATCTTCGAAAGAAACAACGCGCTCTACAACAACCATTTATTGATCACTATATCGCAAACTTAAGGAAAAAGCGAAGTCAATTTGAATTACTATTCAATGTAAAACAATTTCTAGTTAAAAGGCTGTCTGATATTTCCAAGAAATCAGTTGATGAGTTAATTGATGTTAAAAAGGACCAAGAATGGTTAGCTGAAACTGTTAGTGAAATTTTACGTCCGTCGTCTCAGACTGAATCCAAAAGTAAATCTAAGAAGTCTAAATCACGAAACTCATCTCCGTCGAAATCATCAAAAGAAGATAATAAACCTGTTAAAAAGACAAAATCAAAATCAAAATCAAAGAAAGATGAGCTTTGAAGTTTTGTTTCGCATAATTTACCATCAAATGTTCACTTTTGCCTTATGATATGTGCTTGGATTTTTAGTTCAACAAAAAATGTTTTAATCAAAAACAAACTTCGAAATATTCATCACGAAGATTGTATCGAATCACAATTCAAAAATTGCCTTAAGATCAAGCACAACAACAAATTTAGTGATCTGAGAAAAAGTCTATTCAAAGTTAAAAATCTCTAGACTTCTAAATCATGGGAATCCCATCTTTACACACAAGCTTGATTCACGAATCATTTTATGTTGAAATTAGATCAAATCTTCATTTGATATTTTCAATAGCAATAATCTGTAATTTTCTTATTAAAAATGACTCTATTTTTCTGAAATCTTTCAAACATTGAAGCAATTTCTTTCCCCTGTAATCATGTAAAATCATATTTCTATTTCGACTTGATCCGAAGGTTAAAGTCTACATTATACATGTGTCTTACATACACATTTCATTGTTAATGCATTTTATTATTTGAAATTACTTTCAATCTCTTCCTTTATGAAGACATAAGCTAACTCAACAATGAAACATATGTTTCATGTGTTTCTGAAGAAATCTATTTTTCTTCATTAATATTACAACATTTTATTTATCTAATTTTGAACATAATCTTATCTAATTTTAGATTAAAATGGCTACACTGATCTTAGGAAAAGGTTGCATTAATCATTTAGACGCGTATGCAAGTTGTTTGTGATTTTCTCATTAATTGTGTTCATCTATAAATCAAAACGATGGAAGCCTCAATTACTCAGCCAAATCAACAAAGATGTGGATTATTTTACAGCAAATTAGCAAGGTATTTATTGATGCTCATCCAATAAGGAAAAAAACAAGATCAAAAAGCGATGGAAATATCCTGAAGCTTATTTACCAGTTTATATTATTTAGTATTAATAAATGTTTTAACAAGGTCAATCAAGGCCAGTTAAGGTCAGGAATAGTCTTGATTGGTCAATATTAAGTAATTTGAGTGATTAATCAATAGGCTTTTTGTTACATGAATTAATGTAATTTTCTGTGTTATTCACAAAAAATTGTATAACTTTGCAAATGCTGTGGCATGTGGCATTGGAATACAAATTACTTGTTAAATCATTGATTTTTACATTTTTACATTGATTCCAATGTGTTTTAGTTACAGTTGTAGTTTATATTTTCAATGAAATTCAAGGATCTAAAGGCTTGAATTTCGCAGGGATCAAATTGATAGATAAAGCCATTGCCAAAAAATGGGTAAAAACTTGAGCTTGTAATGAAAGAAAGCAAAAGATGCGAGAAAGAAAACTTTCAATTTCAATTTTCACTGAATAGTATTCAGGTTCAAGAGTAGTCAAGCAACTCACTCTTACTGTTAATCACTCTCACTTGAAGTGACAGTCCAGTGAAAAACGCTGAACACATCGTTGACTTGAATAAACAAGTGAATAGAAGTCGTAAATGTAACTTTGTATTCCAGTGAAACAGTAAAAAGCAGTTTGTCTTTGTGTTTCCCTTCTGCCTAATTTTACGAAATTTTATTTAAATTCATTGGAATTTTCGTGTCTATCACCTTTCATGAATTTAGTTCAATATTTAATTTAAATCCGAACTATTGTCGTCGTTTTTTTCCAATTAATTTTAATAGCTTTCAATGATTCCTTCCAATTTTACAATTGTTTATTTTTGAAAATTCATTTTTTTGTCGTTGCTTTATTTCATGCCTTTTTAAAATCTGATATTCTGGTTTGTGACTCGATCGACAACTCATGGTTATTATTGTGAATTAATTAATGGTAATTGACACTGAATAACTTGATAAAATTTGACAAATCAACGCAACTGTGCAATACACAGCATAAGTGGAATAATGAATCTCATCAAATCAGCTGTGTTCGTCTATGACACGGTAACCCTTCCTGGCTATTATTTAGCAAACAAACCTTGGGCCAATAAAAGTGGATCACCTGGACATAAATGTACAACAAAAGTGTCTATTACACCGTCAACCAATGCTGAAACCGGATTACCAGAAGTGACAATAGTTCGTACTGGCGACCAGCCTGTAAGCCATTTAGACTCCTATGGTACAATTGACTCTGCCATGAGAGATGTTTTTGGTCGATTCTCATCTAAACCTTGTCTAGGTTATAGAGAAGTGTTTTTTGAAGAGGAGATAATCGCACCAGAATCGGGTAAACGATTAAAGAAAAAGATACTTGCTCCTGCTTATAAATGGTTCACATTTGCCCAGGTAGATAAATTGGTCGATGACTGTTCTAGAGGAATATTATCGCTTGATTTAGCTCAATCAGGTGATCGAGTTGTCATATTTTCAGAGACTCGCATGGAATGGTTGATCAGTTTTCATGCTTTACTGCGCCTTAATTGCCCGGTGGTTACTTTATACGCTAATCTAGGATCCGACGGGATTGTCCATGTTCTTAACCAAACAGAAGCAACAGTTGCCATAGTTTCATCAGAAGTAATCAACAAGTTGACTGAATTACGAGGTGAATTAAAGTACCTTCGACATTTGATTTTATTGGAAAGCAAAGGATGTATTCCAATTGATACAAGCCAACTCAACTCACAATATAATATCGTCCCATGGTCAACCCTTTTATCCACTGGTGGCTCATCATCACCTCATTTGAAACCCAAAGAAGTATCAACTGAAAACTCAAATGCTCTTATAATGTACACTTCAGGCTCAACTGGAGTCCCAAAAGGAGTTGTAATCAGCCATAAAAATTTTTTGACTGCCGTTCGTGCAATGAACACCATTCTTGACCAGTATCACGATAAAAATGGTGTTCACATTGGTTACCTTCCCCTTGCTCATATTTATGAATGTGTCGTTGAACATTGTATAATCATGATGGGACTTCAAGTTGGCTACTCCTCACCCTTTACATTAACCAATAACTCACCCGGCATTAAATCAGGAGTTGACGGTGATTTGACTGTTCTTAAACCTAGACTTTTATGCGGAGTTCCCTTGATTCTGGACAGGATACGAAAAGAAGTAACCAAACTGGTGGAAGCTAAAGGAGGTTTAGCCGCTAAAATGTTTCACTTTGGTTTAGATTATAAAAACTATTGGATGTCCAAAGGATTTGAGACACCTTTAATGGATAAACTGGTCTTTTCACGGACCCTCTCTGCTCTTGGAGGTAAACTTGTGGCCATTGTTTCAGGAGGAGCACCACTTTCGGTAGAGACTCAATATTTTGCCAGAGCGTGCTTTTCTTGCAGTTTAATTGTCGGCTATTCAGCGACCGAAGTATGTGCTGCTGGTACTTGCATGGATCTCGGTGATATGACTCTTGGAAATGTAGGATTCCCATTGTTTGGCATTAAAATACGTCTGATTCCATGGGAAGAGGCTGGTTACAGTCCTGATGATAAACCTTACCCTCGAGGTGAGATAGTCATTGGTGGCGATACAGTGGCCATGGGATATTATAAGAATGAAGAAGAATCAGAATCAGCGTTTAAAGTAGAAAACGGAATTCGCTGGTTTTATACAGGAGATATTGGTGAAATGTTACCTGATGGAAAGCTTAGGATTATTGACAGACGTAAAGATTTGGTTAAATTACAGTTTGGTGAATACATTTCACTAGGAAAGGTATGTATTATTGACGTTAAAGCTTTTACTTCAACTTGTAGTTTATTGTTTGACAAATTACAAAAATCCAGGAAGAAGTTACATGAAATTTGTGAATCAATCTTTTATTTCACTGAATCGGAAACTCTTGTCAAGGATTGTGATTCAAATGAAAAGTGATTGCATAAAGGTAGACAAAACAAAAGAGGCAACAAAAGTTCACAAGCAATCCATGTAATAGTTGAATATCATTGTTAACAAAGAGATTAATTTAGTCTGTAAACTTGTTTTCGAGTTTAATTTCAATGTCAATGAGTTTAAATTAGAACAGTATTTGAACCAAATTAAGCTAACCATACTTCCTTCTAAGTAACTATGAAATCTCAAGAAACAACAATAATAGAAGATAATAAATAAAGCTCATTATTTCAGGTTGATGAGTTTTTACCTGATCAATTTCCCGTTATCAACAATACAAAATTTTATGGTCAGGGTCGACCTTTGAGAGTCTAACAAAATTAAAGTTAATTGTCTCGTCCAGTGACTATCTTCACTTATCAATTGTCTTAATTGTTTCAAGAGGGAAGTAGAGTTGAAATGCAAACCTTCAATCCAAAAACAAGTACCAATGAAACTACTAGAGTAATGGTGATGATTGAGTGATCAGCTGGCTATCAAGGTAAAACTATAGTCAAATTGAAGATGATTTTTACTGGATTGAACTTATTAATTGAGTCCAATTGTCTCTATTTAGTTATGTTTAAGGAAAAAAGTGATTTAATATTTAAGTGATCATATTTTTCGCAGATTAAGCTTGACCAAATGTGAAACTGCCCCAAGTAATTCACTAATTGAGTGTAGAGTTTGGTTCGTGGTTAAAATAGCAAATTGTCAATATCATTAGTACAAATTCATTGATGACCTTTATTCAAAGATTCATTCAAATGAAATTGTTCAAGTTTTAATATCTTTTTGAACTTGACAAGGTCAAGTTTATTTTGCTTTTCCTTTACAAATTTACCTGCAATTTATTTCCCTTTAAATTGCCTTTCAGTTACTTTAATAGTATTTATCTTTAATCTCTCAATTGACTGACCATAAGTTAATATGAATATTTACTTGCTTCGATAATCACAATGAAAAATTGACACAAATTTCACTCAATTCAATACAAAACTTGAACCATTTCAATCTATTGAGATTATTCAATATTACAATATTGTTTGACCTTTATAAACGATCCAGTTGATTTACCTTAATTTTTAGTCTTTTATTTTAATCTACATTTTAATTTCAATCAATATTAATCATGTTTGTATCTTTACTTTCAGGTTGAATCGGGTCTAAGTGGTAATCCTTTGGTTGAGTCAATCTGTGTTTATGGCGATGGTTTGCACAATTATACAATTGCCTTGATTGTTCCTAATTCACAGTCACTGAAACTATTGGCATCCAAAATTTCACCTGATTTGGCTGATGAGTCTTTTGAAGATTTATGTGATAACCCGAAAGTCAATCAAGTGTTTGTTGATGAAATTGGCCGTTTCTCAATGAACATTGGTTTAAACAAATATGAGATTCCAAGGAAAATTAAATTATGCAAAGAAGAGTGGACACCAGATTCGGGTTTGGTGACTGCCGCTATGAAAATCCGTCGAAATGAGTTGAAGAAGTTTTACGCCCGTGATATTGAATTAATGTATTCTGATAATGTTGTTGACCAGAATCAGAATCTAAGAAAAATTTAGATATTTTGTTAAATATTAATAGATGCACCAACAATTGCTATTTAATTATTTTTGTAATTTTGTTATCATTTTTTAACCGTTTATACCGTTTTCAGGCCAATTTGCCTATTTTCAATGATAATCTTGAACGATTTCAATTGATAATTATTTGTGATTACATTTTTAGTCCATAAATGTTTATTATACGAGCCTTGATTGCTTATTAAATGAATTGACTACAAATAAAAGCAAAAATAAATTTACATCATTTATTGGTTTTGAATTGAAACAATTTAATTTATAAATTTGCCTCAGCTAATACAGTTAAATGTGGCACTGACATTGAAAAATGTTGATAGACAATTGCAATACATTTTGATCATCATGAAAAGTTGATCATTAACCGATAATTATCACAAATCAAGGTCAACAGTATAAGTGAAGACAATTATTTAAAAGGTGAATAACGCCTTGAGGAACTTTTATTCAATCTCTTCAGGTAAACAGGAATTTATTTTTCCATTCATTTTTCATCATTTTTCCTGTTTAGATAAATATTCAATGGTTACAATTATGGTTAGCTTCAAGTCTTTCCATGCTTTTTTGCTTCTCGTGTTGATGCCATGATGTAATGAAAAGATTCACAGAGTGTTATTTAAATCAATTTGTCAACCTCGAAGCTATTATTTAATCCATCTATTCAAATCTCAAAAGCTATAATTGAAAGATTATTATTAATATTAATGGCATGTTCAATACGTTTCTCATTGAAATTGCTGATCAATATAATTTGACAACAATAAGGTCTTCAGTCACCTTGATCGCTGTGATTGTTTACTATTTAAAGGATTGCAGTAATCATTTAAATATTGTATATGAGGCCAATTTTTGGACACACAACCTTGATTCTTTCATTAACAATCGAAAAGAGTAAACGAAACAGCGATAATAACCTTTAACAAGTCATTTAAGCTTGTATAAGCCATTCATAATCAGATGTTTTACACGAGTTACCAGAATATATTAGCGGATTCCATCATAAATCGAAATCTCTGATAAAATCAAGTATAGCACAATACATATCATTAATTATTTCAAAGCACATGACTTCGGTATGACATAATGTAGTAATTAGTTAATTTTAAACATGCATAGGTTACATATATGCAGTATGTAGTTGTAGATTTATGAATATTACTTACTTTATTCATGTCGGTCTTGTTGAAACTTGTAATTTGTCAGATGAACTAATCCACATGTTTATGTAAATTAAATGTTTTCCCATATTTGATTACCAATCAATCAATTTTGAGTATTTTCAGTAAATTTTTCCTCGTTGACCAGACTAGTGAAGTTTTCAAAACTAAATACAGTTTTTGCTGTGAAATGAAATAAAAATAAAATGGTTTGAATTTGAATCAACAGATGGCGAAACAGTTGCTTTTAAAATTTTCGGAAAATTAATTATGATTTCAAGTTAATATGAACAGTTGATCTTTTTTTTAAAACAATTGAGTTTAATAGAAACAACTTACCAATAATTGCTAATTCATAATTAAACTTTTAAGGATCAAAGCATAGGATTGTATTTTGTAAACCATAACCATGTTTTACATCGAGGTAAGTCTTGTCGTCTTTTATTGAAATTGAGATCTTGCTTAAATCCAAAGTCTATAAAAAGCAAAATTCAAAATAACAGCTTTCATGTAACATTAATGATATTAATCCAGTTTATTTTGATTTTCTATTAATTGCAGGTGATATCTGCATCTCCTATTAAAGAAACATATTTAGGAAAAAGATCTACGAACGAGTGTCAACAACTCATTTTGAACCGTCACATTCAAGATAGGGCCTGATTCATTTACCAATGGAAAAGATTTGATTCAAGTTCACAAAATTTCCATGTTGAATATCCTGAATTGGCTGATTCCATTGAAGTCCATTAAAATTATAAATTGAGGAGAAAATTAATCAAGAGAAAACAAAGATAATTCCAATGAGCTTGGCAAATGAAGTCTGTTCTAGAAGATATCAAGAGAGGAGGTAAACATCCGCAAATACAACTGCATGCATTGCTACAAGAAATGCAAAAAATTTTTAACTCAGCTTCATCCTGGAAACAAAGAGACCACTAAATTGAATTGTTTAATGAATCAAACTCAATTATCTTTTTTATTATACAATTAATTGATTATATAACTTATCTTGAGTTACACTTTTTGACTTCATTGTTTGGCACTCATTATAATCCACTTGAAATTCTATCCACAATATTCCTGTCCTTTTGCATTCGCTGATATATTCAAGTATCTCCATTCAAATATCGATATCAATTCTCTTGATAAGAACGAAAACAATGAAAATTCAACTTAAATTAAATTTTAAAATATCTATTCAAATACAAAAATCGATTCAAGTTAAAAATAGTTTCATTAGCATACAAAAAATTATCCGACCACAAAACGCAAGTAACAAAACAACAGTCAATGGGAAAAATTAAGGTTAGCATTAGAGCATCTAAACGTCTAGTTTTCAGGTCTAAATGAATAGACTATATTACAGACATTGAATTAGGCGTCTAAAATTTTATTTAGACCTTAACTTAGACTTTGACATTCGAGAAAAATTTCGGACTTCTAGCCTTTTAGCGTCTAATCTAATGTCTAGATTTTAATCAATGAAATCTTGGTTCCATTTTTAAACAGATACAATAAGCTAGCATCATGACTCTCCAGAACCATTGTAATGTCTTAATTGTTTATTCAAATATTAGTCAAATTCATTTCGATTATGTGATATGATGAAGACCGAAATAAATAGCAAAATGATCTTCAAAAATCAATGAGCTAAGAGTGGATCAACGAAATTGAAATCTAGACAAAAGGCTGAAGGTTAGATTTTAGCTTCAGAGCTAATTGAAATTACGTTATGAAAAAATAAAATCTTGGCTAAAATCGTCTAATATCAGAACCTCTACATAGCATTAAGTTTGTCACATTATTTATCACTTGATTAACTGATTGACACGAAATGTTCAACTTCAAATGCAAAATCAAGTGACTGCTGTTATTAATGTTTTGGTCTCATTAAAAATGTGTTTAAATCGCGATTTGAATGGCTTTTAAAATGAATTGGTGAAAAGAGTGACAAACCTAATGTTATTCCTAATGAAAAGAAGAAATAAAAACGTCAATAATTAAAGTTTGATTACAATTAACAATGGTAAAGGTGCTAATAAAGTGCATTAAATGATTGGTTAGCAAAATTGTATTAGCTGAGTTACTCATGGGCGGAGAGTTTCAACTGGAAACCATCCAATAACCAGTAAGACTGGGAATGTATTTCAATGTAATGTTATTTTACAGGGAGGAGACTTTACTATTGTCATTATAATGGCAGTGTGTGTTGAGGCCAAGCAGAGTGAGAAAAGAGAGAAAAGAAGAAGACTTTAAGGTCAATGAGAGGACGATGATGAAGATGATGATGAAGATGATCTTGAAAAAAAAATAAACGTAAAAATCATTGGAAAGTAAAAAGCTCGTAAGAGTTACTTGGAGTACCAAAAACAATTTTAGTTAAGTGTAAAAAGGGAAACAAGAAGAGGACTTGTTAAGAAGAGTGCAGTTGAAATATATATCATCATCTTAAAAGAAAAGAAGGAGAGAGAAGAGAGAGAAGAAGAAGAAGAGAGACAGAGAGTGAGATTATTTGTATCATTATCGTTATAATGAATATAGGATCATCTTCATCTGGATCATCATCCACTGTAACTGCCACTTCGTCTGTTACTGGATCAACTTACAACAATTACTGTGATCCCTTTTATCCCAACGGAGGCTCATCTTCATGGGCATCATACCTGCCACCGCCACCACCACCACCACCGGCATCATCAGTGGGAAGCCTTGCCGGTCCAAGTGGACCTTCAACGTCAACCTCTGGTTCCACTTCGGGACTTGATGCTTCATGTTACTACAACCATGGGACAGCCGGCAAACCTTATCATCCCCATCACCATCACCATCACCACTACACTTCAATATCTCATCAACGAAGGAAAAGACGAGTCCTTTTCACTCAACAGCAAGTAAGTACAATTGGTTGATTGTGTCTTGGTTTACCTTAATTTAATTGTTTTACTTGTCAAGGTTTATGAATTGGAAAAGCAGTTTCGTACAAGAAGATATTTAACGGCTCAAGAGCGTGAACAGTTGGCTTCAATTATTGCTCTAACCCCGACTCAGGTTAAAATATGGTTTCAAAATCATCGGTACAAGTGTAAGAGGCAACAAAAGGAAAAGTCAATGTCGGAATCTCCAGGATCAACTGAATCTAATCATCAGGTTAATTGTGATGTAAACAGCAATGATGGTAATACTGTTACTGGCAACACTCACAATCCACCTAAACTGCAAACCAAATCAACTGGATTATCATCAAACTCATTACTCAACTATCACCATTCATCTGAACATCCCGGTAATCATCATCAATCTCAACGTTCATCATCACCAAGACAAATTGCTGTTCCAGTGCTTGTTAAAGATGGTAAATCATTAATGTAAGTTTTCTCAATTTTTTATATCAAATCAAGATCATTTCAACTAAACTTGTATTTTCTTTGTCAGACCATCTGAATGTCCAACTTCAAATGAATCTCAAGTGAAACAAGAAATGACCTTTACTGGACCTCCACTGGTATCATCATCATCATTTACTCTTCACAATCAACAATCAATTGCACCTTACCATCCTTACCATCATCATCATCACCATCATCACCCCTTCTCTGGTCCACCCAATCCCAATCCAATGGGTCCATCCATTTGTCATCCTTTTGCATCAAGTAATACCTTTCCTTTAGGCCATCATCATCAGAGTCATGTAACTTCAGCTGATCCTCACCATGAATTCCTATTGAGAAGTGCACATTGGTAGACAGCGACAGAACCGCGATTTGACTCACAAAAGTCAAAATGCTGCTAAAGTGTTTTAATCAACTCATAATAAGACAATTACTATTTACTAACTTCATTTCATGTTAAATGTTTAGTTATTATGCATATGAACACTTTGGATATAATAGATTGATCAGTGATTAAAATGTATTGTATTGATTTGATTTGCTGTCAAATGCATTTTCATCTCATTTTGTTATTGTTTGCTTCCCTTCATTTACACACACACAACCAACAATCCATTCAATATTATTTACAAATAAAAGTGTCACCAAATGTAATTTAAAACCTTAACCAATATTTACTTTTAATGGTAAGTCAATTCAACTAAACCTGTTCATTTAACAGTTCAAAACTCAACATAACTCGACATGACCTAACATTAAAAAACGATATTAATATTTGTATTCAATCCATGAAGGAATCTTTATCTAGAAATGAACAAAACTTGAAATTAAAGTAAATCCAGAAAATGGATTTTCTTGTCCAAATTGAATGACTAAATTGCAATGTAAGGAAATGAAGGGAAGAGTAATTAGAGCAAGACTGGTGTTCAACTGTCCATCGGTCAACATTTAATTGCCATTGAAAAGAGTAAAGTAAACAAGGTAAAGTAAGATGAAAGCCTTTGGTGAAAAGTTTTGACAGACAATAATATTCACATTATCATCATGTTATAATGAAACTGGAACGGAAATTAAAGGACAACAAACCAATGGATTGTTAAAAAGCATTGATCCAAATGTTTCTCAATACAAATGGGCAAAATAAACAGACGGACCAATTGAAGTGGAAAAATGAGATTTAATCAACATTTCTTGTTTCATTTTTGCTCATTTCAACCAACACAAAATTCAAATTAACCTGACCAGTCGGAGAAGTGTCCAGAAGCTGGAAACATTCAACACTAAATAAATATCAAAGTGTGATAAAAGCTCAACATCAGTTACTGTTGAAAGAATCCAGACAAATCTCTGAAACTGACAAACCTTTTTGTACAAAGTATTCAGTTTTATCCTGGAAATCGATGGTAAAATCAAATGTTCAGAATGTTTGACTTAAATGGCGAAAACAAAATTTCGTGATTTATCTCGAAAAGTAATTCGAGCTTTAAGCACGTCTTTTGCATAACACAATGTACTAAGCCAAAGGCCAAAATGCATATTCGCATAAACTAATAACCATTAAACCCACATGATCTTATCATTTCAATTGCCATTTCCAATTAACTTTATCAACCCAAATCAAAGATTTTTCATGAAAAGAATTGAATATTGATCGTTTCCTCAAATCTCATTACACATTTCAATGGAACCACAGCAACAGTAAAAAGGTAAAAGTTAATCTACAATAAATTGTTGAAAAAATCAACTTATTATTCTTAGTCAAATAAGCAATTGAAATCAATTGACCAAGAAGAAGAAGAAAAAGAAGAAGAAGAAGGGGAAAAAAAAGTTAATCATGAATTGAGTCTGAATCCTGTAGCCTTGAGATGATGAATAAAGTCCCAAAATACTGGGGAAAAAGTATTGAGTTATTTACACAAGAATCAACCATTTCAAGGATTCAATTGATTAAACAAAGAAACAGTTTAAGATGAAAATTTCGAGTCAATCAATCGGAAGCTAACAATAGATATTGAGTTTTTTAAAAAGATGATCAAGACGGAAATCTCATGCAAACTTGCCATTTTAATGTTAATTTTAATGTTAATTTTATTGTTGAACAAAATAATCACAGTTGGATGTAATACTTAAAGTAACCAAAAATTACCTTTAAATCATCAAGACTGCCTCTCATCAAGATGATCATAACCTTCTTCATCTTAAGATTGTTCATCTTCCATTCAATTCACACTGTCATTCAAGGTGATGATGATGAAGGCAAATGCTCGTGGCTTTATCTGATAATTGCTAATTACAATTGAACAGCAAGATGAAATATCTCAACTTGTATTGGAGTTAGAAAGCGCTGCCGAAAAAAAGGTCAATTTTGTTGACTTTTCTTCTTCTTTAAGGTTAATAGTTGTTCACTTTTGTTGAACAACGTTTAATCATTGATAATTAACTTAATCGTTCAACTTGTTGATTTACTTCAAGTTGAAGACGTGTGTGTATTTATAGATATATTTGTACTCAATCATCATAAGTGTGACTCCAATTGTCTTGCAAGATCACATGAACGGAACAAGAATAAAATCTCATCCCTTGAGGCCATTTTCAATGACAATGTAAAGCTCAACATTAAAGTCAATTTGAAAGTAAATGTATTACATTGAGAATCATTTTATAACTTCATGATTTTGATTCTTGAATATGTTTACATTTTTGGAAAATGAATTTTCAGAAAGAAAAACATTTTCTCGAAAATTTTGTAAAACCTTTTTAAGAAGCAAAAATGACTGCAAAATGAGATTAAACTAATTTCTTGGTTATTACTTTAATCGTTTAATGGCTTGTTGTCATCTCAACCTGGGATGTAAATTTGAAAATAATATTGATAACAATAATAAAGTTATAAGCGACTTTTGGTGATGTTCAAGAGAAGCAAAAAGTGTAAAGTAATTCCATTGTTATCCATTTAAATGTTACCTTTTCAACAATCATTATAATATATAAATATAAATTGTAGCCAACAATTGTGGTCAACAATAAAGATTGAGACACTTTTCAGTTTTTCGTAAATCGTAAAGTGGACTTGGCCTTTAGAGGTTAGACAAGTTAGAAACACATATACATAAGTAAACGGTTAAATAGCCTGGAATCAACAATAAAAAAGGATTCTTATATTAGAATACATTTTTGTGAGCAAAATTTTGAGCTCTTTTCTGAGCTGCAAAGCAAATACAAACTCATCTAATAATTTAAATATAAAATATAAATATTAAAAAAATATGAAAACTCTTTTAGTTTTGACATTTTTAGTTCACTTTTTTACCTTTCAATTGATCGTTGGTTGATTGGGTTAACATAGATATTTTCAAGTTAAGCCGCTTTGTGCTTCAACAACAACACCAACAACAACAAGACACATCTTAACGGATTAATGGTGCCCATTGAATGGGACAAAAATGGCCTCTTTCATGATGGGAAGGCGTGAAGCAAGATACATACACTTGCGACCCTTGAAAATGTTTCAACGAAATAAAGGTGTGTATCCATGTTACCTTTTTCCAGATATTTTTACCACTTTTTCTTCTTCTTCTTCTTCTTCTTCTTCTTCTTCTTCTCAGCATCTTATTTTCATCTTTTCACTTTGTGTGTGTTTCTCATTGAAAGCTACTAAATGGTAACTTTCCTTTATCCCTTTGCAAATTGAGATGTTCAATCTTCTTCTCTTCATCATTGTTTCCTCAATCATCTCTATTGAACACACTTTCTTAAGACGCGTGTTTTTGTCTCCCTAATGGGCTTGGTGTGTTTGAATATCGACTTAACACTCAATTTGTCTTTTCATTTAGTATGCATCTGATCTGACAGGTAAACAAACACTTTCACCACTCGAACCAGTTCTCAATATAACTGCTAACTAATTGGTCACATTCAACGTTCAACTCTTTTAACCTGACAATGACTTTAAGTTTTCACCAAGTTTTCATTTAATTCAATCATCTAAATACAGGTAAAGAGTCAAATAACAATTAGACTTCAAGACAGCCATTTCTAGGTTAAAAATCAAAATGAAACAACAATCAAAATGGAAACATCTGAAAATACTTTAATCATTGAGCTATCAAAACATTTCCATCTCTTGTTGATAAATCACTCCAATAGTGAAATTAAATTTGAGATCTGTTCAAATCGATTATTTTTTTGTAATCGTTTTGTGTGTTCGTCGGTTGATCACTTGAAAAGTCCAACCAATAAGTAAAATTCATAGCAATTGACCTTTACCATGAGACAGACCATCAACAATGGTTAGTCAGGATGAGAGGCCAAAAACTGTACACAACAAAACAAACTAACATCAACAAGAAGATCAAACAAAAGCAATCAAAATATAAAACTCAAGAGGAACCATTGAAAGTAAAAAATTGAAAAGGTGAACAATTTTGTCTCTTTTTTTGTTGTTGCGTCGAAAAAAAAAGTTTTGATCAAAAATTTAATAACTTTGTCTCTTCGACCAATATTGACTTACAGATTAGCAAAGGAAAAAGAGATTTAAATTAAATTAAAGCAATTGAAGGTAACCCAATCTGATGAACGTTTCATCGTTAAACATTTGGATATCAATGGAAACAGAGACAAACATTGTTACCAAGATTAAACTGATTATTGATGTTATATTCACAGACACATTGATAAACACTTAACATGATAAGTGACAATGAGAAGCACTTCTGTTAACCTAAACCCGTGCAAAAAGCACGTTCAATAATCTAAATAACAACAATAAAGGGAAGACAAAAGCAACTGAATATTGTTATTGGAAGATGAAAAAAATGGAAGAAGAAGAAGAAGAAAAAATTACTCTTTTTTGCCTCAATTCATTGAACACTTTTGATATTAATAATGAAGAAGCAAAAGCATATCAAAAGTTGAAAGAGTTGCATGTTTACATTGGTATAGGGCAAGAGATTGATGATGAAGACTGAAGATGAATATAGTCTGTTGGTGAAACTTTTGCTTTATTCTGATATTCAAGTGGATCTCTTGAAGTGGATGAAGAGGAAGAGGAAAAATGAGAAATACTCTTCAAGATGATGGCGATGAAAGCAGCAACAACAAAAAAAAATCGATGCCCAGAATGATGATAATATTGATGATGTTGGATGGCAAAAAGAGAGATCCGTTTATTGAGAAGAAGCACAAAAAATCGTCCGCACAAGCAACGGAAACGCCATCAGTCTCTTTCTCTTCTTCTCCTCATCACTATAGCTTCAAGTGGCATCTCGACTCATCATCTTCTCATCATCTTCCTTGCCTGGTAAAGTCCGTCAAGTGTACTTAAAATGATAGACCCAAGAAAAGAAGAAGAGAGAAGAAAAAATCGAAACAGAAAAGGTATTGTACGTTATTCTTTATCATAAATGCATACATAAGTTTTAGCTTGATTCCTTTTCATCATCATTATCATCCTGATCATTGAAAAATTCAATTGAATTACTATTATTTTGATTGTTATGTGATGATTAAAAAAAAGAAGGAGGGAGAAAGTGAAAAGATATTTTCTTCTCTTCTTTTTTTGTCATCATTCTAATAATCATAATGATAATGGACACTTGAAGATATTGTTATTATTTTGGCCAGTTTTGGGGATAAAATAGTTTTGTAGGGTAACCACTGGATGATGCTTGATGATGATGGATCAAGGATGAAGGATGATGCAGGAGAGGGATGAAGAAAAGGTTAAGAAGATTGCCGCGTGTTTAACAGATTCAAGTTATTCTCAAACAATTGTCAACTTAACCTGATTCTTTGAACAACATTTTCTCAACTTACCTGGATTCACCTTTTGCACCAAAGTAACATTACCTTCCATCTGGCTTTCCTCTTTTCATTCACAATTTAATGTCAATTTATAATCGAAAGCGCCTTTACATCAGATTATCAAACTTACTTGACGATAGTTGACGTTTCATGTCAACGATAATCCAATAGTCAATCGGAATATCCATTCAATGTCGAAAAAGAAAAATTGACTTTTTTCAATTTTCCGTTTCTTCTTTCATCTAATCATTTTCTGATCATTTCCATTCAATGTTGATGAAAATTAGCAAAAATTTAGTTTAATTTTGATGCAGAAATTGCTTCGAATTGTTATCAAACTTTTAGTAACTTTTCTTTTAAATTACTCGAATTTTCGCACTTTTCGATTTTTGTTCTTTCTTTTTCTGTTCTTCCATCTAATCATTTTCTGTCATTTCGATTCAATGGCAATGAAAATTTCATTTCATTTAATGAAGAAATTGCTTCGAAATGTTATCAAACTTTTCTTTCATTTACTCAAATTTTCGATTTTCCGTTCCTTCTTCTCATCTTTCGTCTAATTATTTTCTTGTGATTACTGATAAAGGATGCATTTCGATTTCGATGAGGTTTCGTTTTTAATTCGAGTTTGTATTTAACTTTGCAATTCGATCACAAATTGTCAATGGAATGAGTTTTTGAATGAAATGCAATTGAAAATTTTGCGATTTGAGTTGCAATATTTTGAGGAAATGAATGCCACGATTTTCTGCTCAATCGAAGCAAACAATGCAAATGTTCATTTTTTAGGTGAAATCAATTCAATTCTGTTCGAATTTTTAAAGTTTATTTGGATAGAATGAAAATTTTGACAATAAATGAAAAAATGATAAACTAATAACTTTTCAAGTTGGCTTGATATCAGTGAATCTTTTGAAAGTTGAAGATGAAATTTTGTGACATTTGTGCTGAACTTTAATTAAATCATCTTTTTAATTGGGGTTGGTGACAGTGGTTTGATGTTATTAATAAATGTTGATTAAAAAAAGATTAAAGTAAATGATTGGTTAGCAAGTTGTTTATACTTGAGGGAGTTGATGGGCGGAGGATTCAGTGAAACATGTTGTTCAATAACCAGTCAAAGTGAATGAAAATAAAGTGAAGATAAATGAAGGTGGAGTTTTCATGTTATAGTAAAGGTTATGCTGGGAGTGAAGATGATTATCATTTGAAAAAAAAGTTATTTTTTCTTTTCTCTTTTTCTCCATGAATCAGGTAAAAATGAAGTGAAACTCTCTTATGATGAGTGTTTTTGTTGCCAGTGTAAACTGACGCACAAACCCATCAGCATTACATTCAGTCTGTCGCTTCGTCATTAGTTTTTGTTGTTGTTTCTCGATCGTTTTCATTGATTTTTTTTCTGAGCAAAAGTAAAGCAACAAATAAAAAGCCAATGAAAAAGTAACTAAAATAATTATCTTCAAGTAACTTGTCTTTTCCATCCTTTGACATTCTCATTCTGAATATTCACTCCTTCCTCTTGCATCTCCTCCTCCTCACCCATTTGACTATCATCCTTCATCTTCTCGTCTTTCCCTTGATCATCTTTACCTTCAAGTGTCCTTTTCTTACGATGATCCTTTCGATCAGTTTCTTATGCGAAATGTTGTCTTCAACTTTTACAAAGTTATCTTGTTCCCATTGAAGCGTGAGTTAGCAAACCTTTTACAGGAAGAGCAACTCATCCAACTCGGGTGAGCCAAGAGAGTTAGTGAGAGACTCTCAGGTCGAGAGATATTTCGAAGGTCCTTAAAACGTAAACCATTGCTAAGAATAAGGCAGTAAGAGATCGTACGAGTACCAAACAACTTGAGTTAAGTGCTGAAGAAAAAGAGATTCTTAAAGAAGGAAAACACAACAAAAGGGGAAAAAGAAAGAGGGTGTGAGAAAGAGAAGAAGAAGAAGAAGAAGAAAAAAAGATTCTCTCTCCATCTTCATCTATCATCCTGATCATCTCTCCTTCACTGTGTTCCCATGTATATATAAAATCATCTGGAGCACTGCTATGAATATAGGCTCAGCTGGATCATCATCATCATCGGCCGCTGCCGCTGCTGCTGCTGCTTCAGCTTATGGAACTTATTACGACTCTTTTTATCCCAATGGTGGACCTTCAACTTGGGCTGCTTACCCTGGACCTCAGAGTTTACCTTCAACTGTACCAGGGACTGTAACCAACAGTGGACCCAGTGGATCCAGTGTAGTTGGTCCTGGATCGTGTTTACTTGGTGCTTCATCTTCAGGTCCAAAGGGATTGACTTCAAGCCATTTCACTCCGGTTCACCAGCAGCGACGGAAAAGACGCGTTCTTTTCACCCAACAACAGGTAAGACACACTTATACATTGCATAGTGGTTAGTGATGATGATGATGGTGAAGATGGTGATGATGCTCAAGTATCATCCTCTCACTCTGTATGACCCTTCTCCATGGCATATTTTATCCTGTGGATGACCCTCAACACCTTTTCAAGTTTCCTTATCATCTCTCTTTCAATTCTCTTTTCCATCTTCTTCTCATCTAAATTGTCTAGGCTCCTTGATAATCACTAAGAGCAATTTAGGAGCGATTTAAGAGATATCATGCTCTCTTTAATCTTTATCATCTTCATCCTCGTCATCATCATTTTCGTCATCATTTTCATGATTCCTTTTTACATCAATTTGAGTAGTTAAAATGCTATGTACATATTTAAGTGGACCAATAACGAGATCATCTTCAAAAAAAACAAAATGATTACAATCATTTCACATTCAATGTAATTCTCAGTCAACCTTTTTCTTTAAAACATGAATTGGTTTCACATTTTATATTGAATGTCAATGGATCATTAAATTGTTGTCAATGAAAGTTAAACTGTTTTCATCTCTATCAAGGTCCATGAACTGGAAAGGCGATTTCGTTTGCAAAGATATTTATCAGCTCAAGAGCGTGAACAGTTGGCTTCAATTATTGCTCTAACTCCGACTCAGGTTAAAATATGGTTTCAAAATCATCGGTACAAGTGTAAGAGGCAACAAAAGGAAAAGTCAATGTCGGAATCTCCAGGATCAACTGAATCTAATCATCAAGTAAACAGCAACAACACCAACAATGGAAACCTAAACAATGGTTCAAACAGCAACAACAACAGTACCACCAACAGTACCAATGGACTACATTCAAACACTAGTTTAACCGGCTCTTCCTCTTCACCATCCCTGTCCTCGTCCTCAGTAAATCATCCTCACCATCATCATCATCCAACCAATGGATCAAGCTCACCATACTCATCTTCACCACGTAAAATAGCTGTACCTTTACTAGTAAAAGATGGTAAATCATTAATGTAAGTAACGAAACATTTTTACTAAACTCGATTGAATTGCAATTTACTCTTCTTGTTTCACAGATCGGGATCCTCTGAATCACCATCGTCTAATGATCCTTATGTTAAACAAGAGATGCTTCTAAGTGGATCCTCTGTTGTCCCACCGCCTCCGCCTCCACCAAACTCATCGTTAGGACTTCATAGTCAACAGTCTGTTGCTGCAGCAGCCTCTTACCATCATCATCATCACCATCATCATCCCTTCTCTGGTCCACCCAATCCCAATCCAATGGGTCCATCCATTTGTCATCCTTTTGCATCAAGTAATACCTTTCCTTTAGGCCATCATCATCAGAGTCATGTAACTTCAGCTGATCCTCACCATGAATTACCGCTAAACTGGTTCTGGCCCAAAACTTAAACTCCAACAATTAAGTGTTTCCACTAATTGTAAAACTTCATCTTTTAACCAAAACCCTTTTAACAATTTCTGTTGATCAACCTTTCAATAATATAATTTGATCAACTAAACTTAACGTTAACCAAACACTTTATTGAAGGAAAATGAATTAACTGATTTAACTTGATCAATTGCTATTTGATTATTCAATAGAATCAAGTGTTTTCTTTCTGTTCGCAATTTTAATGTAATTATTTTAACCTGTTAATAGTTATAATAAACGATAACAAACAATATACAAAACTGCTTCAAATTATTGGAAAGAAAATGAGACTAAAAACGAAATGTTTCATGGAAATGAACAACCAAGTTCCAAGTAAACTGTTCATATGCACATGAATACTTACTGGATATAATAGATCAGTGATTGTATTGATTTGATTTGCTGTCAAATGCATTTTCATCTCATTTTGTTATTGTTTGTTTCCCTTCATTTACACACACAACCAACAATCCATTCAATATTATTTACAAATAAAAGTGTCACCAAATGTAATTTAAAACCTTAACCAATATTTACTTTTAATGGTAAGTCAATTCAACTAAACCTGTTCATTTAACAGTTCAAAACTCAACATAACTCAACATGACCTAACAAACGATATTAATATTTGTATTCAATCCATGAAGGAATCTTTATTTAGAAATGAACAAAACTTGAAATTAAAGTAAATCCAGAAAATGGATTTTCTTGTTCAAATTGAATGACTAAATTGCAATGTAAGGAAATGAAGGGAAGAGTAATTAGAGCAAGACTGGTGTTCAACTGTCCATCGGTCAACATTTAATTGCCATTGAAAAGAGTAAAGTAAACAAGGTAAAGTAAGATGGAAGCCTTTGGTGAAAAGTTTTGACAGACAATAATATTCACATTATCATCATGTTATAATGAAACTGGAACGGAAATTAAAGGACAACAAACCAATGGATTGTTAAAAAGCATTGATCCGTGGAAAGGTGGACACAAGCAAAGTCGCCATTCAGTGTATTTAGACAAACATTAAACAACATTAAATTGCAATATCATTTCCAATCAACCAACAAATCAAATACAAGTGGACACTAAATACTTGGACAGCTTACTCCCAAGGAAAACTTGAGTTTCTAATGAAAACAATTTTCACCATTAATTGGATTGCAAATTGTTATTTGATTTAGCAAAAATAAAATTTTTCTTGTAATGATAATTTTTACCATCTTCAATCATACTCTTTATGAGGATAAATTTAACAGAAAAATGAGAAAACTTTTTCTTCGTCTCAACTCTTGTTTTGTTTTGCAGTTTACCTTCTGAATACAATGAAGAGAAGAAGAAGAAAAAAATGATGAAAATCAACAAGAATATTATTATTTCAAGTATTGTTTAACCTGACTATTATGTGTTATAAGAATAAGAATAAGGTAGAAAAGAAGGAGAAAAATTGATTCAACTTGAAACTCAAACTGCATTTGCTCAATTGATTGGCATATAAACAAACAAATCGCCATCTTCTTCGGACAATGAACGAAGTAAGCACAATATCATTGTCTATTATCTTTCTTTCAATGCTTATCCTTTTTCGCATTTCTTTTTCTTGTCATCACTCTTCATCATCCTCATCATCCTCATCATTATCATCTAAGTAAACATAATAATACAGCAAAACTTAATAAATGAGAAGAGCAAAAAGTAAGCAGAAAGAGAATAGAAAAATAGAGAAGAAGAAAATCAATTTTCACTCGAAATGCAAGTTATTTTCACTCAACACATTTCCAATGACTTTTTGTTCTTCCAATTCTTGACTCATTTCACACAAAAGACCAAAAGTCTGAAACTGACCACAACTCATCAAAAGCTTGATACCTTACGAACATCAAATATCCAAAAAAAGATAATCACTGAAACATTCAACAATTAAATTCACCAAAACTCAAAAATCTCTTAAAATTCATATCAACTAAGCTGCTCAAAGAGTCAACTTTAAAATTGAAATCTAACTTTGAATTCAGTGAAAAGATCAAGTTGACCATTTAACATTTAACTCACGTACAAAGGAAGCGAATATCAACCTTTGATTAAAAGCGATTTGACCACAAAAATGACCTAAACTGGGTCGATGTAAAAGTCGAAGAAGTCGAAAAAATGGAAATGCACATCATGTGGTAATGAATAAAATGTTGAACCTTTTAACAGGGAAAGTGAAACGTTGAATAAGGTTTACAGTTGATGGATTCAATTGTAAATCATTTTGATGCAACAGGAACCACAAAATGTGTTAGATTAGGTAAAATTGTAAAACAACTTAAACAACTTCGTCTTTGCCTTTCATTTTCACAGAATCAAATTTACTTCTATTAATTTACATTGAAAATTAATACACATTTTTAGCTCAATACTTTCACTATCAATATTTTGATTGGTTCATTAAACCTATTCAATTGAATCATGTTTAATATCTTTTCAGGTACTTTCACTGTTGTTCCCTTCAGTTTTTTTATCATCATAACAATACGTTTATGCTTCACTCTATTATATAATATCTATATATACATAGATATATTAATAATGTTATTATTATTCAATTGATAAGCAACCAAGTTCACACTTGATAAAGTAAAATAAAAAATCACTTTTTTCCGCAACTTTGCTCTTCCATCTTTCCTTTTTCATATTACACTAAACATTTCATTGATTCACCGTTTTTCATTGACTTTCATATTAACAATTGTAGTCATCATTTTGCCACTATTTATATACAAATATATCACATCGTTAACAAACTCACTGGAAAACATTCATATTTTTGGGTGATCTTTTCAGGTTTCCCACAAAACCAATCAACAAATCTGCTTTTACGGTCAACAATTTCATTAAACTGTACATTCATTCATTGCTATTGTTAGCATCTTTGATCCGGTGAAACACTTAGACAGTTAAACTGTAATGCGTTATTGTCCATTAATGACCGCAAAATAGAACCGCAAAACTCGAGTTTACAATAATTACGGCTGATCACAAGCTAATGTCACCTAAAGGGACTTTGCCTCAACATTATTCAAAAGTCTTAAGTTTACCTTTGTCATTCCCTTTGCTTTAAAAAGGGTTAACTTTTTTCAAATCTTTTCTTTCAGCATTTTACTTTAGAATGAAAAAGATCAAAAATTTTCTTCTTCCATCTTTTTCTCTGAAAAATCTGTCTCTGATTTATCTGAAGAATCAAAGATTTTCTCATTTCTAAATCAACTGCAGATGAGTTTGGATTGAGTTGGAATTACAAAGTTGGAGCTTCAAATATTAACAAAAAAAGTTGGATAATTTTGAAAGAGTGAGTTTGTTGATGAAATTTAATTAAAAACTGATTTTCTTTGTGATTTGGTTTTTTCGATTTCTAATAATTGAAGCAATTCTGTGTGAAATGAATAAAAATAATGAACACAAAATGGCACACTTTTTACAGTTGGTTGACTTCGACTTTGACTTGCAACTAAATCTTTCAATTATTAAGATTAAGAGACAACCTTTAATCCGGGATTAAACTGGTTAAAGTTGAAAATTTTGGGTAAACTTTATTTTCTCATTAGATTGTTGACTATTGTAAATTGTGTGAAAATGTGATTACTTATGGTTAGTTGATTTACCTGAAAGCATCAATGGTTAAACCACTCCTTTACTAACAATGTAAACTTCAACTTGTCACCAAACTCGTAACCTTACGCGATGTCAATAAATAAATATACATTTGATTGTTATCATTGTTGGAATAATTGTTGGTAAAAATTTGTCCCAAAAAAGGAAAGAAAAATGTTTCTTGCAAAATATGAAGTACGCTTGATGTAACAATATGCAAGTTAACCAATTCAATAAGGTTATTCACTTGATTAACTGTTAATGTGTTCAAAAAAACAGGTTGTTGGTTAATTGTGGTGTTAAATAATAATCACAATAATCGTAATTCAATAATAAATGTGAAAATATTTTCACATTTGAAAAGGTTTCCCAAACAAATGGGAAAAAGTGTCTTCTCTGTAAATTTACATTTTCAAATGTAAATTCAATTTTTAACAAAATTTTACTCTTCCAATCAATTTATTGATTAACAGCAATTAATTGACTTTCAATATTTCATCTTTTCATAATGTAATACTATACATTAGGCACTTGAATTATTGCAAATCAAATGTTAAGAGAGAGAAATATGTTAACAATTTAGCCTCATTTTGAGCTGGTTGGTAAAAATGAAATGCAAATAGAGTGAAATGTTTTCCTTTAAAAGTAACCAAGTTTGCATTTTAATATTTACTGTAACTAGAAACCGAATTACGTTGAATGAGCTTCTGCGAACTCAAGTGATCTCAGAATTACCTTTCTTCTCCTGTCGACCTACCTGTATTGTGTGTGGTCTTACAATGGTCATTTGGCCATTATCAAGATGAGAAACAAGCTTCAAGTTCTTGATCTTTAAGACAAACAAAAGGGCTAATTGAGGCCTGGAAATGTGCTTCAATCAAATTGACTTTACATTTCATTTTATGCCATTTGAAGCACATTTTAATTTTCAAATTAAATTGTTCAAATTTAGTGACAATTTGAGTTTGAAAGAGCGACTAAATTGGATTGATGAAGGCAACAAAAATTAGGATTGAAAAGACATTATTTTGCGGTTATTGGGGTTGAAGCATTTTATTAACAACTTGTTAATTGTTGCTACTTAAAATTGACCAAATCTTTGTGGTCAGGTTCAACAAATAGAGAGACTATTTGTGTAAACCTTTTTGCTGGATGTGTTGGACTTATCCTGGAATCAGATTTAAAGTGGATTTATTGATTTGCTCATTGAAACTTGATCAGTTGAGAAGATTAATAATCTATCAATGTTCATCCATTGGGCAAATATTTAATAAGCAAATGTCAAAACAAGAAACCATGAAAAATGTTTATCTTGCAGACAGAATCTTTTACCTATTCTTTATGATCTCATCTCAAGAAAATTGATAAATAATGAGTAAAAAAAGATGAGCTTCAAGATGAAGGAGGAGATGATGAAGAGATGAGCAAGAGGATGAAGAAAAGATGTAACAAAAAAAATGAATAAACTTGTGTTATTGGCATTAGATAATTAGCTGAATGTCATTTCAATGAAACAATGTTTTTCACTTGTTTTGCTTCTTTCCCATGCTGTCCATTTGTGTCAATAATGATTATTAATGCAAAAATTGTAATTGTAAAGAGTTGTTACATTAAACATTTGTATAATCATGTTTAATCATGTTCAACAAAATTGTCATTTCAGTCTGATAATTGGAATCATTTGATCGTGATGTTTCCATGGTTTTTACGGCCTTTTGTTGAACCACTTCATTTTAATTAACCATTAATGATACATAATAATCAATTTGCAATTACGGCTGCTATTTTGAGTGTTTCAACGTAAAGATTGAAATGATTAGTTGATATTTTTTGGTCAATCCAAAAGTAAACAGTTTTTTTCCTCTTCTACTGTTGCTTTTGTTCATTGAAACTAAAATTTAAAATTAGCGGTTAAATAAGGTTAAATGAAGAGTGAAAAGTTAACAATTTAAAACGGAATTAGATTAACAATAAAAAAACGTGAAAGGGAAAGTATTGAATAGCATTTGCCTGAGGCAAGAGCAAAATCCTTTTCTCTGGCTCTTCCATTTCAAAAGTTAACCTTACTCTTGATTAACCTAATTGATTTACTAGTTTTTTCACTCCCAGTAAATTAGCCTTGTAAACACAAAAATTACAACCAGCTTATTATATTAAGATAACTTGAGGCAATAAAACATCTCCAGTTGACTCTTCATCTTGATCAGTCGAGTGTAATACAAATTGTCAGTCATGTGTAGGCCTTGTCAAGGAATCTTATATGATAACTCAATGAGGGGTCTTCCTATTAATATCAAAGAGCCATCATTTTTTGGATAACATTGAATTATATTGAAATATTGGGTCTTCATCTTTTGCGATCTTTTTTTAATATTTAACTTTACCTTTTCTTTATATTTTAATATTTTCAGTTTTTTCCCCTCAATCTTTTTTATTTGATTTTGAATGGCTAAAGGTTGGTAGAATGTTGATTATTGAACATTTACTGGGATTTAACTTGATTTAGCACTCAATCAATATCCGATCAAACTTTTCTAATCTTTAATCTGATTTCTATTAAAATTTGTTGAGTGGGATTAATGTATTTCTCCTTTGATTTCCTTCATTTTATTTCATTTTCAGATTAACATGAAGATGATTTAATCTGTTGATGATGATGAAGACTCTTGAGGTTGATTAAGATTTTTCCTTTTCTTTTTTGATTCTTGGTTAAACTGATTGCTCTTTACCATTTTTTGTTGATTGAACATTAAATTATTTTCTTTTCAAATGCAAACTCCAATCTTTATTTTCAAGTTACCAAATAGTCTGCTAAGGATGCCTATTTCACCTTGCTACAGGACTAATGCATACTGGTCTCCAAACGGAAAATGCTGCATGAGGAGAGAAAAAGAAAGAACTATTAAGATTATTTCAGAATTGTTCAAACCATAGTTAGTCTATAAAGTTCAATTGAATTTTAAAATATTACATTCCTTCCTTATAGTCCTTGTTACTCCACTGTGATACTTTATATTTCCTATTTTGCAAGTCTATCACTGATTTTGATGACAAATGGTTCCAAATATCTGTCCCTTCTTTGCATATCTGCGAATATAAAAAAAATAATGTTTTAAGTTAGCAAGATTTCGATGAGTTAAATTGAATTCAAGAGTTTTGAATGAACAATCGGTGAAATGGTTTGACTATCTCCCTTTCTGCTATGAATTGAAACTACTCTGAAATTATCTCAAGTCAAAGCAAGTCGATAACAGCATGTTCAGATTCCATAATTTGTAATAAATGAATTTCATTAGGTAGATTAACTGAAAAAAGCACGGGCTTCTAATTACAGTCTATCCATTAGTAATTTTAACTGTTTTTATTTGACTTGAATTGGTTTAACAGTTCATAACGAATGCGGTCTCATACTTAAATGCTTTCATACTTTCATCTTGATTGTTCCTTTTAAACACAGATGAATGAAATTTGAACTATCTGTTGATAATACTGGGTTCAGGGTGTATTCAAACATAACTTAAAATGCACTTAATACAAAAATTTGTTGATTTTATTGTAATTGATTTGAATTGAAAATAAACAGTTTACAGTAGACCCTCGATTTTTTTTCACCCTCGGTTTTTTTTCAAAAGAGAGCCATCTACTGAAAAACTACATCAAACAAACAAAAAAAGCTTTAATGTGCTTAATAAACACATAGAGTTTCATAACCCTTTATAATACAGCTAGATGGAGCTGTCATGATTTTCCTCGCCCGATTTTGATAAAAAATCGAGGGTCTACTGTAATGAAAAAATGGTTTATTGGAAATGCAGCTTCATCTGGTGATGCAAATTTGAACTTTAGAGTTTGTGAGCCATTAGGTGTCACCACTGTTTGTAAACACAAATCTTGTCTTTATTTCAAGACAAATTTTGTTTATATTTTTTTCATTAATTAGTTTGGTTTTGTTTGTTTTTTTGTAATTAGCACCATTAAGATGCAAGTTTTGAAAACAGCTGTAGTTGCCTTGAGAGCAAATTTATTCAATTCGATGAATTTGGTCAATTGCAAATTCAATTTATTAAGACCATGTGTTCAACCTCTAGTCGCTGCCATTAATCATCAACAGATCCGTGGACTTAAACATAAAGATATGTTAACTCTTCGATGTCCTGATTGTTATTTTAAAAAAGTTGAAGACGATTGGTATGTTCTATGTCCAACTTGGCCTAGGCACAAACAAATTGAACGAAAGGTGGATATTAGAGATAGGTGGCTCGTTACCCATAGGACTCGGAGAGGGAAGCCTTTCATGAAAAAAGAGGAAGCTTATATAATCGGTACCTGTCCTCCCGGACCATTTGACTATAGAATGAAAGTTGGTCAAAGATTAAGGATTCGTAGAAAATATCTTCATCCAACTATGGAGATAACGCCTGCCAAGGATTTGAGGAAATTCAAGCCTAATATCGTAATTGGAATGACTCGCATCCCTCCCGGTGTCACAAATCCACCACCCAAATGATTAAACGTTATTTTCAATGTAGTTTTGATTTAATTTAAATGAGATAATGACTTTGTATGGATGTGTCTGAAAATATCGCTAATTTGATTTCACCAATTTCCATATTCCTTACCTCACTTTGTTACCTGAAACAATTTAGGTTGAATTAAAAGTGATCTCAAACATTAAATTGGTTTATATTCTGATCCAATGGAATAAAGGAAGTGATTTTATCATTAAAAGAAAATCTAAATTGTTACAATTTAAACATAATCTATCTTATTCCATCATTGGCTTGGTTGAATGGCAGCGAAACAATTTACTGGATAATCAAAACTCTAAACCAGGGAATTACTGAAAATGTATATCAGAGTGGAATGACCGGCTGTTAAAAGAGAATCTTCATAATTATTTCAAGGAACCAGAAAAGTGGAACACTTTAGAATACTTAATGTTGAATTAATTGGCAAGAAAATGAAAGTAAAATGTGTTCAATATGAAGACAGAAATTTCCATCTAATTGAGTATTTTGCGTTGTTAAATTGGTGATTAAAGCTTAGCTTTAACAGCAATAATTGGCAGGAAATTTATTACTGCCTAAATAGTGGACATTATTATTTTAATTAGATGAAATGATGAAGTTCCTGTTGATTATAATGACGATGAAAGCAATCACCATAAAGAGTAAGGTTCAAAGATTAAGTCAAACCTTGAATTGGACTGTTTATCGAGCCACTACTAGCCTCTCCAAGTGAACATTGATTGTTAACAATAAGATGTCTGCTTACTCATCAACTGGTCAACTTGTTCTTATTTTTATACTCACCTCTCACTCTTCCACTACCTGTTTGTAAAACAGTGAACTGTTGTTTCCCGGATCACCTTAATAAGCTACTATTCAAATGAACAAGAAACAACATTTCACTCATCATCATTATTATTCTCTACTATTATTACTTACCTGATTATCATCTCATTCTGTTTAAAGAATGGACAACAAGTTATTTTCAGATCATCAAAAAAAAATCACCACAAACTTTCACTTTAGTCGGAAAACAAGAAGCAAATCTTATTCGCATTCAAAGTTTAAACTTTTCCTCATTACATGAAATAAGTCCATCTTCATCTTTCTCCTTATACCCGTCATCTTTTTTTATCATTTTAAAGCTTTACCCTTAACATCTTCATCATACACTTTCGTTGTTTGCCTCACACCATTTGGCCAACCAGTCCAGTCAACATCACCTAACTGTACATGTTAACCTTTGAATACGTTCACTTTAAATCTATTAGTTTCATCTTAAAATCATCACCAGTCTATCCAGAAATTGGGTCAATTCATAAAGAAAACCAATGAACTTTTTCCATTGAAGGATTAAAAGGAAATCTGCTTTTCATTTTCATCTACTCTTCGATCTTTTAAAATCTCGTTGTTTCATCTTGAATTCACAAACCATGTCCAACCATCAAATGAATTATCTAACTTCGTTTGTTCTGCTCTCGTTGATTCAGTTTATCATCATCACTGACGCTTCACATAGTCCTAAGCTAAAAGTTAATTTTGGTGTCAATTTACCAGCTTTAAGCTTCAAATTGCCCTCAATGTCTCTACCAAAAATGCAGATAACAGCAGTTATTAAAGGTTCCAGACCTAAACCAATGAATATTCAACTGCCAGCTATAAGTCTCCATGCTAAATCATTGGAAGACACTTGGGGGAGTGAAGGTGGTGAATACAATCAAGGCTATTCAGGATACTCAGGAGGAAACAATGGAAACAGTGTCGATGAAGGAAAGCCATATGAGACTGGATATGCAAGTGAAAATGAAGAGGATTTTGCTGATCCTAATGAGGATACCTTTGATAGTGAAGATCAAAGTGAAACTAATGGAGATCAACAATTTGATAGTCAATACAATTCTGGTCAATCTGTTAACCAATCACATGTTCAACCACCTAATGGCAACAATTATCAAAATAACAAAGGTTTCTACGAAGTCCAATCTCCTAACATGAATCCAGCAAATGGCCAGCCAAATATGATGAATGGACAAACAACTGTCAATCCTGAGAAGAATCAACCGATAAATGGAAATTTGTTTCCTGAAATGGTGCCAAATCAAAAATATCAACATCAGATGAATCATAATCAACCCAGATGGAACCAAAATGCTGTGCAAAATCAGGTTGGTAAATCTAATTAATTAACCTGAATATGCTATTCAAATAAGTGGTTAAAACATTTTCTCTCTTTTTTCATTTACACCATGAATTTTATGATAGCCAATGAAACACTTGAACCCAAACAACCAAATTTATGGAGGACACAACATGAACAACGGAGAAAGGCATTTCATTGTTAAATTACCTCACAATTTACAGTTGCCACAGGGTCATTTGGTAAACAATGGACTGAATGGACATCAGCTAAATGGTAATGATAACGAGAATTTTATCCATCAATTACCTTATCTGAAGAGAATTGTTGTTAACAATGAACCAATCCGATTAGCTAATCCAATTGCTTTCAATAACAATGACTACAGAGCTCAAATAGCTAATAATCAAGCTGGCTTCTCTAAGAGATCGATTATCGTTCCTAATTATTACAGATATGCCATTTTAGCTTGAATTTGCTATATTATTCAATTTTAATTTTTAATGTTTCATTTTTATTTTTAACTTTTACAATCATAATTTACTCCAATTATTGACTACATCGGAGCTTTTCAAATATTTTCTAGTTAATGGCTAAAGCTTTAAATTAAGTTTAAAAAAGTAAGAAACAAATGATAATTTAAACTATTGTTTTATTTTCACAAATTTATCTCTTGTATCCAGGTTTAGTCAACAGTCAGTTGTAAAACAAAACCTAAATTGAGCATAAAATGTTCATCTTGACTCTCATACAAAACAATTTTCACATGTTAATCTTGATAAAGAGAAACAAGATTTATATTATTTAATAATAAAATAACTATTTAACTAAAACATGTTATTTCCATGATTGTCTTAAACTAATAGAAATTTTACAAAGTAAGTTGTATTGAAGTGGTTGAACGTAACCAGGTTTGACCGAGAAAGAAATGAGTTTTTGTTTCAACTATTTCTAGAGCTTTCAACACAATAACGTCAATTAAATAACAGAGATTCAAAACCATGCTTGAGCCAATCAGCTGCACCGAAGTGAAAAACGTCTAAACCTTTAAAAGCTTTAAACTGTCAACTGAGTTCCACAATTCGCTCTAAAGGTTTTAATCGGACTTTGGAAAGGTTGTGAAGTGAGCCTAAACCCGATGCTACAGGACAGTCTTTCACAATCTTATAAAATCTTGACTCAGTTAATGGTTCAATCAATAGATTAGAAGCTGCAAGTTTCATTGATGTCAAAAATTTCGTAGAGAAACGTTAATTTTGCCTTAAATGTAGATAGTCCATTTAGCGATCAACGTTTTCAAGAAAAGCTTTCATATCGATGTCGGTTATGTTGAAATTACGGATTATTGGACTTAGGGAATAGAAGACTGAACTTGATCAGACCCGCGATGTTCAAATACCCTGATATTTGTCCTACTTTTTATTTCATTTTCAGCATTAGAATGAACTGCATAGGATGAAAATTTCCAAAAAGAATCCAATTCTTTGTCAAAAATTTGCCATTTTCAACAAATTGCCAACACTTTCCTAAGATTGTCTTTGACGACCTGTGGATATCTCTCTGGATTTAGCGTTCAATAATTTTCAATCCATTCTGAAATATCTGCCAAATCAACATGACTATCTAAAAGAATGGGAAGAATTTGGTTGAAGAAAAAAAAATTAGGCTTACAATGAATAAATGGATCATTGAATCACAGTGTCGACTGCAACAACATCAAGTTTTGTTATTCAATAAATCTTTGTGTTCTTACCTTAATTTGGTGAAGATGAATCTGCCAGAGATAGAGGTTAATGTAATTATATTAACAATCATCATAAATAGTTGTGTACATCAAAAAATGAAAGAAAGCAGGAAAAAAGAGAAAAGGTCAGATGAAGAATGTTAATAGAAAAGGATGTTTTGGTTCCTAGATAAAATGATTGTCTCAAATTAAATTCTATATTTGCTATAAAATCAACTTTGAATCAAGTTTGAACTGGAAATAACTGAATCCACCAAGCATCAAGAAAATTTCAGGTTAGTAAATCTTTTAAAAATGATTTGAGAAACAAAGAGACTGAATTGAAAGTGGCGCTTTTTTTAAAAGGATACAATAGCGGCTCACTCATCATGGCTCAGAGCATTTTGACGGCTCTTTTAACATTTCGAAACTCAAAACGGAATAATTTGAAAATAAAGCAAAGTGCGCAAACGCAGAAATTTGATTTGGGTCAGTTTATGACTCTGAAACGTCTGATCTCATTTCCAAAAAACCATCTGACTCCCTTGATCTACCTTCCTGATTTTATTGTGATTTATTAATTCCAACAATGTCAGAGCCTAATGAGCGTATTTTCAACCTACAGAGTAGATTTAATGGTTATCGTGATCATCATGACCAAAGAATGAAACGCCATTTTGGTGAGTAGAATTTTTTGTGTATAAAATTACTTTAAATTAACATTTCTTTTCTTTTCTTTTCATTTTCGAAATATTACGATAGCTACATTAGATGCTCGTGTGGATAAGTCAAGAAAAGAAGTAGTCTTACTACAGAAACAAATTTCTAACAACAATAATAACTCTAAGGGCAAGTCACAACTACATAAACAACAGCAGCAAAAACAACAAAAACAGCAACAGCAACAGCAGCAGCAACAACAACTACAACAACAGCAGCAACAACAACAGCAGCAGCAGCAGCAGCAACAACAACAACAACAACAGTCGCAGCAGCAAGAACAGCAACATCATCAAATGCAACAACAACAAATTCAACATCTTCAACCACAACACATGCCACAGCGATTCCAGTACCAGAATCAGCATCAGCAACTTCAACAGCCCCAACAAATGCAACAACAGAACCAGCCGAATCATCAACAGCTCTTAAATAATGTTCAAAACAATAATATGTACAATACTCAAGGATTTCAGCAAGCTACGAACAAGCCCCTTCAGCCTCTTCAGCCTCTCCAGCCTCATCAGCCTATTCAATCTCATCAGCCTATTCAATCTCATCAGTCTATTCAATCTCATCAGCCTCATCAACCCTTACAGTCTCATCAACCCTTGCCGTCTCATCCGCCTCATCAGTCCATGCAGCCTCAACATCCGCAGTCACAATATCAGCGGCAGACACAATTTCAACAAGTTCAACACCACAATGTTCTTCAAAATCACATTCAACCTAATCAATCTCACCAAACTCACCAAACTCAACAATCTCATCAGTCTCATCAATCTCATCAATCCCATCTATCTCACCAAAATCAACAGCTTCATCCACAGACGCAGTACCAACGATTTCCTTTGACGCAGTCCCAGCAACTACATTATCACAACTATAACAATTATTATTCTCAAGAATTTATAGAATTGAAAGACGAGGATCTTGCGTGTCTTGACAGTTTCCAGTATTCAGCCGAGCTTCCACTGTCTGGACTAGCTCAAAATCCTGAAACTGAAATATATGCTGATACTACATTCGTCAAAAGTCTTCTTGACAGTTTTGAATGACTCAAGCTCAGGACTATAAAATGTCATATGACTTATCAATAAATTTAAATTTTCTATTTTCAATTAATATTATTAATATATGCAAAAAAAAACAATATTGAACAATAAATTGTAATTTGATTGGATTTTTGTTAACCATATCGTTACAAGTTGATTAAATATTGCTCAAGATAAATTAAGCCGAGTTTACGATCAATCAATAAGAATATCGTCAGTAACTTGATTTGATTTACTAGAACTCGTACCGAAACCTTGAGTTTCCTTATTGAATTTAAGAGTTATACTTCCTAAATCACCATCATACCGGTTTTTGCTTATTTGTAAATACTTCCTTTGCCTTGTATTACCTTTCCATTCAACTTGAAAAATAAGTATATTATCAGCTTCCTGACTTGCTTTTGCTCCGCCAAAAATTGAATTTAAGGTCAACTCTCCTGAATCTTCCTTCCTTGGGTGGATAACAAGAGTTATATGGCACTCTTTTTCGGTTGCAAAACTTCTACATGAACCAATAACATGATCTTGATATTCATATCTATCAAGATGAAAATACTTCTTGTTTCTAGTTCCCATCATAAATTGTAAATTGTCAATTATAACGTGCTTAACTTGATGGTTGGTAACCGCTTCTTTCATGGTTGCTAAGACATTTTCAAAGGCTTCAGCTCCATGATAATTCATAAAATACATTGGTAATTCAGTAAATTTATCGGCCCAGTGATCAAATTCCTGTAAATTAGCACTTAACTGCTTTTGAGCAAGTTGGTTCATCATAGCCTTACACAGACGAGTGTTTTGGATCTCAAAATTGCCCCAAAGAGTGGGTACGCCTTGAAGACATAGATCTAGACAAGGAAAAGAAAACGGAATAATTAAATGTTAATTTCTTACGAGGAGAAGAGTTCCTGTTCTGTAGGAACTTACTTTAATAAGATGGTTTCATTTAGATTAATCGAGGAATGAACTACCTAAAGAATATTCAGACAAAAAGGTTGTCTTTCCACAGCCTGTTGGCCCAGTTAATACTGTCAATTCACCAGGACGGAAACCTTTCAAATACTTATTGATACCAGGAAATCGTTTCCATCTAATTCCTTCTAACTGTTTGTGATTCACTATCTCATTATAAACACCTTTACGAAGTTGCACGAAAGTTAACAAACTCCTATTGTGAAGAAAAAGCAACGTAAAACAATGGATCGATTATTAAGCATTTAGGAAGAGAAAAAAAACGAAACTTACTTTTTCAGTGATATTTTGCTCATTTTTTCCAGATAAATAGACAGTATTTTAGATAATGAAAATCAATCAATTGAAAGTAAATTAATTATAAAAAAGATTATCTAAAATAACAAAACCAAGACATCACGTTAAAGAAACAACAATCCAGATGATACCAATCATTGGCAACCAATGTGCTTTGAAACATATGATGTTAAAAAGACAGCTGATATTTTTGAACCTATCTTAACCTGGACTTGAGACTTTCAATTTAAATATAAATCCATTATACAATGAAAATAGTTAAAACTAATTGCCTATCATAAAATTCACTTGAACATCCAACTTTTCTTTATGTAAAATGATCTCCTGGTTTAAAAGATAATTAAATAACCAAACATGTAACGTTTTACAAAATAATGGTTTGCCAGTATCAACAATTATTCACGTTGAAATTGATATTTCCAGAATATTCAATAACAACACATGTGAGTATAACTTGTAAATAATTAAAAATGAAAAGTTCATAAATAGCAAAAGTTTTTTACAGACAGAAACTAAAAGTGCATGATAAGATTATTCAGATGCAATTTCATTGAGTCTGTCTCAATATTGCAAAATGACTTTATATCCACCCTCCGAGTTGCTCATAATACAGTGATTTTGATTGAAAAGACCAAACATTCACAATGAAGATCAGGTTTTACAATGAAAAGACTGGACACCGAGGTGCGAATTTTTAAAATGTATTGCTTTTGATAATGAAGAGACAGTTTTGGACAAAAGGGAGACTCGCTTGATAAATGAAGAAACCAATTCACTTGTTTAGTTGACTTTTAGTATTTTCAGGGACCGGCCTTTTTGCACCACTTTATCCACCACCAAATCAAACATCATCACTTTTAAAGAGACTTTTCTCAACAAAATTGTCCACCACAAGTGGCTTTTTTCATCACATTTCAAACAATTTTTTTGAGATTATCCACCGCCGAATCTAACAGATCCACCAGTTTGATGAACAAGTTATTCCTGTCGGTCACAGGAAATCGAAACTAACAAAAATTCATCACCCAAAACTCAAATAATGAGCCAGTAAAGATTGTACAGGAAAATTGAAGCTCAATAGCTTTACATCATGTTTGATTATAAATTGCATTAAAATAAATGGCAACTGTGATTCATAATGACCTGACGACGTTTAAATGCTAACACTGTAACTTCAAAATGCATTCGAATTACTTTCGTTTATCAACTCAATATGTCATTCCACAAAATCAGAAAACACGTGATGTCGCTAAATCGTTCATTAGGTTACTTGATTAAGAATAAATAAGAAATTCAGAGAAACTCAAAATTTGCGGCTTTTCGCTTCTTCGGTTTTTTACATGATTTTACTCACAATTATTTTAGTATCAATAACAATTTCGCAAATGGGACAAAATTGAATCCTTGTAATTCCTGATCAAATTTCATGCAACATGCAAAGAGTTGCCGTTTTGATAAAAACAGTATTTTTGTCCAACTAACTATTGAAAAATTTTCTGACACCCATGGTGCTAGAAATACAGGGCAATTCAGTCTCATTTACTTCAACTTACTAACAAAACATACTGCTTTCTTATATTTGAAAAATATGCTTTTGAGAATCGAAGGGCAATTTTTGCAAAGTTTTAAGGTCACTTAAGGTCATTCATTCATTTGACCTCCTAGGTCCTTTGACCTTAAGGTCATTTTTGAATAGCCCAACATTTTTCGCTTTGAAAAAAAAATTGAAATAAAAAGTCAAAAGTCTTCTCTGAGGAGATTTGAAAGAAACTTATGAGGAGCTACACAAGTTTCTTTCAAACCTTGCTTCGAAAATGCTTCGAGAACGATATCTTCATATCAGTTGTTCTTGATACTTTTGCAGAGATAAACTTATAGCGATGAAAAATTGGGCTATTCGCAAAGGAACTTCATAAGTCGTTTGAAGGTCAAATAAACGAATGACCTAAAACGACCTGAGAGCTTTGAAAAAATTGTCCTTCAAAATCTACAAAAATGTAAAAGTATCCTTTATGTGGAGATTCAATGTTATATGAAATTTTATTATAATTATGCTAAAATTATTAAATGGCAATGATTTGAATTTTCAATTTCAATTATCAGTGATAATATGGAATTTGAGCTTTCAGTTGATTTAAATTGCTATTAGTTCTGAATCGTTGATCATTTTTAATCGACAATTCAACTTGCAACTTAAAACTTTCAAAAAATGACGAATTAATTAAATCAAAATAAAAGTATGTTATCAATGTGTTTAATCATGAAATTGGGTGCAAATTAAAGAAAAAATATTGATTATTTATTTTAGAAAATTCGAAACAATTTAATAAAAAATATGGCAATTAATCATTAGCAAATTAGTCGGAGACTTTTGGGTTTACCTAATAAAAGCAATCGACCGACTTTTGATTCGACAAGTCTTGAACCAAAAGTCACTCAGCCTTGATTTTTAGAGTAAGAGTTTCCACTGTCGTCCGCTCTGTCACAAGGCTATTGTTTAAGACTTTCTCATATTTAGCCCAAAATAAAAAATGGTTTACTGGGTACTGGCTGTTCGTGAATTGCTCGTGAACTTTGTTGCAAATGCAAGCAAAAGTATGAATTGCTTGAATTTCGGTGACTTGAACGCAGTCAAACTCATAATTATTATAGCTGGACAATAGACAAAATGCTTAAAAAATCAATCATAAAAATGAATCCTTGGCGCGAGAATAACTTTTGTTTTCCATCGATTTTTATGCAATAATCTATGGAGATACAGTGTTAATTCGTGCATTTCTGATTGCTTTCCTAAGGATTCATTTTCATGATGATTTTTTTCAAGCATTATGTATATTGTCCATGCTATAATACAGCATTTCTCGATGACTTTAGACAAGTTCCCAAAATGTTTAGTCGACTTCTCAAAATGTTTAGACAAAATCTTAAGTTGGTCGTAAAACCAGTTACTCTTCTCAGAATGTTTCGACAGTTCTCATATTGTTTAGTCAAGTTCTCAGAGCATTTAGACAAACGGGTTTCTCAAACCGAATTGAAAAGGCAGAAGCAATCAGAGGTGGATTTGAAATATAAGTTTTTTAGTTTTTCAATTAAAATGTCCGAAAATTGTACCAACAGAGGTTCCTATTAATAAGATTATTGATGGTCATCGACCAAAAATTGTGAATGTCATATCAAACGGTTTGAAAACTCTTTTTGTCTAAATGCTCTGAGAACTTGACTAAACCACATGACAGCTGTCGAAACCTTCTGCGAAGAGTAACTGCTTTTCCGACCAACTTAAGATTTTGTCTAAACATTTTGAGAACTTGTCTAAAGTCATCGAGAAATGCTGTAAT